TCAATCTTCATTTAGGGATTGCAAAGCGAGTTGATGACCAGCAGGCTGCTGAAGTTTTCGAATACTTGCCATTTTTACGGCCCTCGTACTTCTCTGGTGGCATAATCTCATCGGCACAGCCATAGACGTCTTATGGGCTTCAAGTCATGCCTTTCGCCAGCTTTGGAGCACACTGCGTTCACACTTGCTGGCACGCCGGTTTCAGTCACTGCAGAAATCTTTTTGCCACCAGCAACTTCCTCCGCAGGGATTTTGCCTCCTATCCTGCAGCTAATAAAATTCAGACTTACTAGCTACCTAATAAGGTAATCAAACCAACGCATCTGTTATAGGAAAAACTGACATCCCATCGCATCCACAGCTACGAGGTGAGCGGGAGGCAGCTGGATCGAACCATGCGGTGCTATCGCACCTAATCGTTCCATCTAACGTCTCCGTTTGGAATTCCTGGAGTCCAGTCTCAATACAAACTTAATGGAGAGTCATTGAGTGTTGCTTTAGAAACTCCTGCATTCCCTTGCCAGTCCCCCGCAGAGTTCCCGACAAAAGGGGAGAGGGATTCCAACGGTGCGCACAGCTGCACCCTCTAAGCACTCCGAACATATTCACCAACTTGCACACATCATTGCATTTTCTTGTATCAGAACAATATTATTCTGGAATAGTTACATATATACTGAAGGCGAACCGAATAAGTCATTTCTTCACAAATTCTTAAATTAGAGTAGTGTAGTAGAAAGTGTTTGGTGCATCTTTGCTCTCTACACTAGCATTGCCAACAACAGCACCAAGCATGACCATCCCCTACAATACCGATCTGTGCTACGCTACAGTGCACATAGGCCCGCCGTGCATGTCCGAATGCCCCTAGTACTCAGAGGGTACTACAAAGGGCGTAATTGTTAGCTGTCCTTACCACATGTCGGTTTTGTGTCGGTTCAAGAGCTGAAAAGAAGGCGGACCTTCGTAGGAGACACCCAGTAGCTTCTTTTAAAGTTACGACTGTACTTTTGGCGCATGCGTCCCTTTGCGGAGGTATGAGGAGGAACGTTGCAATTTGCTGAGCAGGGACTGTCGAGGTGTAGCTTGACCCCTTTGTGTAAGGCTTTCTATCGCTTGACTACCTTCATATCATAGGCATTTAAAAGTCCGTAAACGAGTATCAGCTATATACTAAGATACTTAGGAGGAGTTAATTGATGCATTCATGAAGGCAGACCTGAAAGAGTACAGATCGGACGTTTGTGTGCTTGCAAGACCATCCAGCAGATATGAGAGCCAGCCTGGAGAATGAAATATCTACAAATGCATCAAATACAAGCCCAGGATATGTCTCGCGCTATATTGCTTGTTTTAGAGAGGTACTCGTGCGTAGAATCCTGCGGTCGTACAGTTCGGAGGCTGTGCCTCTGATGGGCCCTTGATGGCTTAGCATCCGTTGATCAAGACCAGATTGCACCTGATACTTTTATGTACCTCTGTAAACTCCTTTTTGTGCACAGGAGGTCGTAAATCCTCTTGCTTGGGATGGAATGTTTCATGAGGAATCCTGCGTGCGACGAAGAGCTCGATTGCTTCGTCTTTGCTCCTGGCCACCCCCGCATACCCCCTATCTAAGTGGTAAACAAAATTAAAGCTAAAATATTGAAGCTATATTGAATAGAGCAACCTGTGATAACCGCCTTGCTGGGGAAAATGCGCCGGGCGGTACAGCTGCCCATTGGTCGCCGCCACATAAAACGTGGGGCCCGAAAGGTACTCGGGGGCTTACTAGGAGTTATCGGCTATTTGTCGTCCTTTTCCTTCGATATGCACTCTATACAGCCATTTTAGACTTTCCAATTTGCAGAAAAGTTTCATCAGGGCGGAATGACGGTTCCCCCTGTCTATGAATGAATGTGGCGATGCGACCTTTGCTAACACAGCAGCAACCCAAGTTGGATTGTCCAGGCGCGTAGCTGGATTCATTTGCCTACTTCTCTCGAGTTATCGCGTCCGAGCTTGACTTGTGGCGCGAAAATTACCTCTAGGAGAAACTTTCCGGCGTCAACTGAGCGTTTCAGTGCACCTCAAGTGACTGGAAGCAGCGTAAAAGGGGTTCATTCTAGTGGAGCAGGCCCTGCCCAGGGTTAATCCCAAAGACAGAAGCACTGGAATAGAAGGCAGAGAGGGGCTTCTGTGCTGTTTGGAGGGCCAAGATGCCCCTGTTGCCTACGCTAGGGGTTCCCCAGTAGAGGCACATCACTTTTTTGAGGCTAGCTGAGGGGGATCCCCTGGTAGGCTCCTCAGGGGCTTTAGTAAGCCGTCCGTTTTACGCGAACCTCCTAAGCATGGGCGATCGCAGCCTCTCGGATTCCAGGTCCTGGCAATGCACCGCCCTGGGGGACGGCCCCTTGGTGAGCAACAGCAGGATGGGCAGCGAGTCTTCCACCAATGCAACTGCCCCCTGTACTACTCCGCCTTCGTCCCCAGAGGACAGCCTTGTGCCTGTCGTCTTCCACCCTTCTGCTGCAGAGACAACGGCAGAGGCGTTCCCAAGGACCCCCTGTGCGGCTCCGTGTGGTCTATCTGAGGATAAACGCGAAGGGGCACCCATGGCTCCAGCTTCTTCCCAGCAAAGCGAAGCGCAAGCCTTAGGGTATTCTCGATGTGCGTCGTCATGCGGAGCATCTGATGCGAAGGCCCTTGGAGCAATTAGCAAGCTGCGGCGCAGCAGTGGTGGTGGCGTGGGGAGTGGTGGCTCTGGAATGGGCTTCATGGACGCGTTTTATCACCGGCAGAGAGAGCAAAAGATGAAGGAACTAAAGAATCGTGTCGAGGCGCAGCAGAGCCTAGCAGCCTGGAGGCGAAGCGAGAGCTCCAACCGGAGCAGCAACAACGGCAGTAGCAACGTTCTCTCTCGTTTTTTGCGCAGCTCTTCCCTCTCAGAGCAACACGCTTTGCCGCCTCTGCTGCGGGCTGCATCTTCCTGCGGGCGAATCTTTGAGGCGGAGCATGAGCTGAAACGGCAGCAGGAGCAGCTGCAGCAACAACAGGAGCAGCTGCAGCAACAGCAGAGTTTGCTGCAGCAGCTGCAGATACGGGCAGGGGAATGGCGTCGGGGGGCCCTTATAGCTGCCCGTTCGCAGATGCTTCAACGGGAGCAGCAACAGGATGCCCTCTCCCGTCGCTGTTGCGCCCCCTTCCCCTTGTCTGCTGCACCCTTGCAGACGCCGTATAGATGGCAAAGCTCTCGCTTGGGGTTGGGTGCCTCAGGCAGGAGACGGCGGAGACAGAGCCTCCCCCCACGTCTTACGGTGTGGGGCAATGCTGGCGCTGCCTCCGCAGTCTCTGTTGCTGATGCAGAAGTTGCTCCAGCAGAGAAGGATAGAGGGAGCAGCGGGGAAGGCGGCAGTTGGTGGCTTCGGGGCCCCGTGGCTCGCGAGCTGAATGGCGTCGCTGCTGAAGCAGCAGCAAAGGCAGCAGCCCAGTCAGCAGCAGCGGCAGCAGCGGCCGCAGAGTTCAGTGCCTCAGTTGAGTTTTTTCAGTTTTTGCGGCGCACGGCAAGCGACGGGTGTCTCTTGACAAGGGGAAAGGGCCCCCGCTGGGCTGGGCAGAAACAATTGTCGCGAGTTGGGGTTCAGGAGTTGCTGGATAGGGCCCTCGAGGTGGGCGCAGCTGCGGCAGTTGCTGCACCCCCTGAGGAAGCAGCCTTAGTAGCGCGCTCTGTAGAGACACTCGTGGGGGCCCTGCAGGTGCGTGTAGCTCAGGGCCAGCAAAGGGCCAAACTTCACGTTCTAATAGCAAGAAGTTGCCACCACCATCACAGCAAATCCACGCCAATCATATCCCATATCCATCAGCAGATGGGGCCCCTACAGCAACAGGCCGAGAGGCCCCTCATGCTGAGCAGCGAATTCCCAGAGGGAGGCCAAACGTAGTTGCTCGTGCACACGGCTACACGCCACGTCCGCCGAGGAATGAGGCTTTCTGACGGGTACAATCTCCTTTATGGGAGTCTCAGGACAAAGCCATGTGCACAGATTCGGCAGATACTGAGCCTCGAAGCATCGCTTTTCCCCCCATTCGTTGGCTCCGGCACTGGGGCCTCAGGGGGCGGCGTGGCTTTACGGGGCTTTTGAATTACAGGGCCCCTGCATCAGCCACTAAACAAGGCCGTTTCGGCCAAGCTATCAGAAAAAGCGCAGGGTTGTGCGGCTTAATAGGGACTTGATTTCCAACATCTACCACCTCACTTGGAGCGAGTGCCGACAGGATGCAGTACGAATGCGCACGCGCCCCGGTAGCATGCACATAGGAAACTCGCGCTTCGTATAGTATACACCTCTGATACGGATTAAAAAATAGGTGAACAAGGTCCGTAAAATTCCCTCTACGACTTATAACAAAGTTAGTAGTCTCGCAAACGTTCACAGCACAGCTTTGGTGAGTACGCTCATCCTCTCGGGGGAGCCACAGTAACTACACATCTCAATGCACAAGGGAGTAGAGTCGGGCGGCTCCTCACAACGGCACATGGGGGAGCGAAAGAAGAGCCGCGGCCTGCCTTCCTCCCTTAACGGCAGCGTGGTATAGCCTTAGCTGCCAATTCCACACCCTTCAAAAACCCGGAGGTCCCTCCTAGTTGCGCGCTTAGTCGCTCGCTCTTTCCATCTCTCTCTCGCTCTCGCTCTTCTTTCTTTCTTTGTCTTTTTTTTCTCTCTCTCTCTTTACGCAAATTCTGCTGCCCATTGGCTCATTCTTGTGCACTTTATTGCCGCCCCCTGAAGAATCCTCGTGGTGGTGGTGCAAGGGCGAAGAAAGCACCCCCAACGAGGCGCCGTACAGGCATTTCCTGATAAAAGATGCTCTTGATCACGGACGCAGATCATGCCGTTCTAAAGAAGAGGTGGAAGCCCATATGGCTCTCAAGGACAGGAGACAGTTGACCAACTTCCAGAGCTAAGGCCCCCGCCGCCATCAGCGGAGGAAAGAGGAGCTCGCCTGTTTCCAGAAGGCCGTTACACCTGAGCCAACCCACTTCGCCCTTACGCGCGAAGGAGGGGCAGTCCGAAAGCTCTGCTGCGAAGTCTCCGAACTGCTGGGGGGCCTCCACCAGCAGCTGCCGGGTATGTGTCAAGTACTCGCGTGCTTGCTCACGTGTGCGCTGCATAGGTGTCTTGCCGTCCCTCAACGTCGCCACCTCCGCGGCCCCCGCGAACCCCAGGGCCCCCGCAAACTTCAACAAGATGTGGTGTACGTACACCCGGTCCGCCTTGGCGAAATTGCATGCAGCGCCCGCCGCGGTTTCCTCCGCAGGAACAGCAGGCGCAGCAGCGTGAGACATGTCCCTAGAGGCGGCTCCACTCGCCATGGGGGAAGGGCCCCCATAAAAGGGAGTCTCCCCATAGGCCGTCCTTCCCGCGTTGTGAGGCGACCCTCCCCCGCCCCCCCCAAACTCGGGATTCACCAGGTAGGGGCTTACGGAGGGTGGAGCTTGAGGAGAGTACGGAGCACCACCACTTGATGCAGACTCGGGGGAATAGACGCTGAGACTACTGTCACGAGGGGCCTCTCCCCCATAGCGACCCTGCGGGGAGCGCCCCCAGGGGCCCCCGAGAGGCGTGGTATTACCGCCCGTGGGGGCTCCACAGGAGGGGCCTCTCGAATAGCCATCATCTCCGGATGCGTGGTGGTGATAGCGCTGCGAGCCGCCTCGCTCTCGCCAAGGGCCTCCACCGCCGTCTCTGTCCGCGTTGCCGTAGTACAGACACTCCGGAGAGCCTGCCCCCCCGCCAGGCTGCCAGTTAGAGTCCTGGCGTGGGGGCCCCCCCCCTCTGTTACGGGGGCCCCCAGGCCCCGCGGGACTGCCGTCTTCCCCTGCCTCTGGCGTCTCCCTATGCCAGCGATGGCGGTCTCCGCCGTAGGGGCCTCCCCCTCTGCCTCTGAAGGCATTCCCCATCTTGGCTCTTCGCTCAAGGTGCTTCTGGAGAAAGGATGACTTGGGGGCCTCTCCGTTGTCTTCGTCTAAGGACGGGGAGGGGGGCTGATGCGGCGTTCCTGCGCCTCCCCCAATCGGCCTGGCTGCAGCGAGGGAAGCTCCGCGCTCCTCGTCTCTTTGCAACCCCAGTCGGTCGTCTCCCTTCTTGAACGTGTACAGCCTCTGCGAGAACCCCACTTGTATCTCGTCGTCGTCGTCTAGGACGGTTGGCTTCCTTGGGGCCACTTTGCCACCATTCACGAGCGTCCCGTGAGCGCTGTTCAGATCCTCTAGGGTGTACGAACATTGCCCGTCAGGGAGCCTGACGCGCCGAAGTTCGCAGTGGGCCCTTGAGCAGCTGGGATGATCGGTATGGATATCAGCACTGTCGCCCCTCCCCAGCAGGAGGACCTCCTTGTGCAGCTTCTGGTAGAGCCAAGGCAAACACAGGACCGACAAAGTGACGCCATCCTTTTGCACCGCCAAGTGCGAAAACTCCGTGACAGGACGGGAGCATATACGAGCTGTGGGGGGGAAGAAGGCGGCATCGTCAGCTGACTCTGAGCTCGATGGAGCGCCTTGGCCAGCGGTGTCTTGCGAGGCCCCTGGTGTACTCAGAGCGCCTGCAGCAGTTGGAGGGATCGCCGGAGAACCTGAGGCTCCCTTACCCTTCGTCTGAGCAGAGCTGACAGCCTCATTCCACAGGCCCGTCTTGTTTCCGGGAGAAGCACCAGTAAGCGTAGGGGGCAAGAGGACTTCCTTGTTTTTTGTGCTGGTCGAGTGCAGGGCACCCCCGGAGACGAATAGGGGCGTGACAGCCACTGCAGGCACTGCCCTAGCCCTCTGCTGCGCGGCGTACCAGTCGCCTCGTTGCTGCTGCATGCGCGCTCTCCCCTGTGCTGCAGCCACTGCCGCAGGACCCTCTGCTCCTCCCCCTGCGGAGGACTGCGCCCGTCCAGGGCCCTCCGGCTCGCCCTCCTGGTTTTGAGGAGATACGGGGGGAGAGGCCTCGAGAGCTGCCAAGTCATCCTGCTCATCGTCTACTGGCATTCTGTGGGGAGAAAGGAAACCCAGCGCGCGTTTGAAGGGCAGCCAGGAGCTGCGCGAGGTAGAGAGAGGGAGAGGAAAGAAATGCGTGATTGGGAAAGGGCAATTGGAGCACTCAGAAATGGCTAATAATGCGAGAAGAAACCGTTTGGAGGGGGACCAATAAGGGGACGGAGTGCGCCCGTTTCCCGGTTAAGGCTATACAGTCTCAAAATGCAGCAGCCTGGGAACCTGGGGAGAGGAAATCCATCCGTCTGTCAGGCTCCAAACGAGGTCACAGGACCTGCGAAGAAGATGTTTAACAAAATAATGAAGAAAGAGGCAGACAGCCAATCATCCAAAACCAGTGCAAGAGTTCACACGGATCGCATGCACGCACCGCCAGGCCTGGAGCGCGAAGCTTTGGGCCCTCTTGTAGCCCGTCAGCACGTCCCACACCAACGCTAAGGAGTCATCCAAAAGGGGAAATGCGATGCCTTATTCGGTATTCTCTTTCCTTTATGCTCCTTAAGACAACGCTCTACTAGAACGAGGAAAGCCATAAACGCATGTGCAGGCCTTCGCTGCTCACTTCTTCTGAGGTTCTTCTGCAGCTGCTGCTAAGCATTCGATGTCTTGGAGGGCCTGGGCGAAACCGGAAGGGCCATCATGAAATATGCAGGAGTGGAAGTCAGGGTGCCATTTCCCGGGTATATTTCATTTTTTGGCGTCATTCACTTTCTAGTCAAACTAATTGATGCCCATACAGAATCTCTCTAGTGGCACGATGATTTCCGACATTGTAGTTCTACTGAACAAACATGTTGTTAGCGGATGACTGCCTTGCATGGCAGCTTCTATGATCTAGATGCTGCAGAACAGGATGGACTCCACGTAAAAGAATAAACACTCTGTGTGTAACTCTAGTAGGCCAAGCTGCACCTTGACACTTTCTAGTAGACTAGTTCCATTTAGTTGAGAACGAGCAGAAACTGATTGGATGGTCTGTTTGTTCGTATACCTTCTCTATTGCAGAGTGCTGGAACCTCAGTACACGAAGACGCAAGGGTGTGTGCAACTGGCTGTGGCTGCTCGAGGGCTTAGAGGATGCAGCTACGCCACTCTAGCTGGCCTTCTCCCCTCATGTCGGTACTCTGAGGCAAGCAGGCAGGGGAAGGTGAGAGCTTCTTTGAGAAGCCATCAAAAATATACGTTAAGCTCAAATTACTGTGTGCTAAAAATCTGCCCGTCGACGAACTTAAATAGAACGTTACAACTTTTGTTGGGAAGCGTGACCTCCGACTGCACCTACTGACAGTTTTGAGCGGGGAAGAGAGTGATCCTGCCCACTGTTAAGCTACACCCAAGCTGTGTGGAGACACTTCATTCCAGACTGTAAGCAATCTTTATCAAAACTCGTTGAGTATTTATCTAAAGAGGTTTTGCCTTTCCCTGCCCGCACCGCTGCGAGTTCCCACGATGAGGAAAGAGGGCCGGCTTAAAGGCATGCTGCTGACCCCTCTTAGCGCTCCAAGCATTCACAACTAGCTAAACATAACCTCCAGCGCCCAGGCAGACAAAAAGGCGTCCTAAATATGTTGCATCGACCGAAAAGTGTCCTGAAGTAAATGAGATATACGAACAGTCAAGAGAGTAATTCAATGCATTGCGAGTTTTCAATAAGTACAACTAGTCCAGCAGAAAGTGTGTAAAAGTAGCTTAGTCTGCTGCACGTAGAATGAGTTGTGCAAATGGATGCGAATGCGCAGAATGCATTAAGGTTGCAGTAGCGCAAAACCTAGCTATAAATTCTCTTCCCCAGGCCGGACCAGTACGAGTTGACAGCAAGGCGTGGGTGGAGGGAGCTCTTGTGGGCACAGAGCTGTTAGACTCCATTCAAGTTATGAAATTAGATTGGGGCTACGAGTTTCTGCATGGAATCCACAAGAGGATCGCCATAATGCTGTAGAGAGATTATCAAGATATATGAAGCGAGAAATGCCCGGATATGACATGGAGGGAGTACGCAGTGGGGCGCAGGGAGGGGCGAGGATAGAACTCGGGACTGAGAAATATGCAGGCAGACGGAAGGCTTGAAAGCATACCTTGAAACCCAAATAGGCCAGAGAAGGAGACTGCATTAGTCAAGAGGGAGCACGCACGCAGGGTATTCGATGTACAGACACAGGCATACAGCCAACTAACATGAAGTTGCCGTGTGCTTGATGCAGCCTCCTGTCCATTACTATAGCTGACTTTGCCTTTCGAATTCTCCTGGAGTTTCAATATAGGGCTCTGCACGTGGAGGCGTATGGCCAACTGCTGCATGTGTCCGGCATGTGGGTCTCTGTAAGGTTTGTAGGGCATTCTCACGGCGCTAGCAGCAAAAGAGCCTTTGCTATTTCATTTTAAAAGAATTGGAAATGGCCAGTGGTGAGTCTAAATTCAAACTGCTTGATTCCCCTGAGCCGAGGTTCTAATGCAACACAAAATCTGAAGATATGAAAGGCGCCGTGCATCTCAATAGCACGTTGATGCTCCTTTTTCTGTGAAGCCCTCCTGCCATGACTCTATTCTGCTTGCTTAGAAGGAGTTAACGGATGGGATGGGGATTGTGCAAATGTGTGTAGCTCTCTTTGATGGTAGCAAATTGTGTATGTGTATGTGCACGTGGCAATTTTTTTCGCGAATTCGATTGCAGAGGGCATATCCATGAACCTACGGCATGGATCAACGCTCCTCTTATATCGATGTCGAAGTGTAGCACAACATAAGTACTAGCATGCGTGCAAATGGAGCATAAGAGGTAGCAGCATGAGCTGGGACACGAATATGTGACACTTCGGAGGCGTCACGGAGTATGCAGCTTCCATCCCCCCTTTCAGCAAAACGGGCACTTCTCCAGCATCTAGCAAAATCTTCCGCTGGATTATTTTATTCGATGCAGAATTGCAGTGGTGGGGAAAGTTCTTTATGTATTGGTGAGGTATCCTTCAAAGTCCTACGTGCGAGTTGTCAGATGACGCCTTGAGCAGGGCTGGGAAGGATATATAGAGAACCAGGAGCATTTATCCCACGAAATGGTAGCTGCTCTTATATGGAATAGCACGACACAAATATCGGAGAGAACGATAGTAAAGAGTGGCTACATAGCAGAGAGAGGCGTAATCTATGTGCTGTACTTATCCGATTTATTCCTTGTTTGCGAATGAAGTTTCTCAAAATCCACGTCTTGCGCTTCGTACATCGATATTAAGGGTACATTCTTGCGGCAGACACGGGGGTACCGTATTAAAGCGACACAATTAGCAAGTAAAGCGTACAGCGAGCACGATTTTCGGGGTACAACAGAGCAAATAACATACGAAGGCATAATCCGACTGCTACCGTATTCTTTGAGGGCTTTGCACGTAGCGTCTGTCGGTTTAAGATTTGTATACTTATATGGCTCTTCTGTGGGACACTGGACAGTCCACTGCTGTGGGAAATCGATTAGTGTCGCCCATGTTGATGTTTTTCTTTCGGTGATAGATCTTCCTTGCAATGCTGACTACGTCTTACATACACAGTGAGCATTAGCCATCTGCGGTGCACACAAATACATTATGGTTCATCATAACAATTTATATTGTCCAGGGGGAAGATACGGGCACCTTTGCCTCGTTTTTATGGATCTTCTCTGCTTAGTCAGGCAGGAAATGAGAGAGATTGAGGTCTTCCGGGATCTTCAAAAAAAACATCTCGCAATGCCATCCTCTATCCTTTCGTGATTAGCCTTCCCGGCCGCTACAGAAAACAGGTTCTTGAAGCGAAACAGATAAAAGGCTTAGCCTTTTTAGAATGGCCCTTCATTGTGGCAAGAACAGTGCACCGGAGCAGACTCTACGTGTACATGCTTCAAACAACTTCTATGCTTATCCCTACTAGCTGCGACCTCGTAGGAGAAAGTGAAGCCAGCTCCCTCCTCTGCAGCGCCTACGCCAAGTGAGTGAAGATTTTCTCCCGCAGAGGTCCTTTTCTGAGGAGCAGGTAGCACAGTTGTCGGGATGGGATGGGAGCCTTGTACGAAAAGGAGTCGAAGAGATGGAGGAGCAGCCATGCGTCTCCTGCAGAGTTCCTGGTGAACCATGCATTGCACACACACGTGTGTGGACGCAGCCACAGAAGACGAAGAAATGCCAGAGGCAGTGTAAACTACCAAGAGTCTCTTGCCGTGCCCTTTCACGCCTTCCTCAGGGCTCTTTCAATGCACATCACGCCCTTGATAGTCTGTCTCCTGTCGAGAAAATGTCTGTGGAGCCTCTGATGGGGATGTGCACTCAAAGCGCCGAGAGAGGAGACCCCAGCGGCGTGGAAATCATGGGTGCCTGAAAGGCAAGCATTCTGCGGTTGTGAGTCTCCCATATTGGAAGGGGCTGCTATTACATAGCATATTTCTGTTACTACGGCCTGATAGCTTGATCGGAGTCTTCCCTTTCCTCTCAACCCGGAAGTGACAGGAGCTGCTTGATAAATATGCGCAGAAGGCTCAAAGGAAAGTCTGTAGTCACAAGCGACCCCGTTGGCAAATTAGATGGCTGCCGTGCTCCGGCCACGAAGTGTGTGGGGTGGTTCTTTGGCATGAACAAGCCAAGCTAGCCGCATTAAGTATACTGTCAGGGAATCGCAGCGTCTTCGCCAGCCTATTTATATACGCATGTCGATGCCCTTCCAGCGACCCAGGCGATCAACATTCTAGAGAGTCTCATTCAGCGCCACACTTGTTGGTAGCCTGAACTTAAGAGCTATGTCTGCAACATGCACTAGGGGCCATCTCATAGGACGCCACATGTCTCATTACAGCAAGTCCGCTGCACAAGACCGTGCTAATTTTCATTTTGGCATCTGGGGTCCAGAGTCAGTCGGCCCTTTTCTTGGGATGTGTTATTAGGTTCTCAACTCGCAAGACATAGCGGGCATGTGAAGTCTACTAGAACCGAAGCATCCCGTCGCGATTACAGTTACATTAGAGGTGCCTGTAGCTTGTCAGGGGGGTGCATTTTTTCGTGAATGAACTGCCTAGAGAGTTGCACACGGGGCAGCTTCTAAGGACCTTGCGTCGTGGCAAGGGTAGTGCCTCTTCTCGGCACATTCTTTCTCCTAGAAGAATCCTCACTGAGCGAGGGCCGCCTCTACGAGTTTTGGATACTCCACAAGATCTCCCAGTCCGATTTGGTGATACCTGGAGGATTGGCGCAAGCAAACATGGACCTTTGAAGGAAAGTGGGGCCTCTTCCGTTGCCTTTACAGGGTCACCTTCGAATGGACTCGTTTGCATAAATTACACGCAGGAAGGAGACCATCCCTGTGAAGGCTGCCGCAGGCGCTCGCGTCTAGGTGGCCTTTATGGTGCACAGCTGCTAAAGGAATACGAAATTCAGTGCTGCTGCCCGTGCGCTCAACTCTCACTTAAAGAAGGCATCGACTTCGCTTCCCTCCAGTGGCTCGCCAAACGTCAGCAGCAAGTGGCGAATGACCTTGGCGGGAAGCTGCCCGCTATCCTGCGGAGACATGGCATATGTATTTCGCCCCCTAATTGCCTGCTGACTGATTGAAGTGTGACAACGCAAACACACACTATAGAAGGGTGGAGGCGACTGAAGCCGCAGCACAAGTCCCTTATGCCATCCTATGGCAGATGGATAATGGAGGAGGCACCGATACTCGTAGCGCAGCTGTAGTTCTCGGAGCGAAGGCCTCATGGATCGAAAAAACTCGGGAGGACCGTCTAAGCAAGGGAAGGGAGCTATGCCGAACAGCACGGAAGCCAAGAGAAACACGCAGGGAGTAACTGAGAGAGGCTTTCTCGGCCTTTGCGCCGCTTGCTTGCCTGTGGATCGAAATGTCTAAAAAGCAGTGCCAATTCGTCTTTGTTGTCTTCCGTGTAGGGAATCGTGGAGAGCATTTGCAGCAAGTCCTCGTAGCTCACAAGGAGGTCCTCCGGCTGCAGCACCTTCCGCTGATCTTTCAGCTGCCGCTGCAACGCTGCGGCTTGCGCCTGAGACGGCGAGAACCCCCAAAGACGAGCCAGAGAAATTCCCTGCTCGAGCGTCATCGTCCTAGAGCCACCACTTCGGATTTTCTGGAGGAGCATCGCACACACACACACGGAGAGAAATCTACCGATGCTCTGTATGGCCTTCTGGAAGCGCAGCATGCGCTCAGTTCGCCGGTAGTAGGCAGCATAAGGCCCCATCACAAAGTGCACTCCCCGGGGTGCAAAAGATTGCCGCCGTTTTCTTTGTCTCGAGACAACCAGTTACTGGTGGAGCGTGCAGAGCTTATTCTACTGTACGGCTAGCAGAGCGAGCTCATTGGCAAGAGAGCTGCGACGGGCAGTCCTCAATCCTGGAGCCCCCTGACGCAGCTCATGCTGCTCATGCAGCTCATGCAGCTCATGCAGCTCATGCTGCTCATGCAGCTCATGCAGCTCATGCAGCTCATGCAGCTCATGCTGCTCATGCAGCTCATGCAGCTCATGCAGCTCATGCAGCTCATGCAGCTCATGCAGCTCATGCAACTCATGCAGCTCATGCAGCTCATGCAGCTCATGCAGCTCATGCTGCTCATGCAGCTCATGTTGCGCTGGATTAAAGCCGCCTCTCCATAAAGCCCCTTTTTGAGCAGGTGTGCCCTCGAGACACCGGCGTGGCACCTGCCTTGCGCGCAACTCACTGCATGCTCTGCAAACTCCGTCCTGCGCCTTGCTACAAACGCGCCGAAGGCCAAAAAGTCTTTGTAGTGCAACTGAGGACTACCCAACAGACGCTGGAATTGACGAGCCTCCAGTTTGTGCGGCAACGCGTCAAAACTCTGTTAGTCGAAAGCCACAACAGCACCAGGCACTCCGCATGCTGCACCAAGTGTGTGTCGTAGGGTGTACAGGCATTTTTCGAGGGGAGAAAAGGGGAAAAGGCCACTAATGCGAGATCGCGAGGAGCTTACAAAGTCCTCAAAAAGGCCCTCCGCGTCGGCAATGTGCAGCCACCCGAGACCGTTCTGCAGCACGCGCGCAGAAGCAAACAGAGTGTTTTGGGGATTTTGCTGCAGCGCAGTGCTTCGGAGAAGATGACCTTCCACGTGTTGTGCGTGCTTCAGCGTTATCAGGTTTAACCAACTAGCTGCTACTGCAGCAATGGCTGCTAGTTCCCAGCACTCCCCTGAGGGAGCTTAGCCAGGAGCTCCTGGTGATGCAGCTACCGCCACTGCCTCTTCCGCTGGCAGCGGACTCAGAGACTGCGGCAGTTCGCTCTCTCACACGGACCGTGGCCTCTGCAAATCTGCTATGCCGAAATTTGATGAATTGATGCAGCCCCTCCAGCAGCGGCTGATCTATGCCTTCAGCCGCTGCAGGCACCTCCTCGATGAAGGCTTCCACGTCCTCTGGGAGGGCGTCGCGCATCCCCTGTGCAGCAGTAGCAGCAACAGCAGCCGCAGAAGAAGAAGACGCGCCGTGTTCTTCAAGCCTCCCCCCTTGCTCTCGCATGCGCTACAGCCTCCCCCCGTTCCCCCCTCCGCCTCCGCAGTGTGCACGCAGGGGAACCCGCGAATCAACACGAGATATCATGGAGGCTTGTGTGATGCGTGAGAGCGAGGACTAGGAAGGGTCTCATAGAGATAGGGGCCGCAACAGAGCAGCCCGCTGCTTCCTGTCCCCTCTTTTAGGACTGTGTGTCGCATGTATTCAGCATGCCTGGGTAGCAGCCAGGAGTTGCAAGACCTCCTTAGCCTCCACCTTTCCCGTGTCTGGATTTGGCTTGACAAGGAGTGTGGTCTCTGGTCGGGGAACTGCAGCTGCGCTGGCTGTGGAGGGTGAATACGCCTTTAGGGAGGCGCTAGACAGGAATGACTGAATGTTGTCTCTGCACGACCAGCTCCTCGATAAGGCTCTGCCCTCATGACTTGAGGGAAGGCCTTCAGCGGGGGGAGGCGCCTTGGCAGCGGGAGACACGCTTTCAGATGGCTCAAAGGCTCCCATGTCTAGCACGTTGCAGCCGTCTGTTACCCTGTGGTCGTGTATGGCAGCAAGCCGCAGGAAGGGAGACAGGCACAAGAGGCAAGAAGCACTCACTCGAGCGAGCAGCATGTTCCCAACAACCTCAGCCTGCGTCAAAGGGAAAAGTGCGTTGAGCCTTGCGCGACAGGCGGAGAGGAGACGCAGGGACAAAGAGTATAAAGACATGCCAAAGGAGAGCGGAAACTCACCTCGATATAAATTCCAAGTAGTTGACGGTCTCCCCGAAGGCAAGTCCGTAGAGCCTGCAGCAGCAGTTGACAGAGAGGTGATTGAAAAGATCAAACGCATGCGTTTATGAGCGCGTGGGTTTGTCCTTATAGTTTTAGAAAGGCAGTGCGCGTGTCGAAGACAGAGCGGCTTGTCAGACAGCTGAGGGAACTTCGCATTTCTAAGCATCCACAGCACAGCTCGCAGTGTGCAAGGGAGGAGGCCTATCTTACCGAAACAGCGTTGCCAGCTGCTCATCTGTAGCTGCCTCTTCGCCCGCCATCCCCATCAGAGCAAGAAACAAGGGACGGCTGATATGGCCAGTCTTCTGCAGCAGAGGCAACGCAAACGCAGGCAGTCTGTGAGATAAAAGTCTCGTCTCATGCCGTCTAAAGCGGTGCCCAGCAGCGATTTTGACGCTGCTGCCTCAGAGTGATGTTTTACCCTCTTTTTGAGCCTGAATATCTCCCCTTAGTACCGCTATCCTTTTCTAGGACCCCCATACTTTCCCAAAGGATGCGCTGCTACACCGTCCCCATGTCGAAAAAGAGGCTATATGCAAAGATTTGTTGTTTCGTGAGCTGTAGTTCCTGGACGTCGAGGCGCGACCACCCTCTGGTGATGCGCTTATGCGAAGTGCAGGGGAGGAAGGGGGGAAGCCTTTCTTGCAGCCTCCAGCTAGCACCTCCTCGCCTTGACAGCGCACTATTTCTGACTGTCTCCGCAGACACCCAGCCGTCTCGTGCCGCAGCAGCACTTGCTTGCCTCTTTGTCGAATCTTGCGAAAGGAGCCGCAAGCTCGTGGAGCTTATCTCTACTTTTGAAGGTGTCTATGAACTGTTGCATGCAGTTGAAGTCGAGCTTGGGGCCTCTGTCCTCTTCCCACTGGCGGACGGCAGCCAACGTCGGCGTCGCTCCATACACAGCCGCCAGCATGGTAGCTTCGTCTAAAGCCACGAAGCCCTTGGCATCCTGTGCAACATTCGCCACACACCAGCAGTCCCTACGCACAACTCCCGGCCAGATTGCCGCCAGCGGGGAGCTGAGACGAGACGGCAGGGTTGCAATGCAGCACATGCTAAGGCTCCCGCAAGACACTGGAGTGCGGCGCTGCGGCAGCGAACGGCTTCCTGAGAAAGCTTCAGAGAGGCAGCGGAGGAGGCAGAATAGAGGCCTAAGCGCGATCGGGCTAAACGTACTGCAAGAGATGCCATGTCGGACGCGAGCCGCTCACGCACCGCAGCCACCGACATGGAGAGTTCATCCGGCGTCTTGGCATGCTTCTTGTTATCTTCCCACCTGCAAATGCGGCAAATTGCACGAACGGCAGTACAAAAACTACCGTCTCCGTCTTCTCCTGCCGCGCCTCAACACCCCAAGAAGCCACTGGCAGGGCCTTCCGTGCTGAGTGCCGCCAGGCCTTCAATCCTCAAACGAGGCTCTGCTAAAGGCCCCCTTCTTTAAAAGGCTTCCCGCTTGCTCTCGCATATGCATGCACAAAGTATTTAGAGTGTCGGATCAAGTCAAGGTCGCGAGAGAGCCAAGGCCAAGTCTCAGGAGCTTCAGAGCGTCGGACGGCGGCGCACACGGCAAATGCATGAGGCCTACACGGAAGCGAGGAGTCTGAGCTGCTGCAGTTGAACCCCCGACGAAAGAATAAAAATACGGGAGCTCTGCCTCACATGTGCGTGCATGCCCTGCTCAGATAATCCGTCTTAGCCTGAGCCTTTACCGAGGCCTCCACGATTTGCAACGTCTTCGCGTCTCGGAGGAGCTGTATCTCCCAGATGCTGCCGGGAAAGGGCACGGGGGTTGCTGCACTTGACGCATTCTCAGTCGGCAAGTGCGCGATGCCGCATGCATGCAGGAGGGCCTTCAGGAGGCCCCCCCTAGGAAAGAAGGGATACCGCTTCCCTGAGGCTTCGTGCTGAACAGCAAGCTCGGAGGAAGCTCCTGAACCCCCTTCTGATAAACACATATCCTCCAGCGCTTTCAGGCAGCTGCTCAGCTCCTCCCACGTCCCGCAGATAATGGCCAGATCCTCTCTTTCTTCTGAGTGTAAGACTCGCCGCATTGCCTGCACCGTTCCGCAGCAAAAGGAAAGAAAGGCTGACGGCCTTATCGATTCGCGCGGCTAGCACCCATCGCCTCCAAAGTGCAGCCTGATATACTCCTTTTGTACGCAGGGCCTTGCCTTATATGGGCATCCACCACAACGGGGCAAGGATGTCTTTCTGCTCTCTCTCTCTCTATCTATCTCTCTATCTCTTATTGTCTGTCTATATCTTTCTCTCTCTCTTTTTCCTTGTGTAGCGCAAGGGCTCATGCGTCAGGCGAAGGCCTGTCCCGACGAAAATGTCTAGAGGCTGCATTCGGCATCGGATGGCAGCCTTCAGACCTTGTGGAGGGAGGCTGTAGGGGTGGCTAACTGAGCCTCCCCCCCTCCTCCCAACATCTCTGCTGTTTCTGCAGAAGTGGAGCTTACCTCTGCATTGAAACTCCCAAGCCGGTGGCCCTTCCCTGGCAGCACCCGTAAGCATTTAGCGAGAGGTTTCCCGCAAGTATTTTGCAGCGTGTAGTTGTCATAGAATTTTTGGACTGCCCTGAAGGCTTTCCTGAGGGTTCCCTGAGGCCCTTTGATAGACTTTCCCCCAGTCTCATACTCTTCGAGGATGCTAGGCTCTCTCGTGTCTTGGGAAGTAACAGGAGAACGGGTGGAAGTGGTATCTTCTGTGCCTGTTGATCTGCTTCTCGATTCTATGCCCAGGCCCTTGATCTCTGGCGTCTTTAAGCGGATGTCTGGATCTTCTTTGGTGGAGGAGGGGGTCGCGCTCGCCACGTTCTGCGCGGTGCTTTCTTTGCACTTGCCTCGATGATGCTGCTTGGCTTGCCCAGCTTGCAACTGGGAAAGGCGAACCATGCGGCTGGCACCCATCAGCTGCTGGCGAGCAAGTATCGCCGACTCTACCGCCTGGGGTTTGTCCGAGCTCACCAGCTTGCATATGCCTGCAGGCAGAGACAGGGCCAGAGATAAATGCAGAGACTAAGGCAAGGGGGCAGCTCGGAGAGGCGGGTGCAAGCGCCCTCTCGGGTTGTATATACAGCTGTGCATGAGCAGCTGTACATACAACGCAGGGTTGCAGATCTACCGGCGGAGCAGGTACAAATCCTTGCCCCATTTGGCCTGTTCCCTTGGCTTCCTGCGATAGCTGGAGAGCAGCTAGTCTGCCTGACGCAGAGAAGGCGGCGGAAGGAGGCCGAAACTTGCTGGAATATCGAAGGGTGGGGTCGTTGTTATTACCTTTCCCGTCGAGAAACTCTCCCAGTTGACGTGACTGGACGGCTCCAAAGAGAGATAGGTGGGGCAGGAATGTTCCAAGACCCGCCGCGGATTCTTCAGAGGCAGTGGGGAGCTTCTCTGCCTCCAGGTCATCTCCTAGCATTCAAACAGCATATATGCAGCACAAGAACGAGTAAGAGAGGGTAACGTGGACATCAATGCTGCCAGATCAGCGGAGAATGCACCCATGGGGACGGAAGTTAGGCCGCGAAGTTGATAGAATACATGGGGATTTGGGCTTAGAGAGTGAAATTTGTATGGCCCTGGAGTGTCTGAGGTTAAAATCCTGTTGTTTCTATTGGACAGAGAAAGCCTCCTTCACTCCGTTTCTGCTTATAGCAGCGTGTGTCCTGTCCTTATTTCGGCACTTGCTTTTCGAATGACTCAAATTTTAGGCTTGGGGATGCATAACATTGCGTTTCCTGTAAAACAGCTGGAGGTGACCCTCACCGCAGAGTGCCAAGAAGACGCGTTGTCTGAAAGTTTCCTTCATTTTGTCGTTTTTGTTTCGCTTTGCCCCAATACAATTGTCTGCAAAATATGTGTACCTCCATAGCATCACAATTAATTTTAAGATATAAACTGTGGCGACCTCAATTGCTGCACTCGGTCTCCCCGCAGCCAACACCGGCCCACCGGAACGCAGCTGGCATTCAATGTACTAGCAGGCAGTCTTCGCCACTCCTCTCGCCGTGCGAAATTTCCTAAGCCAGGTTCATGATTTCGTAGAATTTCACTACAGTAGCACATTTTATAGCCTTAAACATGAGTCAGTTTAGAGTACAAAGCAGTAGGACTAATGATCCAATAGACCAAGAGTGTTGCAGGCGCTCTCTCTTCTCATGCAAACAATGCTGCAACCGCTCAATTTTCTTCAAATTTTGATTACTTTTATTATTCTGCTTATTTTCATGCCCCGTAAATGCGTTCTGGCTGGAATATATGTGTGCTATCTCTAACTGAAAGATTTCAAGATGAATTACCATGTCTACATATGCACCGGCGCGCGAAGCGAGTGTGAAGGCTGGTCATTTCTCTTCGCACAGCAAATATTATCTGGCCTCAGTTTGTATCGGTTTACTCGCTTTGTGGCATTGAGCTCATTTAGGGGTTGAGACCTTACGATGATGACATTAACTAGTCGATGCCGCAGCCACAAAGCTTAGATGTGGGGAGCCTTGTCGAACCCTAATGTGCTTTTCGTGTAACAACTGTAGTTTTTGGTGGAATAATAACGTACGCATATATTCATATGTTTTATTGCGCATCTGATTTCTTCCTTCATTCTACATCTCCGCTTGCGCTCGTGTAGTGCCACGCTGCACTTCGGCACTTTCTACTACACTAGCGGTTTTCACTGAGGAAATGATTTAGAACTGGATGCTTAGTTTGACTATTCTTGCGACTTCAGATTTTGTAGAGTAGGGCTACGTAGCTCCATAGTACATAGCTGAACGATCTGTGCCAGTGCGCTCAGTTGCGATGTGCCGTAAGAATGCTCAGTCTTTTTATGCAGTGCACCACTATGCTACAACCCATCTGCTCTGTACCCTTCTCACTAAGAACCGACATTCCATGCGGAATGCCCAATCTAGGAATTCTAAAAGGAGACATCTAGCGTCAGACTCAGTGCACACCTACAAGAAAGTTACTGAGTGGTGCTCAGAAGAGCTACCGCCTTCCCTTAGCCTCCTCCTTCATTACTCAAGAGAGTAGAGGAGCGGGACATCTAGGAGTCGTTCTGCTGCACCCAAAAAGCAATCAAAGCATTCACACCAACTTGCACATAGCATCTAGTGCACAGGCTCCTGAAACTGCGCATTAACTACGCTGCAGTAAAATAGATTTGCGAATAGACAAATCAGTTAATCGATTCTCTACTGGTTTGATAACGAATCTACAAAGTGTAGTAAAGTGTATTGAGATGCAGATTAAACCGCAGGAGGGTGCAGTAGCGGCGGGAGACAAGGAAGGAAGCGATCAGAGTAGTCGAGGACTCATACCAGTTGGACTTCGGCACATTGAAGAAAGCTTCGTCTCACAATTGTTTGGTAATTCTTCCCCAATTAGAAGAAGCCCTGGCCAATCGGCTAGAAGGAATTAAACTCAAGTGACGTAGTAGCAAAGCATATCCCATCGCTGACTTAGGAGGCCAAGAAGGGCTCTCTTCCCTTGCTGTTTACCACCCCTTGGTATACAACCCTCTGGCTGGGTGTACTTACAGCTGCCTCATACAGCTCCCTCTTCATAGTACCATCGACTAACGACTCGGATGCATTTAACTACTTAAGAAGGTAGACCCACATATTTACCCAAGTACAAGGCTCGAGGCATGAAAGGCACTTCTCTTTTCCCCCTCGAGGTGTCTACTTTAATTATCCCCTAGGCCACAGGACGCCTCCTGCCACCAAAATCTCCAATAAAACCAAGGCTTCTCATTTCCCAAAACCTATGGCATGATGAACTAACTTGTGCGGACCTTCCAGGAGGCAGGGTGATGTAGATTTATCATAAACATGGCAGTCTGGACTGTAGATGAGAAAGTGTGACACTTTTGCAGGTGCATACTTGAATATCTGGTCATGAAGAGCGGATAGCCGCACTTACAAAACATAGGAGTCATCTAAATTGGCCAACACATATAGCAAACAGCCACACACTGTAAAGTTGAGAAGGCAGTATGTTTCTCCTCCTCAGTCGGAGCGAAAAGAGAATGTGCTGACAATCTGTGCTGCCGCTAGCAGCATACGGCGTCGCCCTGCTCACTTTTCAAGCCGAAGGGTCAGGCTTTTACCAGGAACAAGAAATAGAGCCTGGTAATGGATGAATCAATGATTTTACAGGACGCGCTTTGACAGGGCGTCTGTCTATCAAACATGTGGAACTGTAAGCCAGAAGGATGGCGGTGGCAAAGAAATTATCGGAGCACTACAAATGAACTGATCAGAGCTGACTCAAGTATACACAAAAGTAGCAAAAAACAAGTTTCAGTAGTCGAAGCAGGACAGTAGCAAAACCGTACTAAATTGGAGCAGTAATGCAAAGAATACTGCATGAAAATATCCTAAGCACAGTTTCACGCCGGGGTCAGTTGTAAGCAACAGCCGTATTATAAAACGTGGTATCAGATAGCACCGTACCGATTGTGTTTATTCCTTTATCGTGGAATAAACACCTCACAGGAAGCATCACGACATGACAACAGCTGCTTCTAGTTTCATTTAGGCGAAATGATGGGTGCCTGAATCCCTTGGCTAATTTCGGAGGTTCCTTCCTTATTAATCAACCCGAGGCAACAGCTGAAGCAGTGAAACGAATGCATGCTCCCGCGGTGGTGCCAGAATGCTGCTTCTCACTTTCATGCATCAGGTAGCATGTAACCCCAAATCCGCGCAGCACGAGATGTACCCATAACGCGGCGCTCATATTTTGAGGCCATACACAGGAAGTAGAAGGCCTAATTTGTACCAAGACCTCCTCCCTCGGAAGTTTTACGCCTAAGCTAATCAAAGCGGCGGGGGGCAGTTTGTGCCAACTGCGACCAAAGACAGAAACTAGGCCTTGCCAAACAACGACGTTGTAGCGTTTTTCCTAAAAAGGGCCATCGAATGCCAAGCAGGGGTAGAAAGGTGCGCATGCATCAGGACGCAGAAATGTATTTTGTGGTGCTTGCGCTGCGTTACTCTGTTTTTTCAAAAGGTCAACTCTTGCTCGCCTTGTTTGGAAAGCCGCGTGTGGCGTAGTTCTCTACAGGACCGTCCCACGCTCGCTATGGTAAGTTACCTACGAGCCCTACTCTCGCGTGGGGTTTCGTGTCATGATACTGTTTTGTCTTTAGCCTGTTCTCTACAAGGAGAAGAGAAGGAGTTTCCCCAGGAGCAACAGCCCGATGAGGGCGAAGGCAAAGGACCAAATCGGTAGAGTTCGTGCGGCCCTGCTCACCGATTTTGCCAGTGCGCCAAGCGCCGCAAAGGGGACTATGCGGGGGCGGCTCCCCATCATTCCCAGAGGCTGAGGCAGAGTAGAGGGCCTCCTATGTACGCCCCCGTGAGACCCCATGTCTAACAAGAGGAAAGGCCGGCCAAAGCGAGGGAAAAGCTCACACTACTTCTTTTTAAGTTACGGCTTTCCAAGGACCTTGTTTGTTGTTTTGTTATCAGAGCCGCCTTTGCTTCCTGAAATACAAGTAAACAACGAGCCTGCGGAAAGGGACAGAAAGCGGGCTCCTTGTGGTCTTAGGTAGTGTTTCCCCACATGAAACTCCTTTGAGGCGTTCGCTGCTTGTGGATTCTTATATTCAATTTGAATCCACAGTTTGCCTGTAGACGTGTAAGCAGCAGTAGCCTATGGCGTTTTGTCGCAAAAGGCACCCCAGTGCCACACGCTTCTTTCTACAACTAGGAGCGTGAGGAATCAAAAGTTGGCTTACCACCTTTTGCGAAATTTTGTGTTCAGCCAGACGATATAACCAACTGGACTTTAAGTATCAGGATAAACCAGGCTTTTCGCACGGATTTCAATGCCCCGAGGGCCCGCATTTCCCTCGGGCGCAGTGTGGGGCTGTGCTGTGAAGCTTGCCCTAGCTGCATTCTGCCTCATGCCTCCTTATTCAATGGCTCGAACACTGCGTTTTATTACAGTCTTGTCGCATTCTGCGTTCATGCTCATAATAAGATGCCGTGGCGTCTTTCCTTTAGAACGCTGATCTGTTCTAACTATAGCATCCCTTTACAAACACGCTTCCTCCATCAGAATAGAGTACACACCTCGGCCGGCACATTACCGCGCTCATCGGTAGTCTTCAGTTGAATAAACCGCACTTGGCTATCTAGAGACACTCCCAATGCTTTCCTTTTGAGTACACTTGTGGTGCCCGAAGAAGCGAGCAGTGCGTCGAGGCAACAGAGTAAGACACAAGGACAGCACTGCGCAGGGGGGATAAATAGCACTAAAGAAAGTCGAGGCACTCAAAGTCCTCGGGGTCCCATAATTCAGGGTCGAGCCCTGAGGTGGAGCGCTGCTCACACCCAGTGGAGGGCTCTTGCTGTTGATCCTGCGGATAGTGTGCTGTATAGTGCTGCTGCTGGTACTGGGACACAGTGGACAAGGCTTGTGCATTCCACTGTACTTGGCCCTGTGTGTTTGAGTTCGGGTGGGTGTTTTTTGCGCCGGCTAGGGCACCTGTAGAGGGGGCAGGTCTGAAGTACATGCTCTGCGACACACAGGCTTGCGTAGCTAAGGGAGGCTGGAAGGGGTCATAATTGCTGCAAGCCTGAGCCTCTACAGATCGAAGGGGCCCCTGGGGGGCGCTTAAGGTGCCGCCGATGGAAATAAACTCCTCAGTATCGGTGTCTTCCACTCGGGGAAGCCTGCTACATGACGCCCCGGGGGGAGGCGGCGTCACCCGGGTTTGTTCTGCTCACACATAGCAAAAGTAACAGATACAGCTATGTGAAGGCCACCGCATGTCTTGATAAATACAAGAACACGACATTCTAAAAGGAGGAAGGTATATCCACCGCAGATGGGGCACCGAAAAGGCATTTAGCAAGAAGGTCAATAGTGTTGAACCCTCTCGCCCCTCTCCTGCTACCCAGTGTACCCGGCATTCGGGCAGACAACGTGAAAAAGGGACAGCGTGCGGGAGGCATAGATTGCGAGGGAACGTATGGAAGCATGCAAAACACCGAGTGACTGAGGTAGCGGGGGGCGGCACTGAGGGCCAGAGAGCAAGAGGCAGGGTGAGAAAAAGACTGACATATAGAGGAAAGCACAGAGAAAACGGGGAGTTCGGAAGCCAGATGCACGGGAAAGGCTTACCCCTAAGAAGGTGGGTCAGACGGTTCTCGCAGAGGAAGGTTCTAACCTCGTCTACGAACACTTGGCCGTATTTTTGTCCCTACAGAAGCATGCATCTCAATGGCAGGCTTTGATTGAGAGACTGCTTTCGAGAGCAAGACTAGGGATCTGCGCCTCAAACGCTTCTATCACCACCAGGGGGGAACTCGCGCCCTCTCTTTTTGAACGTGCGTGGGGCCCTTATCGCAGGCAACAACAACCCCCCGGTGGGATGTGCGCCTAGTAGCTGTGAGCGGGGATCGTGGGGGAGACGTCTGGTCTGGCGGTCGAGATACCCATCTAAGTCTGCCGCCTTACCTTCTTTTCCCCGTGAAGCTCCTTGAAGGGAAGGTCTTGCAGCTGAGACAAGCACGTTGGGAGGTAGCGAACCATACCCTCAACCGCGGCATTTGTGGCGATGCTCTTTGTAGTCCTTAGGCCGCCCCGCCGAGCCAAATCCTCGCGTACCGCCATCAGTCGCTTCCGCAGATTTTCCCCTTGCTGGCAAGTGAGGAGGCTACCCTCCGTTTTCGCCCCTGTCGAGTCAGAAGCCCTCCCGCGCATTGCATGCATCAAGGGGGGGACGGCGGTGGCTGTTTCTGGGGGAGCGGTCTGCTTGGAATGCTGTGCCCCAGCAGCAGCAGAGGATGATGCAACATGCCGGAATTTTTTCGCAGGGGGTTCGCCTCCTGGCTCGCCGCTCGGGGGGGGCCCCCGTGAACAAACGGCGGGGTCAGTAGGCCCCGCCTGGGGGGCCCCCTCGTCGACCTTGACGCTCCGCTTCGTTGGACCTGTTGGCGACTCTTCAAGTGTCAGGGAAGCAACACACTCCCCCGCGGCATCCGCGCGTCTGCCCAGCTCAACGTAAGTCGCAAAGGTGCCTTGCTGGTTGGAAGACGCCACGCACCGCTCCCACAGGACCTGCAGCCGAAGAACTCAAGACAGCAGACGACACAAGGTCGAGCTGCGCTCACGAGTCTCGAAGGCGGCAAGGAAGGCAGCAGGATGTCACGCGGCATCAAACATGCAGCTTTCCAAACTGTGATATGCGCTAAAAAGCGCCATCCTCGTGAACGGCCATCCGCCGTTCTCTTCAGCAGCCTGGCTATCACCGCCCTTAGGGTGCAGGGAGGGAATCTTCGGGGCAGTCTGCTTGAGCTGGACGTCGCTCTTTCTCGAAGTCTCCCCAAAAGAGAAGGAAGGCAGGAAGGAAGCAAGGGAGGTAAGAGGCCCCCAGTGCGCAGTTTTCCCCCCACACCCCAAAGGGCCTCCTTCACCCCCCATCCACCACCTTGCCACCCCTCCTCGCGAGGAATGCCCCCTGCAGCGTATCCACACACGACTACATACCTCGTGTACAACAAGGGCGTGCAACAGCCGTGCTGTCGCTGCCTGAGTCCACTTCGCCTTCTGCAGACAGCCAAACTGCGGCTGCTGCTGCAGCATGCTCTGACACCGGTGCCCCTTGGGCTTGCGTCCAAGGAGGGCGTCTCTCAGAGAGGCCAGTGTCAGAGGGAAGGATGAACTTTTCGTACGAATGAAGCGCACCAACGCGACAACCTGAAGAGCCACCCCAAGACGCACAGCAGCCCTCCCCTGCATGGCAGCAGCGCATCTATCTTCTGACGCAGTGGCTGCAGCTGCAGCTGCAGCTGCTGCTCCTCTGCCTCCCCGTATCACTCTACTACTGCCGCTGGCGAATGTGCGTCGGAGAGCCTTTTTAGAAAAGCAAAGAACGTGCAGTGCAGACACCGCAGTCCCCTCCTTTTGCCATCACCGACGGCACGCAAACACATCCACACACCCACCTTCCCCTGCCTACACCACCAACAGGTGCAAGCTTCATCCCTAGTGCGACAGAGAGAGAGCCTTAAACGGGGAGCGCTCCCTTTTCCCTTTCCCGCCCCCCCTTCGCTGCTTTCAGTGGGCGCTCTGGCCAGAAAAGCAGCAGCAGCTGCTGCAGACACATGCCAGGGGTGGCTGCCTGTCTGCCCGTGCAATCCTCCCTCCTGCAAGGGCCTCCTCCCTGTGCACCACCTCGGATAGCCAAGCGACTCTCTCTATGACGCTTTTCCTCCCTCACGATGCTCACCTCCTTAGCCAACAGCCCGCAAGGGACCACGTGCGGCTTCGTGGAGCGCCTCCGCTTGCAGTTGTCGCATTCCGTTTGGCAAAGGCCGCTAAAATTCTCGCCAAAGTGCTGCAAGCACAGCGAGCAAGCAAGCCCCCCGCCCCACACGCCAGCACGCCAGCATGCCTCTACGCCGAGAAGGAGTCTGAAGACAGCGTTTTCGAAATTTCGAATGCAACAGGCCCCTAAGAAGGCTCAGTTGCGGACAGCCAGCAGAGCTAGCGCTACCCCAGGCTGCGGAGCACGGATTTCCGTGTAGGAGGTTCCTGCTAGCAGCGATGTGCAGCTGCCGCCTTTGCATGCTTGCCAAGCCTCCCTCGTTGAAGCTGACTGACACAGCGAGCGCAACGGGAGAGGGCAGGATGATGGCGAGCAGCCCGCAAAGGGGCACCTTCAGCGCTTGCGGGAGTCCATTTGCATCTCCCGTGAAAAATGCAAATGGGGGGGAGGCGAGCTCGCGTGTTTTGTGCGAAACAGCACGCAATGGGTGGTCTTTTGGCGAGAGGCCTACACTTGCGCATCCGCGCGCAGCTGTCTGCGCTGCGTGCCGTCAAGTGCTGCGCAGCTGCTGTCTCCCTCCCCTCCGTTCCAACTCGCGGCGATGCTGATGCAAAAGCCCTTTCACAGGGGAGTGAGAGAAGGAGGCGAAGGCGGAGAAGGGGCAAATACGGCAGGCAGAGAGAGACAGGCAGAGAGGCAGGAGGCAGTGTGGGAATGCGGCAGAGGGCGTGGGGGCTCACCCGAAGAATGAAGACGCGTCGGCATTCAAAAAGCTCTTCGCAGTATCGCAACATCAGCAGCAGGTTGGAAGTATTCTGCTGGCTCTGGCCTCCTCTGCAGCGTCCCTCGCTGCATGCAAAAAGCCGACAACACACCTGCTTTTGAAACAATACGAAACAAGACATCCAGCTTTTCCTTCCACCGCTGGCAACAGTCATCAACACCCCTTCATGGCTACGCGGTCCTATGGACGTGCATGCGCTGCGTATACCAAGAGGCCTGGTGAAAGCCGCTGCCTCTGCCTTTCAACAAGCCAACACACACGGAAAGTCTACTAAAGCCACACGCGCTAAAAAAAGTCTAGCTAGCGGCACAGGAAGGGAGGGAGCACTTCGTACAGCGAACTGCCCAAACAGGGAGAAGGAATAATGCTAAATTGCTCTTGAAGCACACGTAGCACACTACACGTCAAGGTAGAAGAAACGGCTCGTGGAACGCTTGACAGATAGAGAACGCAGGGCGCGACTCACAGAGACACACAGGCACAGAAGAAAGAAAGACATGCATGCACAGACAGATACATACATACATACATAGACAGATAGATACATACATACACAGACTGACATATACTTCCATACACAGACAGATACATACATACACAGACAGATACATAGATACATACACTGACAGACAGATACATGCATACATTCACAGACAGACATATGCTTCCATACACAGAGAGACAGATACATACACACATAGACAGACATGTACTTCCGTACACAGACAGACAGATACATACATACACAGATAGATATATGTGCGGCCGCCCTAGATGATAGCCGCATGCCTCCCTCGCTTCCCCTCTACACGACTGCGTGTCACTGCGTAAAAAAACGCCATGAAGTCAAGAGAGATCGATGTCTCTGGTGCTGAAGGAGAGGCGAGACGCACAGGAGACCTACCTGCCAGCTTGCATCAAGAAGGTTTGACGCTGCTTGTCGTGGTAATCATAAAGCAAGATGCACTGTGCTTCCTCTCCATCACGTCCTGCTCTTCCCGACTCCTGCGCGCAGTCCGGAGAGGAAAAGGCGCTTTTTGCGATTTCTCTTCTATGCTGTTTTTCCTTTCCTATGCTGCTTTCCCTCTCCTGTGCTGCAGCGCAGCTTCTAACCTCTATCCCTTTCTTCCCCCTTCCCGCCCTCGCACATGGCAGCAGCGGGCAGTCGGGTGTGTAGCACTGCCTGTATGGCAGCGCAGCGTAGTACACTGCGAGCATCAGGATGATGCGAAATTCTTCCCTCCGGTGAGCTACCTGCCTGGTAAAAGTTCTCCAGAGACTTTGGCATCGCAGTATGAATCACGAAGCGCACATCCTTCTTGTTAACTCCCATGCCAAAGGCCAGGGTTGCGACAATCACCTGCAAAGATCCGAAGCTACAACACCTTCACACCAAGGCTCCCGCGCACGCATGCAACAGCAGCAACAACAGCAGCAGCAGGAGCAGCAGCTGACAGCCACCCATATTTCACGTAGAAGAAGGCGTATCAAGAGCGCTGGAAATATGTACTATGGCAAGGCTACCACCCCCCTGCATGCCCCCCGAAAAGTCCTCTTTCTGCGTCGAACCTCAAGGCAACCAGCCAGCTAGCCAGCTAGCCAGCCCCCACTAGCAAGGCATCATCAACTCTATGATTCTACAGGTTGGTATCTCTTTGTAGTGGGAGCAGTAGCAGTAGCAGCAGACGTTCTCTAGGCCTCCCAAAGCCTTGCAGCAGAACGCCACGCGCTCACTTATCCCGCAACGTGCCCTTCTCCTTCCTTCTGCCCCGACAGCCCCCTTTGTCTACCGACTTTAGAAAGCTTTCTAAAAGACGCTGCCCTTATACGACCCTTCTGTGCAGAGTCGCATGCGCGTTGTCTTTGCCAAAGGCCATGAAGGAAGCGCAGCATCGCAAAGGCCTTTAGGAAAAGGCCTTACTCGAGAGCCTGCAAAGTGGCTCTGACAGCCATGCGGATATATCCCACCTTGTTTCGATTATCCATCCAGCTACGTTGCACCTGCTCCCTGCGGTCTGCATCGAGCTTCGCGTGGTAAAACGCTGCGGCTATGCCTGCATCCTCCAAACCTTCTGCCACCTTCTCGCAGTCTCTCTGGCTCAGGCTGCAGCAGCAGCAGACAAAAACCCCAAAAGACGCATAATACCACTCAACGCACGCACACACACAAACACACACACACACATACATCCTAAAGAAAGAACATGCTGTTTGCATGCATCCGCCGGGAAGCTCGTGATACGCCAGAATTTTGCAATATGGCACAAAGCCCATATAGGGGAACGGCAGCGTTGAGCTTCTGGCATGCATCAGGTGCAAAGGAAGGATACTTAGGAGCTAGAGATATGCGAAAAGGGGCCTCAATTTCCACGCCGGTGCCGCGTAGGGAAAGGGGGCAGCTACAGCGCTACATGGAAATGAGACAGGGACGGTAAGCTAAGATGGGACTGCATGCCATGCCAGTTTGGCGGATATGCGATGTCTATTATTCGGGTGCTGTACAGCCTATTGCAACGGGGAAAGAGAGCTATGCAACGACATATTTCTCTGAGCGCCTCCTGCATACACTGAGGAGGAAGGCCACGGTGCCTCTTCTTTGCGGAAGCCGCCAGATCACGTGGTGAGGGGTGCAGGATTGCAAGAGGGGGGATGGAAGGGGTGAGCGGGGGGTGTATTCTACGCCGCAAGGCACAGAATATACCCCCTATCGAGAGACAGACACATGCCCTACGGAGCCTCGCTAGGTGCACCTGCAGAGAAAGTGGGGGCGAACCAGCAGGCGATGGAACGGAAGCGACAGAAAAAAGAGGAGGGAGAGGAGAAAAAAGAGGAGAAAGAGGAGAAGAAGAAAGAGAAGAAGAAAGAGGAGGAGAAGAAAAAAGAGAAGAAAAAAGAGAAGAAGAAAGGGGAGGGAGAGGAGAAGAAGAAAGAGGAGGGAGAGGAGAAGAAGAAAAAAGAGAAGAAAGAGGAGGGAGAACTATTGAGAGCAACTTACCAATAGACGATTCCACAAACTCCCTTGAAGTTATCCCTTACGAGTTCTACTACCTGCTGTACCCACCGCAGTCGCTGCTTTGGCAAGACTTCATATCTGAATGAGGAACAGAGACGTGAGTGTCAAGGCAAATCACGCACACAGCATCAGCACCAGCAAGCGCAGTTCTACCTGCCTAGCTGCTGGCTCGCCTCGGAGCGACAGACAGACAAGCGGGGCAGTGCACGGCAAGGGAGAGGCATGCGGGCGGATCAGAAAGAAAAGCAGGGAGGCCTCTTCTTCGAGAGACAGGACGGCTGTGTTAGGGACTGTAGCGTAATCTCCACCTGAGATTTGGTCTGTCGAAGGAGCGCTGAAAAATCACAGGCTGCTTCATGCCGAGCTGCCGCTGAACATCCTGAAGAACGGCTACCGTTGCTGTTGCTGTCAAAGCGACTATCGGCACGTTGGGAAATTCTGCAGCGCAATAGAGACGCAATTGCGAGACCAGCGTGCCGGGAGGTAGGCCTTGATTTGCCCCCTTTCTTTGTCTTTGTATTTCGAATAGCGGGTTCGTGAGGATGTGTGGGGTGTGCCGTGAGAAAAGGGGGGAGAAGTGCGCAGATCGCTAGCGACTTTGGGTGGGGAGCAGCATCTCCGCAGAGAGAGAGAGAGAAAGCACTGCCCTCCCCGTAGAGAGTCCGGTTGGTCGATTTTCCTTGCTGGGAGCGTCTTTGAGAGGAGCGCAAGTGCGAGACAATTGAGTCAAAGGGTCCTCACGGGAGAGAGAGGGGAGGAGGGGAGAGGAGAGGAGAAGAAAAGAGCTTCAGTGCGCGTGTGGAGAGAAAGAGAGCGACAGCGAGAGAGAGAAAGAGAAAGAGAGAGAAAGAGAGAGAGAGAGAGAAAGAGAGGGAGAAAGAGAGAAAGAGCTTGAGGCCGTTTGCAACATATTTAAACACCTTCTCTCAAACGGCGAAGCTGGCAATAATCCGGTCTGAAGTCATTCCCCCACTGGCTAACACAATGGGCTTCATCCACTGCAAAGCGAGAGAGCCTTCCTTGCTTATTCAGCTCGTGGAGAGCAGATCGAAGTGCGCGGCTGCCGCTTATCTTCTCGGGAGTCATGAAGACCAGGTGAATTGGGCTGTCTTCATCCCTCCTTCACGCCAGGCATACCGCAGAAGTGCAGCACAGACGCATGCCATCAGGGGCACATGACATGCCGCATTAGTGGCGTGCAGGAGCTGCACTGTCCAAGGCGCATGCCTTCAGAGCTCTACATCTGCTGATTGAAAAAAAAGGAACGCCATCTCTCTTTTACCAGCTACATCTCCTTTCTGCTACAGCGGCATCATGTACAGGGAACAAGAGGGGGAGAAAGAAGGGAGGGAGGAAGAAGCGGGGGAGGAAGCAGAGAGGGAGAAAGATGAGAGGGAGGGGAAAGGAATAAAGAAAGAAAGGAGGGAGGGGAAAGGAATGAAGAAAGAAAGGAGGGAGGGGGAAGTTGCGTGCCGCTGCTCGGCTTAGAGGCACAGCAAATGAGACAAGTCCATGTAAGAATGACGCACAGCTCTTCATACACTTGACGCTGTTCTTCCCAGCTCTGGTTTGATGTAAATGCCCGACATTCAATTCCAAGGGCTTGCAGTTGCACCATCTGATCCTGAGAGAATCGGTAGCCACACGAAGAGCATTTTCTGCACGAGAGTTTTGTGGGGGCGAATGTGCCAAAAAAGCCCTTGGACAAAAACTACTGCTTTTCCCCGCTTTCTCAAAGCAAGCAAAGCAACACCCCCCCATCCACAGAAGCGGCTCCCGAAAGGAGCTCTCTTCCCAAGTGCACTTGATGCAGAGACCCTTAACTACATCGGCAGAGAGCATCAAAGGCTTCAGCATTGCATCAAGAAGATGACGCAAATAAGGAGGAGGGAGGAGCAGACCGCACTTGCATCAAGGAGAGCAGAGGCATGACGACAGCAGTTACCCCCCGCTGCACGACAGCTGGAAGCTGGAAACACAGGCTTTTCCCGCCACCTGTAGGCATCATGACGAAGACGTCCCGTGCACTTAGCACTGCATTGATGATTGATTTCTGCGAAGATCGCATAAAGACTCGCCCACCGTCGCAGCAACACGCCCGCCTCACAAAAGCGGCGCTGCATCGTCCGAAGACCCCTTAGAAGGGCAGGAGGAGAAGGAGACGCTTGCTTGCATGCACAAGGGCGGATGCGGCTAGATGTGGCCCACCTAAGCGAGGAGCCTAAATGTACTAAGCAGTACGAAAGAAATTTATCTAAGGAGCGCGGCAGCACACGCTCGACCCTCTACAAAGACTTTCTCGAACCTTCCTTCTGCACACGATCAATTCATTCGGGTTCGGGTGTTTACTTATGAACAACCGTGGATAGCGGCTGGAGCTGCGGCTGGCGAGAGAGAGAGAAAGAGAAACAAGGAGGACACGCGTCTACGAAGAAAAATCTTGCGAATGGAGCCTCGAGGAAGCCCATGTACAGCGGAAAGCCGGGGTGTACCTGCATGGGTCTGAAGGCGAAGTTCTTGAAGACGCTGCGATTGATGCGTTGCACCTCCGAATCCCATGGAAAAGCACGAGTTTCCCAGTTTGCGCATTGTTCGGTATTCAAGACAACTGGCCCTGCCCAAGCGTCGTAGTCTCCAGCGCCCACGTGATACCTGCTGCTGCTATTGCTGCTACTGCTGTTGCTGGCGGTGTTATAGGGGGGAACGGTGTCACGAAAGCCTCCTTGGGCGCAGTTGAGGGTGTCTTCGGAATTCCTGTCCTTAAGCCAAGCAGGAACGGTGGAGGCGGAAGAGGGAGGGCAGCCTCCCGCAGGGAGCTTGGAAGAGCCCTCAGCGCCGTCTCCCCATGAAGTCGACGCGCTGTTGCCGCAAGCCGCTGCTTGCCGCTGCATTCCACGAGGACTACTCTCGCCGATATGCGCTTCCGCAGCAGCCTGCCACTGCCCAGAAACGCCGCTTTGCCTTCCGTCGACAAGGGAACGCGCGTGCAAGGGGTGCTGCCCTGGAGGAGGGGGATGCTGGGGAGGCCCTAAAGCCCCCTGTGCTTCATGGGGAGGCCCTTCAGCAGCAGCTGCAGCAGCTGCTGCTGCTGCTTCCGCCTCCCTCTTGGCTTGCAGGTTTCGTGCCTCTTTGGCCTTGCGTTGGTTTTCCAGAGCGCGTTGAAGGAAGGCTCCCAGAACGTCTCTGGGAACGCCTGCAGCTCTTCGCACGGCCTCACCCGGTGCTTCCACGGATCTGGTGAACTTGCAACGAGTGTGCAGAGCCGTGAAAACCTGTAGGCCACATTTTCAGAAACAGACGTGAAAGCTCAGCAGGGGAGCAGCTCTCAGCCTCGAGAAGAGATCTACGCAGGCAGGCACACACGCCTTCTCTCTCCCTCTCTTTCTCGTAAAGACAGCCAAAAAGCGCCTCCCTCGAGGAAGAAACCCTGGAAGGGGGGACGCCCGCGGCGCAGGTAGCTACAGAGGAAAGGCAAAGGCTTTCTCCCTCAACCGCGACCATACAGCGGGGGCCCCCTCAAGGGGGCCCCCGCTGAATGAACCCGCTAGCTGGAACAGCGTGACGGACGTGGGTGTAGGAGGGTAACTTTTTTGCGGTAAAAGAGGAAGGAAAGGTGGGAAAATGCGACGCGAGGCCGCCTCTTAGCGAGCAGTTACCTCGAGAGACACGGGTGGAGGGGCTGCGCCTTGAGCAGGATCTAGCACTGGTCTCGAATCTAAGCCTAAAAAGCCCTCCAAGAGAACGGCAGGGGGGAAGAGCAGGTCGGAGTTTGACGCTGGATATCCCTCGGAAGCCTCCGATTTGCGGGAGCCAAAAGCGAGCTGCTCCTCGAACCACTGGAGATGCTTCTGGAGAAGCGCTTTCCCGGTGTCTTGCTTTACCGCCTTTCGTGCCGTTTGAGCGCCAATGTCGCCGTCACCCCACAGGGCATCAGGAGCATCCCTGTCTGCCGCATCGTCTCCCACGGAGAGCTGATGAGGCGCTCGAAGGCAGTGCTGTTGCTGGGGAAGCCCCAACGTCTCGGCGTGCAGACCCTTTCCCCGGCCTAGGAGCACGCCGCTTGTGGCTGCATGCGCTGCTACAGACATAGCGGGCAGTTAGAGGGGCCCTGCTCTGCGCCCCTCTGGTGAGCCTCTGCCTCGCCAGCGGCGGCAGCAAGCAAAAAACAAAGTCTTTGCTGCCAGAGGACAGAACAGTCAGGCCTGTGCGGCAGTCTTGACAGCCCGACGGAGAGGGGCTACACCATGGCCGGAGGTCAAACGACGCCTTCGAGAGAGAGAGAGAGAGCGAAGGAGCAGTGTCGCGAAAGAGCAGTGTCGGGTTGCCTTTAGGCCAGAGAAGCAGTGATTACAGACTCCCCCTCCCTCCCCCCGTGGTACACCCCTTCCCCTTACACCGGCAGCCGCTATCCCGGAGCGGCCTGGGTACAGTCCCCTGCTCCGACTCCCCCGGAGAGACACCAGCTTCACCAATCGGCGCAAACCCCGCCCTTTCGCTCCCTAGCGCGGAAGGTCGCTGGCATCAGCTCGCCAGGTGCACAGGCGTGGCCGACTTTGCCGTTTTCTTCGAGAAAAATCCTGCGGAGAGAGAGGCTGCAGACTCGCGTCCACGAAGTGTGAAAGAAGGGATCGACGCCTTCGCAGGAGAGACTGCGAGCTGCAGTCGTAGGGAGCGAGCTGTAGGGGCAGTTGGAGTAAAGGGTACTGAGAAGGGGGCCCCTTCCTGCAGTAGGGCGGCGGCTGCGGCTGGGCCCCTGGGGTGGCGGTGGTGGTGGGTGGGGTCGGGGAGTCTTGCAGCTGGCAGGGTCCCCTTGCGTCCAGGCGTTCTCCGAGAGTCTAAACGATAAAAGGCAGTGCAAAAAGAATCTAAACGGGCAGTGTTACCACAAAAACACTCAGATTCGAGCGTGACAGAAGTGGGGTTCGAACCCACGCCCTTTCGGACTGCGGCCTTAACGCAGCGCCTTAGACCACTCGGCCATCCTGCCGGGTGCCTCGGGTGGTTTGCGATGGTGACTCCCCGTTTCGCATCGAAAGATTGCGCAAGAAGCCTTTATTCACCAAGCCCAGAACTGTAGTTGCGTAGTTCTTTTCACTGCTCTAAACGCTTCGTCGCTCTCGGATCGCAGGCGCAGTGTGCGTGCAGGGGCTTCTTCTCCTCTTGCGGAGCTGGGCGAGGCGCTGTGTAGAGTTCGCGAACGGTGGCAAAGTTCCCACACATCCGGCGGCATTAGATTGAGGAGTTCCTCCACGCATTAGGAAGTAAACGTCCTTGGAAATTGCACGAATTTACACATCGATTTAGTGTAGAAGAGCCCGTCGAGGGCCGACTTCCGCATCGAAGGCCAGAGGGTCGAGACGGGGGGTGAGAGGAGAAGGGCAGCGGGCCGTTGGGGGTGAAGGGGGGAGGGGGGAGTTAAGTGTTTTCATCCCTTGGCCTCCCCCAGCTGCATGCACGCCGGCAGTGGCACTTTTTGCCGCCGACTCTGCTTTTCTAGCCACTTGAAATAACCGTGCGGAGTGGGCAATTAGCTGCCTGTGCGTATCCTGGGCGTCCCCTGGGAAGGCCTCGCGCGGTCTCTCTCTGCTTCACAGACAGCGAACAGACTCGGTGGATCTTCTCAGCAGTTCGCACTGCAGCTTCCCGTGCCCCTCTCTTCCCTGGAAGATCCTTGCCAGCGGTTTTCCTGTGTGTTGACACGCCTTGTCTGGGGCACCTTGCGCGCGCAAACGCTCATTCTCTAGCAGCGGAGCGCTCCTCTGCGTGGCCCCTTCTAGCACCACTCGCCTCTTCGTGCCTCGGCGATCGAATCCGTTCTCTGCGGGCGTTCTCTTGGCACAGACGCGTGGAATTTCGCCCCCTGTAGTCTGCAATGGCCTCCCTCCGCCCGCCTCCAGCGCGAGCATGACCGCAGGCAGGGGCCCCCGGCTACAGCGGGGAGGGGGCCCCCCCCCGATCCCCTCCCCGACCTCCTCGGGGGCCCCACGAGGCCCTGTGTGTCACGAGGCGCACAGCACCCCGCCGACGTCTGTGGGCAGGAGCCAACTCCCCGCCGAGCAGGCCAGACAGCAGGGAAGCGCCGCGCCGCTGCCCTCTCTCCTGCTCTTGTGCGTGTTTCTTTCGCTAGCAGCGCGTTCGGGTGCAGCCACCCCTCTCCAGCCCGAAACATGTCAAGGCCCCTACGCCTCCCTTCTCGTGAGCAGCAGTTGCGCCCTTGCGAGTCTCCCGTGCTGCAGCCGCCTCAGGCCTCCCAGAGCAGCCCGCCCCCCTTCGCCTCAGCTTCGGCAGGTGCACCAGGCCTTTGGCATCTTGACGCGCAGCAAGGCGAGGCGTGCTACAGTAGCCCACCGGGGGCAGAGTCCTCTTTCGAGCTGCTTTTTCCATGGCTCGCCCATGGCTGTGAAGGCGCACAGCCTCTCCCCCAAGGAAGGCCAGCTATGTGGGTGGCCCTCCTCGGGAGGCGCTGCTGCGGCGCGCTATGCCGTCAAGGATGCCGAAAGGCTGCAGGCAGACTATTCTCCGGGAGGGGGCCCCCCCAGAGCCTCTTTGGAGAAGCGCGGTGGCAACGGGTACCCCGTGGAGAACGCGGGGGACGGCAGCAGCGAGGCCTTGCTACGGCTGCCTGTGCGAGCAGCACTGGCCGCTAAAGTGGTGCGGCGTCTGAGTCTTCGCCTCTTTGGGGCTTTGAAGGCCCCCTTCTCAGCGAATGCGGCGTCTACGGGCAGAGCAGAGCCAGCAGCAGTAGCAGCAGAACTCGCAGCTGGAGCCGCTGCAGTGCCTGCCGCTGCCACTGCGGCTGCAAGGTGTCTCCAGGGGCTGGGGAACGCCGTAGGGGAGCTTCAGGCAATAGCCCACTCGCGAGTGACATCGGCAGCTCTGTGGGTGCGTGTCTGCACTGCGGTGCCTCTGGCAGTGGCTGCGGCAGGGGCCGTCCTGCTGTCTCCGCTTCCCGCCTTCGCCGTCCTTGGGTGGGCGCAGTCTCTGCTGGGATCTCGAGAGTTCTTAGCGCTCTGCAGGAGGAAGCGCTTTGCTGTGCCTTCCCTCGCGGGGCACGCTGCTGTCAACGCGCTGCTCATGGCAGCCGCTGCTACGGGGGATGCGGAGAAGCATTTGCTGGTAGGTGTCTTCTTCTCAGGACCCAGTGCTTAGGGCCTCCAGTGCCTCCTGCATGGCTTTGATTCGAAAACGGCGTGCGAGGCTGAAAAATCGCCTTCGCGGTGTGCAACTTCCTGATCAAAATGAGGCCCACTCTCCCGAAGCCCCTTGCGGGGTCACCTTCTCTTTTACGGCTCGAGGAGGCGTTGGATTGGCGTCTTTTGACGGCTTTACCTCCTAGAGTGCTTCTGCAGCTCTAATTCCTTGCGTAGAAGCTCTCACCGTAATATCCTCTTCCTCTCTTAAGCCTGCCCACCGACCGTGCCTGCCCGCTTGAAGGTGGGAGAGGACCCTTACGGCCTTCCTGCCGCCCTCCGGAGGGGCTGCTCTTCAGTGGGAACGCTTTTAGGGGGGCCTTTGCTTGACGAAGTGCTGCCGTTTGCTCTCTTTTCATGTGCCACTCCTCCCGTTGTGGCTCTAGAGGAGGAGGGAGAACTAGGAAGCTGACGGCGGTCTGCTGAGTGCGTGTGTATATGTGTGGACATAAAATCACGCGTGTCTGGGGGCTGCTTGCATGCGTTTTCTTCTTGTTCCGGTGTACGATGGATGGGCCGCAACGGATGGCGAGAAACGCAGCGCCCTCAATACATGTCTCTGCTTCCTGAACGGTCTTGCGCGTAAAAAGTCGTGCATGTGCTTCCTCAGGTTTGTGTGCGTGTGCGTGTGTGTGTGTGCTGTTGTGCTTGTGACTCCAGGCAGAGGGTGCTGCGCTCGGCGTGCAGCTCGCGGCTTCTCTGTTGTCTCCCCCGAGCCGCAGGGGTATTGCAGACGTAGGGGCCTCCATTTTTGGTCACGTCTGGTGCGCCTTCCTGCCATCCTTTTGGGTACGCCTACGGGCTCTCCGGTGCCCCCTCCTCGACCCTCCTCGGGAAAGCCAGCCCTTTGTAGAGCACGATCCAGCAACAGATGCAGCAGCAAATGCAGGAAAGGCCGGCTCATCACGACGAGGACGGAAGCCGAAGGACTGGGCACAGCCTTTTCTCTCGCGTCTGCCCCATCGTTGCCTGATTGCAGCCCGTGAGGGGATAGAGGCGTTGAAGGCCTCCCTAAGGGCGCCATGGGGGCCTCGCTGGCTCATTCTCTACGGCTTTCTATTGATCGCGCTGAATGACAGCATTGCGTACTTTATGGGCTCTTACTTTGGCCGAACGGGCATTGCAGCCCTCTTCCCGCTCATCAAGGGAACTCCTCTGCCCCCCGCAGCGCTTGTCTCGCCAAGGAAAACTGTTGTTGGTCTTGTCGCCGGAGCAGCCACCAGCGCTGCGGTGGGCGGGGCTTTGGTAGCGGCCTTGGGGGCAACAGCCGCTACGCGAGCCTCCGCAGCGGCGCCTCTGACGTGGCATGCACCGCGTCAAAAGAGGCCTTCCTCCCCTCTGGCAACGGCAAGGACCAGAGCTCCTGCGCCAGCAGCTTTCGCGCGTGCCTGCCTCGCCGCCTTCCGGCCCGAGGCAGGGAAAGGGATGTCTCGCGAGAAACTGACGTGCTTGCTCAGCTTCAGCGCTGTAGGGGCCGCCTTAGGCTTTGCAGTGTCGGGAGCTGCCGTCGCGGGAGACCTACTCGCAAGTCTCCTTAAGCGTGATGCTGGAGTCAAAGACTCAGGGGCCCTTCTTCCAGGCCACGGCGGCTGGCTCGACCGCACTGACGCGCACCTACTCGCAGGGCCCCTTTTGTTTGCATGCGGCCGACTGCTGCAGTGGTTCCTGCTCCAGCTTGAGGCTGCAGCAGCCGAGCAGCAGGCTCAAGGCCTCTCGGAGCCAAGGACCCCTGGTGGCGTGCGCGCTCCTAAGTCCAAGGGGAGGGCGGGGGGCAGCAGCGGCCGCCACGGTGGGAAAAGAAACCATTAGGTAATAAGGGAAGGATCCCCAAACACACACGACGCACGACCCTCCTCCTGAATAGGTCGTCGCCGCTTCCTGCTTGCCGTATTGTTTGATGGGCCCCTGGCTGGGGCGCTCTGAGGCCTCGTTGTAAGTGCCACGTCGCGCCGCCTTCTACTTCAGCCACCCCAGCTGGAGCCAACTGACATTCCACCTTTTTAAATATCTATATATATATGCCTCCCTTTGAGCACGTCTTCACGTAGGAGATGTCTCTATTTTGATGCTCTGCGAGAGGCGGTTTATGGGGCCCGCACGCGCAACTTCCCAGGACGCACATGCCGGCGGCATGCGCCTACTAGCAGCGACATGAGGAAGGAGTGCCGCCTCGAGTCTGGCAGTGCTTGCAGCAGGCAGGCAGGCAGGCTCTAGCTCGCAGGCCTACTGGCTAGGCTCTAAAAGGGGCTTCGATGGTTTGGTGACCTATTGCTCTGCGGCGAAAGACGCTGAACATGCCTACGAAAAGCAGCGAGTCGCTGTACCCCCTTTTGGCCTATTTTTTGCCCCTCTCCCCCTCCCCTCTTTTTAGCACGACGGCACACACGCGCTGCTGGCTGGCTCAAAAGGCAGCAGCCCGTCTCCTCGCTGCGGTGCCCGACGCTCACAAACAAGCTCGCCCGTACTGCTAAAGAACCGTCTAAAAGTAGAGACGCACTGTGGCAGAAACTAGAGCATGTTGCACATGCAACTTCCTTGTTTAGAAGGCCCTACTGAGGCGTAAGTGCGCCTCTCAGCAGAGACGTTTGGCTGCATATTTTAGCGAACGCCCACATAGCCAAGCCCGGAGAACGTATCCGTAGAGACTGTCTCTATCCGGCGCATATTATACCTTGTCATTCCGCATCCCCCTCCCACTACTCCGCCGGGCCCTCTCTACACAAGACGGTTCAACCACGGCGGAATGGGAACCTTGCTCTTCGTCAGGTGCGCAATGAGGGCAGGAGCAAGGTGTGCGTCTTTCTGTGAAAAGTATGAGATCGCACGCCCAGTCCTTCCAGCCCGGCCCGTCCTGCCGATGCGATGAACGTACGGCTCAATGGTGGGAGGCATCTCAAAATTGATGACAAGGCCGACATCGGGGAAATCAAGACCCCTAGAGGCGATGGAGGTGGCCACAAGTGCCCGCACCCTTCGACTACGGAAGGTAAGATACACCTGCTTCCGGTGCTCTTGCTGCATTGTACCAAAAAGCGTCTCGACCCCGATATTGGCGGCCCTCAGATGATCTGCTACTCCCCTGACTGTTGTTTTCCCCGAGACAAAAACTATCACCTGACCCCCCTCCCCGGGCACCTCGCCATCAGCTCCCTCGGGCTGTGATTCTACAAAGGCCTCAATGTCCTTCACCAACTCCGCCAGCTTTTCATCCCATCCCTGCACCCACTTCACCTCCTGAAAAACGGCATTATACACACGCAAACATACACACTCACACACGGATTCGCACGGCCCCTGCGCAATGTCGCATACACCGTGGGTCCAGGGAACAGCAAGCATGACAACGAGGACACTAGACACCTCTCCCCCCACAGCCTGTGCACACTTATGCCACTGCTGTGGAAGCGCTACTAAGCCTAAGCACCAAATCCGCTATCGCGAAAGGGTGCGGCATATGTATATATATATATATAGGAAGCCGCCTCCACCCCATCCCCTTCGCCCCCCTCCGCTACCCCACCCCTGTACAGCCACCCCAGGCCAAAAGAGAATCTTCTTGCTCTCGCTGGGCTTTTATTTCCCTGTGGCTCTCAAAAATCCCATAAACACAGCTACCCCTGCCAAAGACTGCGGCAGTCTGCCCCAGACGCACACTCAGGCACCCGTAAAAGCGGGCAGGGGGTGCGCACACCAGCAAAACCAACGTAAAAGATCGCCGATTATTTTACGCGCCTGCCCCCCGTACCTGGCGAATTGCTGTATCGTCCCTCATGCGAGTCAGCGCCTTGCCAACCTCCACGCGGAAGTAGGGCGTCCTTAGCATGGAAGGAAGCATCGCCATGAGATTCGGGGGGAAGGTGGCAGAAAAGAGAAGTGTCTGCCGGTTCTCCGGCATATCCCTGCTAGTTGCGAGTTCCGTCATCTGAGACAAATACCCCGCAGTTTTCCAAGCGAAGCCGACAAATGTCCACAAACGAAGAGACCACTTGTGCTAGGAGTGCACGATAGCAAAACCATCCCAACCTGTGCGCCACCCCCAGCCCCTGCAGCAGCCTCGTCAGCCACGCAAGACGCAGCGCAAACAACGGCTGCCTAGAGCCCGCAACTCTATAAGCAAGCACGACACAGACGCATGCGAACAACCCCCCAAAGCATGTCCTACCACTCTCTGAAATCCAAGGTCCAGCATCGCGTCCGCCTCATCCAACACAAGCAGTTGCACGAACTCAAGCGTGACCTTTCCACGCAGGCATAGTTCGTCGACACGGCCCGGCGTGCAAATGGCAATATCAATCTGCCGCTGATTTATCTCGTGCACCTGAAGTTCCCACCGCACACCCACCCGCAGCCCTATCCCCATATACGTCTTCAAAGACGCTGCGGACGGCGCACTCCCTACGCCAACCCACCACAAAAAATTGCCTACAGCAGACTGACGCAGGGCTCCTGCCGTTATAGTGAACCCCGCCTACCCACCCCACCCCTGTCCCCCTTTCCCCTCCGCCTCGAAAGGCGCCTTACATTCCCTGGCTCTCCACTCTGCCCTCCCCCCATGGCTTGTCCACTCATCTCCGCTCAAGGCTCTGTGCGCTACTGAGAGGGCAGGAAAGCAGCTTGCCTGTTCTGTTGCAGACACCCCACCAATCCAGATGCTGTGAGACAAGCTTGTTCCGGCCACCAGACGCGCCAACTGCAACATACAAAACGCACCGACCTCCACGCAAACTTTAGAGTCGCCTCCTAGGCCCCGCCGGTAGCAGCAGTCCTAGGCTTACTCACAGAGGCATCAGAACCTACAGCAGACGTGTCTGCTCCTCAGCCTGCCGCCCCTCCACCTGCGCATGGCTCGCGCGCACGAACTTCATGCAATGCCCTAAGGCCCCGCACACCTCACCTGCTCATTGATCTGGATTGCCAACTCCCTCGTAGGACATAAAACAACTGAGAGCGGTGACGCCTGCAACTCACACACACACATTTACACACACAAACACATATACACATATATACATATATATGTACATATATCCACGTGCACAATGGCTGCAGCCACAACCGGGAATAAACAGACAGCAAGACCCTCCTAAGAACACCACGCGCAAGTGTGGCTGCCACCGAGCCTCTGAAGGTCGGCCTGCGCTTGCCAAGGAAACGAAATTCTTTCCCAAACTTCGAGTCACTCTGGCTGGATCAGCGCATTTCCTCCTTCCCCCTACCCCTTCCCCCCTACCCCCGCCCGCCAAGGGGATATATGTAGCCCGCGTGCATCACTGCCTCGTATGCAGCTGTCTGCCGAACAAACGCCATCTACAAATGGCCTCTTGAAGTCCCTCTCCGCAGCCCCTGTGCCCCCTCCTCCCGCCAAAAAAGAGGCTCGCTTCCCGCGTCAAAGTCTCCTGTGGCGCAGTTTGACTCGTGCAGAGAGCAGCCGCGGCACTCGACTCACCTGCGCGTGGCTCCCAGGGAAGTGAGGCCGAAAGAGGCCCTCGCAGCTCAATACCCGAGAAACGAGAGGCGCCAAGAAGGCAAGGGTCTTGCCGCATCCGGTGGCTGCACAGCCAAGGAGGTCGTGGCCCTTACCCACAATGGGAATCGCGTAGCGTTGAATAGGGAGCAACCAACGGCACTTCATTTTCTTGAGATTCTCGACCACTCGCGCATCGAGCAAGGCCCTCTGGCCATCCTTGCAGCTGTCCAGAGTGTCAGCAGGCTCAGGGATTGAGGCCTGATCGCCTCCCACCACAGAGCAGCTCACTTCCTGCTCCAGCAACTCGCTGAAACGGCCACCTGCACAGGCTCACCCATGCAAAATCAGGAGACTGCTTCACAGCGCCACTACACACCGCACGAGGAGAGCTGCTTAAGCGGAGGCCAGGCCAGCTCCTCTCTGTCAGATTCAAGGTTTACACATGTACACAGATGTATACATATATATACATACAGACACGTAGACACACAGACACATAGACAGACACACAGACACATAGACAGACACACACACACACAGACACGTAGACAGACACACAGACAGACACGTAGACACATACACATAGATACAAGCACAGACAGACACACACACACATACACTGGCACACACACACATACACAGACACACACACACATGCACTAACTCTTCGAAGGACGGGGTGGGGGGCAACGCCAACACATGCTAGCGGATAACCGTTTCCACAGGTTGTCGCTTGCTGTCTTGCGAACGCGTCAGCAAGCGCCTCGAGGAAAAGACGCTCGCGGCGCTGTGCTGTGGGGAGGCACCTGTGAGAGAGAGGTCGAAAACCTCGTCTTCACTTTCTTCCCCCTCTGGATCGACTTCTGGGGTATCTGCGGGTGGCTTCTCCTCGGAAATGCTGCGGCCCCTGTAAGCTCCGTAAGAGGGAGACCGTCGCTCCCTTCCCCGCGAGTTGCTGCGAGACTGCAAACAGACAGTCGCACAAACAAGCCCCACCACCAGCCTGCACTTTGATAGGCTCGCTGAGGCTCCTTCCTCCCCACGGGGGTGGGGGGAAGGGAAGGGAGGAGGGAAGGGGGAAGGAGGGGGTTGGGGGTAGGAAGAAGCCAGGAGGGAAAGGCGCACACCGTTTCGTGTCGTGGCGGCGCAGCCTCTTTGAAAACACATGCGTGAAAAATGCCGTGTGCAACAAAAAGGCCCCCCTGCTGCGTTCCCCCTGTCTCCTATCGCCTGCTCTCCCCCTTCCCCCCCGCTTTCCCCCCGCCTTCACCAAGACCTCCTCCCCACGCCCCTACGCGCGCATGCGCGGCAGCAGCAGTCATCGCCATAGATCCCCATTGACAGTCATCAACTGGCGCACCTTGTATCGCATGCCACCGCATGGAGGCGAAGGCGATCGACGAGAAGAAGCCGCTGCGACTTGCTCGAGGGGAGGTTCCTGCTGCTGCGGATGCCTTGAGGTCTCTTGGGGAGTCGAAAGGACGGCGGGAGGAGATTCTTTCGCTTGCTTGACGTCGGTCGGTGCCGCTACTGAATATGCTGTTTCGGGAGAAATCGGGCATGCGGGGGAAACCCCGCGAGGAGTCGTGGGGAGTGTCACCGCGGGAGGCTCCACAACAACGGAGGCGTCAGAAGCCGTCAGTTCCGATGCATGTGGGGGGGCAGGTGATTCTGGGAGCCTTTCCCCCGCCCCCTCCGCCCCCGACTTCAACTTTTTGCTCTCCTTGTTTCCGTGATCCCTCTCGCGCGAAGAAGACGATGGAGTTGTGCTTCTCTTGCGCTTGTGAGACGCGTGCCTCCGCTCGGACTCTTCCTTACCGTCTCCGTGGCGATGGTCGCTAGAGGCCCTCTTCGAACATTTTCGGTGTCGCTCTGATACCTGCTGCTCGCGTCTTCGATGCTTCCGCTTTTCCTCCTGCTCCGAGTGCCTCCGGCTGCCGTGCCTCTGGAGGTCTCTGTGGCTGCCTTTCTCCTGTCGCTTCTTTTCCGCCAGCCGCGACTCGTCCTCGCTCTTCCCATCCTTCTGGTGGCTTCGCTCCCTGTCTCCGTCCCGCTCATCGAGCTTCTGACGAGGATCGCCGTCGCTCCTTGAATCCCGATCTTTTCTGTGGCTCTGGCCGTGCCGATCCTCCTTCTGCTCGTCTCGCGCGCTCTTGTGCACCCGCTGGCTCTCGCCGCTGCTCTTTTTCGCCTCTTTGCTGCGTTCCTTGCTTCGTTCCTTCGAAGACCGTCGCTTCCTCTCAGCTTCCTTGAGCCTGCGGCCTTCGCTCTTGAGTCGACTGTCGTCCTCCCCCCTGTTCCTACTGCTGCTGGTCGGGTGTTTCTTCTTCCCCTCACTCCCGTGCTTGCGAGTGCCGAGATCCTCCTCCATTCCGCCGACCGAAAGAGACGCCTCTCCTACCGCTGCCGCCCCCTCGAGGCTTTTCCAGTCACCAACGTCGCCAGGCATTCTGATCGGCAGCCCCCCCCCCTGTGCTACGGCCGTGAGTGCAGCAGCAAAAAATGCGCAGGTGTCTCGGGTACGTCAACTAACCCGCAACCAAGTGTATCCCGGTGCATGCACGTACAGCCCCCACAAGCGCCCCGAAAGGGATCCACAGAAAGGCAACAAATTTCCAATACAAGAACACCGCATGCAGGGCCCGTGCGCAACGCGCCAGGGGCCTGCAGCTGACCCCGAGGCTCCTGTTCGAGAATCGATCGGAACGCTTCACTGCTTCCGGGAGGCTGCACAAGGTCTTATCCGGGGGTTCCAAATTTCTACAATCCTTGAAAACCACGAACGTGGCATTCAAGGAGTTCGGGAGGACTAAAAAACCTCAGGGGTGGGTTCTCACGGGCGTGTGATGGGGAGGGTTCACGGAGGGGGCCCTCTGCAGCCTGTCTACAAATCCTTGTGTCGCCCCTTCACCTGCCTCCTCTCCTGACCTCATTTACGCCCACGGAAAGAAATCAGCAACGACTAATTATATCACCCGCCCCCCTTTAAGGAGGTACGCCACACCGCAACACAGCAGCGAAGCCGTGCCTCATGGATCCGAGGCATGCACTACATATGGGGCTGAGACTGCTACTCTCTGGTGCACTTGCTGCTGCTTCTGCTTATCGCCGCCATGCGCCCGTAAAAGAGTGACCTTGCTGACGGCTACATGCGCTACACACTGACGCCTCGACACTATTTTACCCCAGAAAGAAACGCAGGGCATGCGCAGCCAGAAGGCCTTGTCTGCGGTAAAGTGGGAGACAATAATGGAAACCGGTTGGAGGGAGGGGCATGACTAGATCCTTGTCTCGTCCGTCCTGGCGCGCCTACTTGCTGCCTTACTCTGGCTGGCTCAGCTTCCAGCTGCCTCTTCCTACCAAACGCCAAGTTGAGCAACGGCGCACACTGAAAGAGATAGCCCTCCGAAAAGGTTTTGGTGCCTCAAGAAATATCGGCTCTTGCGCTTCGCGAAAGCTGCTGCAGCCACCACCCTTCGGACACCCAATAGAATACAACACGCGATGTACTGCCCCATTTGAGGTCTTTGCAGGGTGTTATTACTTCATTGCAGACGCAATATAACCTTCCTCCTAGGAGTCGAATACAACGAGTGCAGCGAGAACCCTTTATGCACTCCCAGTATTCACAGTCAGTTAAATGCACACAGCATCTCAAGCGCATATGCACCCAAGAGGTCGCGAATTGCTATACCGATCTAGCAGTGCTCTGCAAGGAACTCATTGTACGAATAGATCGACCCATAGGCCAATTCTCTACCAATTCTTAGCTACATACAACTAGTGGAGTAGAAAGTGCTAAAGCGCAGGTTAGCCCGCTACACTTGAGATCATAGAATTCAATGTATGTATCGGGCCAAGTTGTGCTTGGGCACTTTCCAGTACTCTAACTGCTTTAAGCTTTTAGCATTTGTTAACGACTCGTAGTGTTGCTTTTCCGTAAGATGCACCTTGGGGAGACATGGAATAGTTTTGTTTCTGATAGCCTTGAAATTGAGTTTGGAGTTAAGGGCCGCCTTATCTGTTTGTACGCTCTTCACACCTGTAAAACGGGGCAGACATGTGGATAGATCTAAGCTTCTACCAAGTCGCTGTTCGTCGAGTATCCGTCTTAGACGTACAGCCTACCTTGGTAAGATACAGCCGCCTGCACATGTGTGGGTGGCCGGATAAGCTGATATAGGGACTCCTTCTGGCTGCATCAAGACTGCGCCCGTCGCTCGAAAATGACTAAACCCCTTTGGCTGCGTGGAAGCCCTGGGTATTAACTCTTTTTTGAATACAAGACGAGATTCTATGTTTGCTCTTGGAGTCGCAATCAGCTTGCAAGCCTATCTACGAAGTCCTGTAGAGGTATGCTGCAGTACTGCATAGGCAACAGTAGGCGGAAAGCGCTTCGAGCACACCTCAACAGCCAGCCGATTGAGGCAGGTTCGACCCAAGAGCATCGTACGATAACAGGACAGCTCGAGCTCGCTTTTGGCAAGTGTCGTCTTGTGACTCGTTGGGATGCTGCTGTGCCTTTAAAATGCCTTCATGCCTCCCCCGACTCACACTCACAACCACTTAAACCGCAACACCGTAACACTGGTACAAAATTGAACTGAACGGCAAGCGTGCCGCACTCAAGCGCGCACCATTACCTTGCGCTACCCTCTCAATACATTTCAAACTCGTGTTCCCAGACCATGAGATGGGCTGTTGCCCTGCAGGAGCGGGAAGCAGATTTGCGAAACCTACGATGAGCGGTGGCGATATCCGCGTTGCTCAGCAGGCCACATCCGTGTAGAGTGAGATAGTTGTGCAGGCTTGCCACTGACGGAGCCACCAAAATTAATGCATCTGATTTCTTTGCCAAAATTTCTGCCTTGAAGTCCCGCCTTCAGTGCGAATGCGCAAGACAACAGTGGCTGGCTGCTCCTGCGCCGGCAGCACAGAGGAGCGCAGAGCAACTAAAAGCCGTTTATAGACGCTCGGCGGCATTTCAACTGGTGCGAAAACTAGAGTAGCGAAGCTTCTATTCTAAAGAGGCTTCTAATCCTATGTACAAGCTTCTGGCCCGTTTTTCCTTAAAGACATATTTGGGCTGAAAGGGCCATGGAAGACCGCAAAACTAAATAACTGCCATAGCCTCTAAATAGCTACCGTAGGCGATCTCAGGGGACCATGGTCCCCCATACACCCACCCTCAGTGCATGCAAACGCCGTAGAGACGTGCACTGGGCATTGATAGGAGAGCGCACGAAAAAGTCGCTTTTCAGTTCCTCCCACCTGACGGCTGGATGTACAGGCTGCAAACAGGCTGTGATCTGCCCTCCTTCGCGCCCAGATCTTTGCTCTGCGTTGATCTTTTGCCACTGTTAATTCGAATGAATGCACTTAATTACCCATGCTTAGACGGCAAACGAGAATCCTCTTGCATTCCCGGGGCTCCCGACCTCCTCCTTTGTGGATTGGTTTTTGTTGCACCTCCATTCAGTCCACTGACCTCAGCTGAAAGGCCTTCTCCTCCATCAATCCTGTACTCCCCCGTCTGCAGACACGGGCGGACAAGGGAAGGCTCTTAGGGTTCGAAGCACGACGCCGCCAGAAGGAGGGGATTTCTTGTGGGTGCGCTGCGATTTGGCTCATCTTATTGCTGACTGGCTGTCGGCTGGAGGCGGAGCCCACTTACCTCCATTGTGCGCTGCTCGCTACGGCTTCCTCCTCCTTCAGTGTCGGCGACGCCCCTGGGGGAGACAGACACGCGGAGCAGCAAATGCTCTGGTGCTCCTAAAGGGGTTGCAGCCTGTGCGTGCAGTAGCAGCTCATATTCAGGACGCATTGTCACTCTTCAAGAAAGAGAAAGGGAGAAAGAGGCTAGCTATTCATTTTCCCTTCCTCACAGGCGCCGCCTCATAAGCCAGTACTGAGGCCGTAGGATACTGGGTGTTCAGCAGCCCGTGTCTCGGGGCCGGACTGACTCAGATCCACTGCCCGTACATGAGCGAACACGCTTTGCAATGCATCCCATAAGGCCCATCTGCAACGAGCTTTGTGGGCTTTTAGCCAGTATATACGCTGCATCCTGTGCAGCAACGGCTGCTGCAGGGGCAGCTCAGGCTCGGTCGTGTTTCTAATGTACAAGGTTGCTCTTCAGGCAGGCCTCCAAACTCTGCCGTGATATAGCTGCCCTACAGGTGAGATACGGACAGCTAAATGCCTAGTGAAAGCGCCCATACACGTGTGTTTTTTCGTGAGACGCAAAGCCTCCCTCTGCAGCAGAGCGCTCGTCTTGCTAGTTTTGGGGGGAGTTTTTGGATTCGAAAAGGGCGCAAAGGGTTCAACCTTTTATAGGGTAAGCAGCTGTAGCAGCTACCCTCTCGGGGAGGACCCCGTGCACTCCACATAAAGACTCCTAGCCCCAGACTCAGCATAAAAACTAGCAAGAGAATCAGAAAGTGTCTTAGCCGGAGAGCTTTCCTCCCCCCTCCCCCGCCCTCCACTATTCACCCTCATCACTGTAGCGTCCTAACCTCATAGTAAGCATTACGTCGCTGGGATATGCCTCTTGCCGCACGTTCCAAGCATGCGAGCATTTACCGGTACCCGGGTGCACGCGGCACCTTGGCGAACTAGAGAACTATGCTTGGCCTCACTGTGGGGTGCTACCAACCCTATTCCATGCCGCGTAGAACATGCCAGCATCTAAGCCAATCAGATGGCATTCGTAGCCTATTTGTAATTACATGCACCTAGTTTACTTGCAGTAGGAAGGGCAGCGTGGCACCCTGACGCATATAGGTGACCTTCTCGGCCACAACGCCTGACATGCAGCAAGCCACACGGCGACCTCGCTTCTTATGCAGTAGAAAATCTGTGGGAGACAAAAAGGCCCCAACGTGGGCGCAGGGACTACTGCAGCGCGCCGGCGCCACTGTGGAGTCAAGAGTTTCATGCGTCGTGAACGCAGGGCACGGCATTCTCCATCTTCCGAACTATGTGCGCAGGTACACGCCTCTCCGTCCATACGTCGGTGCGTGCCGCAAGGCTGTTGCATGCATAGGATGGCCTGGGAGACACCGAATGCTCTTTTCGCGTGGCCGTGGTGTGAAGGAGATCCTGGGGCCAGGAAACCCCAGCACCCCATCCTGTTCAGTAGATTCTTCTCTTCCCCCAGTCAGCCTCTTTGCTGGCATGGCAGATCGACGGAGAGGTGAAAATTGTCCTCGCTGCAGCTAATGGGGATACTCGCCGCCTTTTGCATGCACAGAAGGGCGACCCCCCATGAGGCCCACGAGTGGGGCCCCCTTCGGGCGCAGTGCATGGGCCCCGCAAGGCGCTCGTCCTTCGCGCAAAAGAGGAACTCATCCAGGCCTCTTTCAATGTTCGAAGGTTGATTTACGGTGATTAGGACCTTTTTCTGGTGCAGCCGCTGTGGCGCGGCTCCTCATGCAGCATGTTCCCCCCGGCATCTGTCGTGCTCCTGCAGGTGTACTAGGCACTTGATCGCCTGCGAAGGGCGTTCAAAAGGTCGTTTTGGAGGCCTGCTAACGGGCTTCCAAACGTAGAGGATCTTCTGGAGGGAAACAGCAGGTCTGCTGCAGCAGTCAGGGTGTTTGGTGTCTCTTCTCGGTGCCCTAGCGTCGATTCAAGTTTCCTTAGCGCTTCGCGCGCTGGCGGAGGCCGCAGCCGCCGCCACACTGTACTCCCAGCTCACACCCTCGCAATCTCGAATTAAGAGCTGGACAGGGCTGAGCAGAGGCCAGCTGCAGCAGGAAGATCGAGCGCTAGGGGTGGGAGGCACAATGGTGCTGAGGACGCAGACCGCGGTTGGTGCGCGAGTGTACGATCTGAGCGCCTTTGGGGGCGGTGTAAGCGTTTTTGAGCGGCAGAGAGATGCTAAACGGAGGAAAAAACAGCCCTCAAAGCAGCAGCAGCAGCAAAACCACCACCAAGAGGCCCAACAGGATGTGGTGCTGCTTCAGGATTTTGAATTTCCAGTCGCTTCCTCCTGTGTTCGAGTCAGCCCAGATCTGAACTTTATTTGCGCTACAGGAGTATATCCTCCGCAGGCAAGTATCCCTAGCCCCGTGCTTGGGCAGACACCGTAGCGCCCGCGTTGTCGTGAGGCTGATTTTTTTTCGCTTCTGCTGCTTCCTGAAAGGCCTCGAGTCTCAAAGGAGCATCCCGTCTTGTCGCAAAAATAAAAAGGGGCACTGCGGCTCGGCTGTTTGCTGTGTGGGGGGCTGCTTCTTTGGGGTCCAGCAAGGCCTCTTTTGCTGCTGTTCTGGCCTTTAAGCGGCTGGGAGCTCGCCGCCTCGTCGAGTTGCGTGCGAGCCGTATGCATGCGCAGCGTCTCTGTTTTCCTGTGTCTTCAAAGCTGCTTGCGCTTATCTGGCCCTCACGGCGTGATGCGTTTTTGATGTGCAGCTGCGGATGTTTGATGTCAATGGCTTGGGACTTAAGTTTCAGCGGGGTCTGGACAGCGAAGCCGTCGATCTCCGTTTCTTGAGTTCGGACTATTGCAAGCTGGCAATCTTGCAAAGGAGTCGCTGGATTGAGCTGCACGCGCAGGGGGGGCGGCATCACCGGGTAAGGGAGGAGAAGGCATCATGAGATTCGCGGGTAGCTCCTTAGCGACTCGTTTTTCCCCTTTTGCTGCTTGCTTGTGTGTCGTGCCCTGTCCTTTCCTTCCAGTCGTGAACGCGGCTGCAGCAGCGCCTCGCTCTCGTAGGCAGGCTATCCGTGTGACTTCTACCTTTCCGTATTGCTTCCGCCTTGTGAGGCCTTCATTGAGCGGTCCCGTTTAGCTTTTGCAGGTACTTCTAGCTTTATATCTTTCGGGCTGAGTGCATGCAGCTTCGCGTTCCCACCGAAGGGACCTCCATGACGTATTTGCCGTGGTCCGCAACGCTCTGCTGCAGCAGCAGCAACAGCGCTACGAACAGTGACAGCAGCAGCGTCTATTTGCTGGACTTGGAGTCTGGATCTTTCCTAGAGCCGTGGCAATGCTCTTTCCCCATTGGCCACTGTTGTTTCCACTCGGAACTGCTCCCCATCGTTGCCGTCGGGGGGTGCGTTGCTGCGTGGAGTCTCTTGCAAGCCGCGCTGTCGTTTGTGTCGGGCAGACGCGGGTTGCTCTTGTTGTTTCTGCTGAAGCACCAAAGTATCCCCAAGGCCTGCTGCTTTATGCCGCTTGAGGGAGGCTCGACGCGCGAAGAGCCTCGCAGCGAGGTCTGCTGCCCTGCCCAGCATGCAAACGCTTGTTGCTCTCTTGGCTGCCCTCAGGTCCTCGGGGCAGGTTGAATGCTTTGACGCAAGGAGCGGCAAGGCGGTGACGGTGCTACAGGCCACAGATCGCTCTGCGTAAGGCTTCCCATGCATGCGTTTCGTATGGGTAGCGCAAAGTGCTAGAAGAAATTCAGGCAGCCCATGTCGTGCATTCCCCTACGCGTGCGCATGTGAAGGACGCAGCATAGGCTGTCGCTGCACAGGGGTGTATGGCTTCCATGCGCGGTGAGCGCGATCCTTCGCATATGTAAATATTTATACATGTGTGTGTTTTTGTCTCGCCGTGTGATGACGGGCGACCACAGATCTGTTACTGCCGGAGCCTTCTCAACGGAGTCTTTGGAGATGGCGGTGGGAACGAGCCAGGGGAAGTGTCTCCTCTTCGACCTGCGGGCCTCTCGGCCCCTGCTGCAGTTCGAGCACCGCAACTTCGCTGCTGTCAATACACTGCAGTGGCACAAACCGCCGGCAGCAGCAGCAGCAGTCACTGCCGCCACTGCGACTGCGGCAGCTGCAGACTGCGGCCCGACAGCCCCGCAGCCTTTGCACGTTGCCACAGAAACGGCCGGTGGGGGAAGGAGCATTGCTAGCTGCGATGGCGTCTCCATTAAAGTGTGGTCTGCAAGCACTGAAGGCTGCAGCAGCACTACCTTCCCACGCAGCAGCAGCAGCACCATCGCCAACGCGAGACTCCTGGCGAGCATCGAGGCCCCTCTCGTGTGGGAAAATCCCGTGGCACCCCGAAACGACAAGGAAGAAGAGCAGCAGAAGCAGCGGCAGAAGGAGCAGCTGCAGCAGCGGATCGTGCGTTTCTCCTCATTCGCCATCTATGGAGACTCTGGTCTTTTGCTGGCCGCAACGGATCACAAGCAAATGGGGGCCTTCTTCTTGCCCTCTTTGGGTCTCGCCCCTAAGTAAGGTTTTTCTTGTTCGTTGCATGCGCACTGTGTCAGGCGTGTAATCCTTTTCCTTGAGGCTGCTAAGCTAGCGGCTTTCATTGAGGCTTCAGAAATATTAGAACGGCTTCCTGGGTGTATCGCATGGGCGAAAAGATCGGCTGTGCCGCTGCAGAGCAGAGACTGCGAAATGCCACCAAAGCGTGCGGACGGCCTTCTTCCTTCCCCACCCCCACAAGGCGCTTGGCATTTCTGCAGCGGCGTGTGTTGCATGCTGCGATGGGCCTCAAAAGTAGTATTGGGGTTTGGATTTGGCATCTGAAATGCGGCCAGTGTGAAACTAGCGAGTGCGTCCTTGTGGCTTGTTGCGTTGGCAGGTGGTGCCCGATGCTGGATGGGCTTACGGAGGAGCTAGAGGAGCGGCAGCAGGCGAGTGAGGGCGCAGCCGCTGCTGCAGGGGCTTCCTTCGCGTCTCTGCAGTTCCTCACGGAGCAGCAAATGCAGCAGCTCAATGCCCATCAGCTCATTGGCACTCCCCTTGTGACGCGCTATCTCCACGGTTACTTCATCGCTCGCGAACTCTATGACCAGCTCAAGGTAAGCCCTGCAGTTCCTCACAGAGTGGGGGGCTCACCGCGGTGGCTCGCGCTTGTGGCGAGGCTAACAAACGCAGCTGCTGATCGCACGCTGGCTGGCGCCGGTGTCTTGACACAGCCTTCCCCGACGGCTGTGAAACGGGTTGGAAGGCCAGCAACTTAAGGCCCTCCCCCCAGCTCAGCTGCCTGGGGAGGGAAACTGGCGATGTGGGGGTATGGAGGGTGAAGGCACGCGCATTTGGCGGAAGTGATGCATAGAAGTCCCTTGTTGTGTTCCGCACTCTTCTTGACTGCAGGCAGCTGCAGAACCGTTCGCCTTCGAGACGTACAGACAACGGAAGATCGAGGAGCGCCTCGAAAAGAAAAAGACGATGCGTATCCAGGTCAGGATAATTCCCTAAATACCGCCAGACAACGCAACAAGCAGAGTTATTACTCGGGCGAAAGGCGCGCGTGCTGGAGGGCTTTTCTGTGGTAGTGCGTTGGATGACGTCCAAGCTCATAGAGACTTCAGCTCGCTTGCGCTAAACCCCTTCAGGTCAGGAGGAAGCTTCCAAAGACGAATGCGGAGTTTGCAGAGAAGCTGCAAAGGACTCTGGAGGCAACAAAGGTAACACATATTGGGGGTCGAATAGTTGTTAGTTGGCTTCTTTGTAGGCGGGCCGCTGGTGTTGCCTTGACGCGTGCTGCTAAGGGCGCTAGTAGGGACGCAGTTGTGTAGGCTAGACATCTGGCGTGTCTTCCTGGACTTATTGCCACAGGAGGCCTCAAGCAAGCGCGACAAAAAGGAGGCTGCCATTGCGGCTGGGCTGCTGGAAGACACCCGCTTTAGTCGCCTCTTCTCCAATCCGGATTTCCAGTTGGAGGGGGAGACTTCATAACGGCTGCGGCGGCAAGAGGTGCGTGGCGCTAGTGCTGTCTCCGGGGGTGGTCTGCTGCTCCTCACGTCGTGTCTCGCAGCACAGAAAGGAGACGAGTAGAGGGGATCTACAACGCTGCCAAGGCTGCCACTGGCTGCGATGGAGGCCGAACAGCCAACAAGGATTTGCATCCTTGGCATTAGGATGTCCTTGTGCTTCTTATGCCTGGTCTTTTCCTCCTCCTCGTGTGCTCTTGACGTGAAGCGACCCCGTGCTCTGCGTGGGATACAGCTTGCATAGTGCCAACTCACGAAGGGTGGCATTATTTTGAGTGCAATACTAGGCCAACTTGCATGTCGTTGCCAAATAATGCGGTGGCTGCTCTTTGGGGCCTGTGATCCGAAGTGAGTATTAGACTATGGCTGCTATGCACTGTACAAATTTGCCTTGAACTGGCTAGTTCTGAACTACTATGCATGCTAATTGACCACATGACGCGGATGCCCGTACCTTGATATCTTCGAAGGAGATGCTTATCGCTTCACTCTACGGATATAGCACTTCACGTGGGTCTCCATAGGAAACCACCCAGGCTCACGATGTATATAAAAACATACTAAGTTACTGGGTGTCGCTTCAATAGAGCCCCTTATGACGCTCCAGCATCCCGGTAGAGGGACATCTAGCGTGTACTGGGGAGCTGCTACACTCTTCAAGCAGTCCGAGTGTTTGTTCACACCCAGTTGCGCATAAACATATACATATATATATACATATATAAGGATAAGGTGTGGCTAGAGAGCAGCAAATAGCTTCTGTGAAGCGCCAAGCAGACACAATGTGTGCTGGGTGCTAGATGCTACGCTCAACTAGCTGTGAATTATAGGACTGCTTAGAGGGTGTAGCTGCACTCATCTTAGTATTTCCTCGCATCTCATGTTGGGAACTTTAGATGGAAGCGCAGCTTGGCTGTTCATACGCTGAATCAAGCGACTCTTGTTGTAACCGGCTATGCTACATCTTGGCACTCTGTACTACACCACTGAATTTTCAGTAAGTGGCAATGAATGGGTTAAGTGGTTTGTCTGTGGTATGCATAATTATTAGAGTGTTCCTTTAGCTTAATAACAAACGCATTCTTGTTTGCAGGTGCGCCAGACGCTAATGTGCAACTGGCTCCCCCTGGAAAAAAATCTGATGAGCGGGATCAGGGAAAGGTACAGGATGCTCAATAATTCTATGCATATGCTTGTTCTGAATTTGGAGTCAAATGGCTCCCTACAGAGACCCTAGCTGGTGCGTTACCCGTTGAAGCAACCAAGCAACCAATACTGAAACTCAAAGGCAAGGCATCGCACTTTGCTAGCTCTATTTCAATCCGAAGCGGCCTCTCTTGAACGAATTTGATAGGCGAAATTCTTTCTTGCCCTTAGCGACAAACTGTGCATGCAAGCAGTTTTCAAGCGCGTCTGCATGGAGTGGCTTACGAGTCGCCATGCTCGTGGGGTTGTGTAATAGAAGAGCGATACCAAAGGCATAGGTGTAAGCCAGAAAACTTGAGCGGAAGGAGCTGGAGAAGCTTTAGGTTATGAAAAACGGAATGTCATGCCGCAGAATTCACACTGATTAGCCGGGACAGGAGGCTAGTGGATTTTTCTAGACCACGAAAACATATGGATTCCATGCAACAGTACTTGGATGAATATACATGAAACGCTTACTGGTCACACATAGAATGTAGGCGCTAGGACTGTGCACAAGGACAAGTAGAAGAAAGTGCAGCCTGCACGCTCGTAGCGTAGTAGTGTGTGGTCGTAAAGTAATGCAGTGGCATAGGTACGGCTACGTCTCATCTGATCTCCATAGCTGGAGATTCAGATGTATCCATGTGAATGAGTTGAATTATATTTCGAGGGCACTTTCCTTTCGAGTTGCGCGCTGTGATTTTGTCGATTTCCACCACATTCTACTACCGGCTGACTGCGCGTCTTTAGCAGTGGAGAGAAGATACTGAAGAATCTCCTTAATTTTGAGTGAGAAAAGTACTAACTTCGGTCATGTAGTGTATTCGCTTTTCTGTATACCGGAACCAAAACAATGGCAGGACGTTGTGATCTGAAAGGAAATACAAAAGCAATAGAGCTTCAGGCCCTGCGTGCTCATTCAACATTCATCAAGTGTATTGCTTTTAAGCATATGAAAGGCGTCCAAAGGTAGAACATTAGTAACCAAATATAGTATTGGAGAGGCGAAAGCAAGAAAACGCAATGTGTTCCGATGTGCATCGGGCCCGCAGCTCGTGCTGCTGCCATACCAGCCAATCAACACCAACCCAAAAGGAGCGGCGGATGCTGAGCGCATGTGTTTCTTCAGGGTTTGATTCGCCATGGAGAGGTTTTTCTTTTGCGAATATTGTTAAGGACAGACGACCTCCACGCCCATCTCTTGAGCAAATAAGTCCGCTCTTTTGGAGCCTCTCGCTGCTTTCCGTCTGTGGTCTGTCCTGCAGCTGCCTTCTGCCGGGCGCAGGCAGCAGGCGGCGGTCGGCTGGTTCGGGCTCTTCTTTCGCTCTTCTTTTCAAAAGTTACCAGCAAAGTGCCCTTTCCGGACCAGTTGGACTCTTTGTTCCGACGCTTCTGCCCTCAGAAGCTGTGTAGTGGGCACCCCCGCAGGCCCTGGGCTGCGCACTTGGCCGCACCATTACCCAGTCACTTGCATCTCATTCCTTTCCCTTGTTTTCGTGAAAAACGCTTCATACACTTTAGAAAAACATATTGGGGGTTAATGCGGGCTTCCTACCTTTCCTAGAGCCCGCTGGAGCACCTTAGGCGCGCACGCGCGCTGTCCGTTCCGCTTTGCAGGTGGCAGCTGCGTTCGCTGCGTCTGGCTCAATTTGCACTTGTTGGTTGGGCTTCTATTTATCGTAGCGGTGTTGCGGGGGCCTTTTCGGGTATCGAGTCCCCCCCGGAGAGTCTTTGGCTGCGCGGAGCTGATCTACAGGTGCTGGTCACTGACAATCACACCGAGGAACAGCCCGTACAGCGCCACGCCGCGCCGTTTCTAGCCAATTTGTTGCGGAGAGCCAGCGGCGAGAGGCTGCTTTCTCTGCGTCGGCGGTGTCTCTCCACCGCTAGAAGATGGACGGGAGTGACCGCGAGCCAGTGGCAGCGCACATCCCCGTTTCCGTGTTTACCTCACCTCCAGTCCCGCACAGCGGCGACCTTGTAGCTGATCTGCCCCCGGAGTATTCGGGGTCTGGGGACTGCTGGCGCGCTCTTTACAGCGCGCCATCGGAGCGGCCGCCGGTGGGAGGTGCCCCGCATGCTGCTGCAGTGCCTCTTCCTCTTTTGCCTCTTCAGGGGGTGCGAAACGCATCGGTAGGGACAAGCCTAGTCGATGCGTGTATCCTTTTGGGTCAGACAGAGGGTTCGGCATGCGCGGGCGACTCCCCGCTAGAGAACGCCGTGGGCTTCTTGGAGCCCTCGGAGGCCTCTAGGGCCCCATGCCTCCCCCGGAACCACAACCAGGCGATGCGTAAGGCTGCCGACAGTTTTTCGTTTCAAGATACAGACGTCACAGCCCCTCCGGGTAGGCCTCCTGCCGCTTGCATGTCGCCGTGCATGAGGCTGTTGTGGCACCCTGGTTAAGGCAGGGGGAGGAGTTGTTTGCTCCGTCTGGGGGCAAGAGAGAGGTACTACTCCTGCTGGGTAGACGCGTAGCTTGCCCTTCTCACTGCCTCCGCCACCCCCTCGCCGCTTTTTCTGCGGGGGGCCCTGTAGGGGCCTCTTGCAGCCAGACTGCTACGACAAGAGCTAAGTGCTTGTTCTGCATATGACGCTGCAGCGCCTGAGGGGCATGACGCGGCTCAGCCGAAGACTCGAGAGGAAGTCTCGTGTGATGTCTGTGTTCTCACTGGGCGGCAGCAGCAGCAGCAGGGGCTGCACACAGCCAGCTCCACAGGTGTGTGTTTCGTGTCTGTCCTGCTGCCGTTGCCGCTGCTGCTGCTGCGCACGGAAGGGTGCCAGGGTTGCCTGATCGGGCTTGCGTATTGGGGAGGGCTTTTATTCGTGATGGCATACTCGGTTGCTGTTGGCAGGCTGCTGCACGACAGAGGACCAGCAGCAGCAGCCACTTTGCTCGCCGTCTCCTGCTACCGATGCCACACGCGCTTCCGTACGGGCAGCAGCGGGAACTTGTGTGCCCCAGTCCACGCGCATGCCTGCCATCTCCACGGGCTTATCTGCGGCAGCTGCAGGTACATTGTAGGGGCCGTTTGTCGTCCTCTGCTGCCGTAGTCGCATGGCAGTAGTGTGTCGCCTCTCTCTTCTTGAGGCGGCACGTTTGTAGGCGCTCCGATCCGCGTTTTTGGGGCAGCTTTCATGTAGATACATTCATGTAGCCTGCTTGGCCTTTTTTAGCTAGCTGGGAAGTCTGTGTGCTAGGTCGGGATGGCTAGCCCTACGCGTCTTTTTATGGCGTCTCTCTATGCCTCTCAGCGCCCACTGGGAACGATGCGTCACCCCCATCGAAGCAGCGGACGAGCGGCGATGCCGCCTTCCAGCTCACACAGGAGGTCCCCCCCCCTCCCGTGGAACTGTTGCTGCCACTGCGTTCGCCAGGAGGTGCTGGTGTCGCCTCCGTTCCGAAGGCATCCTGTTTGAGTCTCTGTCAACTCCCCCCGGAGTCGCCTTACTGCCGCATGGACTCTGCGAACGGCAGCACGTACGTTGCGCATGAGGACGAAGGCGGATCGCAGTCTCTGCCATCGCCAGACGTGGAGTGGCCGGATGGCGATGCGACGGCAGCAGCTGTTGCAGCTGCCGCCGTTGCTGTAGCTGCTGCTGCCGCACCCTTTGCTGCCGGGGAGGCTCCGGCGGCTGTAGCAGCAGCGCCCCCTGCTCTTGAAGGGGCAAGCGCTGCAGCAGAGGGCACATGGGGAGGAGGCCTTATGCAGGGAGCAGCAGGCACTGCAGCAGGAGCGACAGCTCCCTCCGACATCCCCACAGAAAGACGGCGGCATCATCGCAGCGGTAGGGCTGGCGGAAATGCGCGCAGTGGTCGCAACGTACGTGTTGGTGCGACCTCCGCAGTGCTGGCAGGTGTCTCGACAGCTGGCGACAGCCGCCGACGGTTTGATGGGAGGACCTCCGCTTCTTTCAGGAGGGGCGGCAAGCCGAGGCGGCGTGCGCATAAGAAAGGCAGAGATGCCAGGAGACAGCAGCAGCTGCAACAACAGCAGCCGCAGCCTCTCCGGCTGACATCAGAAGTTCTCATGCAGCTGGAGGCTCGAACATCATCCCGTACGACAAACAGGCGTACTTTTGGGGGCAGTGGGATGTTTTGTTCTTGGAAGGTGGAGAGAGGCTGCTGGCTCTTCTTGGGAGAAAGGGGGAGGGGAGGGGGTGTGTGTGTTTATTGGACTGTATGCTTCAGACAAGCGTTTGGACGCCGTTTTTTTTGCGCAGTGGAGCGTTTTTAAATTGTATTGACGTGGTTTTATGAGTCGCGTTTCGTTTTGTGTGTTTTTTCTGCTGGGACTCCCCTCTGTCGATATGTGGCGGTCTGTTCCGCTGTATGTGTATGTCTGTGGGTTCATACATGCATATCCATGTATACCTGTAGGGGTGCATGAATGTGTTCATGTCGGTGTTGTGCAGGGGGTGTGTGTGTGGTTGGTTGTTTGTTTGCTGGCGTGTGCAGTTGTGGAGTCGGGCCTGGGCGTTTCGGGGGAAGAAGCACTTGCGCCTTCCGGAGGGAGCGCTAGAGGAAGTCGCTCGTTGTCTTTCTTTTGGTTGGTGAAGCACCGTGCAGAGCAGAACAGAGAGGCGGCAGGCGACGCGCGCCGTCAGGCAGCCTTCCAGCGTGCAGAAGCTGCATGCAGAGATTCTGCCGCGGGAGCAGCGGGGGAGCCGGCTCCCGTGGAGGTAGATGAATGCAGCAGTCAGAGTCAGCGAAGCAGCGAGGTTTCCACGAAGGGCACGGTGAATCACAAGTGCAGAGAGGACGATGTGCGCATCAACCTTTGCGAGAATCCATCAGACTTGTGGTATGGTCTCAAGATGCAAGATGGACGGCCTGTGATTGTGCATTCGCGTCCTCGACATCACAGTCGCAGGCAGCACCGGTACAGACACCCCCCGGCTGCGGTGGTGGATTCGGCAGCGCTGATGAGCGGGAGCTCTGCAGGCTGCGCTGCTCCACCGGCGGCAGCAGCGGGAGCAGCTCTCCTCGCTGCGCTGCCGCAGCAGCAGCAGGTGCAGCAACCTTTCACGGCGATCGCCGCCCCCCCCAGGGGGTTCCTCGCGTCTGCGCAGCAAGGCGAGCTGCAGCTCCAGACGCAGCCGAGCAGCAGACACCACAGGAGGCATCATCGTGTCAGGAGTCACAGAGACGCAACAAGGAGGCACAGCGGGCACAGATCCTCGAGTCAGCTCCCCCTCCCCGTGGGAAGCGAGGCGCCGTCTCCAGCAGGCCCAGTTGGGCAGCAGGGGCAGCAGCAGTTCTTGCTGCCATCGCCGCTGCCGCAGCACGCGCAGCTCCAACAGCAGCAGCAGCAGCAGCAGCACATGCAGCCGTTGCCGCCGCAGCAGCAACTGCTGCAGCTGTACAGAGAGAGGAAGCGAAGGCACAAGGAGCGAAAGCGCTGTCGCTCCTCCTCCTCGTCTGCCGCGGCTGCCTCGGTGCCGCCCAGTGGCATGCAGCAGCAGCAGCTGCTGCAGCTACAGGGGGGGGGCGTAGCGCCACTCCAACTGTTCTCCTCGGGTGTGCAGAAGGAGAATAGCAGGCGGGCTGAAAGACGCCGTCGCTTTCTTCCCAGTGCAGCTGCTGCTGAACACACCGGCGCCAGTGGGCCTGTACAGCAGGGCAGACAGTCGGACCGCGTGGTGTATGTTCGCTCCCTCGAGCCGCTTGCAGCAGGAGCAGCAGCAGCAGCTGCTGCTGCAGCTCCCGCAGGCGGCGGCAGCAACAGCCTCAGCAGCAGTAGTAGGGCCGCATCGAGACTGCCTCTGGCCAGCAGTGCGCAGCTGGTGGCGTCTCACGCCATTGCCTCGTCTTTTCGATCTCAGCAGCTGCCATGCTCAGCTGGTAGCGAGTCTGCAGCAGCGGGATCGACGCAGCAGTCCGCAGGAGTGTATCCCTCCATGGGCATGGGGAGATCTCTGCTGCAGCAGCAGCAAGTGCAACTGCAGCAGTTGCAACTGCAGCCGACGGCTGCTCCTGCTGGGGAGTCTGCACAACAGCTCTTCAGGCCGGCACGCCGCCTCAGGACGGAAAATGACAGTTCGACTTTGGAGGCTTTCGCGAGTGCATCGGCAGCAGCGCACGGCGGATTTAAACCCCCCGCCCCTCTGACAGTATCCCAGAGAGCCTCTGCAAAGCGTCGAGGGCTTGCCGCACGCGCTTTGGCGTATTCAGCGTCTTCTGGAGTCGCGCATTCAGGAGGATTGGGGATGGCAGTTGGCACGGCTCCGGCTGTCGGAGGGGGCGAGGGTAGCGCAGCGGCAGGGGGCAGCACGTGTGGCTCCCACGGCGCTGTTGCGTCTACTGCTGCTGCTGCATCTACTGCTGCTGCTGCTGCGCAGCCTGTGTTTCCTGTGGCGAGTGGCGGCAGCTCCAGTGCGCAGCTGCATCTTCAGCAGCCGTCAAGTGCCGGCGGCTATACGGGCTTGCAAGCTGCGGCTTTCTGGGAAGGCCGACAGCAGCCGCAGGCACCGATATCGGCGGCTCCAGGAGTTGCGCGTCCAGTGCCTTCTTACGGCGATTTGGATGCGCAGCAGCCAACGTTGAGGGGCACACAGAGCAGTGGCTACTCCCGAGGGGGGACTGGGATCGAGGCGGGTCCAGTCCTCGCGGCAGGGTTGCACGAGGGGACGCACGGCGCAGTCAAATTGAAGATGCATCAGCAGCAGCGGAGGATGTCGGCAAGGGAACGTGTGCAGTGGCAGCTAGCGAAGAGCAGGGGCATGCTGTAGCAGCAGCGGGGGCTGCTCATGGGTGGTTGGGTAGGTGATGGTGTAGGGAGGCACTGTGTCTCTGCACGGGGGCAGCGATGGGGAGGGAGGCGTATCACAGAGCGAGGTGCAGCTCCTCCCTCCTTCGTTGCCGTCCGGTTGTGGCTGTGCATTCGCGTGTTTTGCACTGTCGTGGAAGCGCTGTGTTGCCTCCCCTTTTCTCTAATGACCATGTGGTTGCCAAATAGAGAGAGGTGCAGCTGATGGGCAGCAACCCTCTTTGCTTTAGAGAGAGTCTTTTCCCTTGCATTTGTTCAAGGCAAGATGCGCTGCAGAGTGCCTGTGGCGTGGTATCGGCTCCTGTTTCGGTTCTTGTAAGGCGCACAATTGCACACATGAACACGACGTTTCATGTTCTCCATGTTTTTGTCTGGAAAAAATACGGGAGGGAGGGGAGGAGGGGGAAAGGGGGAGGGCTATTGTGTGTAGCTAGCTCCGGCGCGTGCGTCGTTAACAGTGTGGGCGCAGTAACGCAGCTAGCTCTGGCGCGCAGTGGGGGGGGTCATTGAGGCAGCGGCATATGTGCAACGCAAGTCTGGCCGAGACGAACATTGGGGTGTAGGTTTATTGTAGGAGAGACCCCATGGTAGCAATGCCAGAAGTTGTCACTATTGATGGTGGGCTGCCGCTGCACAGCCTGTATGTGCAGCAGCTGGATTGACGAATTTTTGCCCTTTGTTTCCCCATAGCGGCTGCTCAGTTTTGGATCGGGCATGTGGCGTAGCAGTAGACTCTACTGCCTGGATGTCGGACAGTGTAGATACTACTCTAGTCTCGCAAGGGCGGCGCAGCGACTAGGCGGCTGCCTGGTGCTTTGAAGAGGGCGTCGGGGGTGCGAGGCAGCCGAATTCGCCAAGAGTGCGCATGATGACCCTCGACTGCGCCTTGAAGTAAGTTTCTGCCGTTTTGTGCTGCGTTTTGCGGTGAGGGGGCCCTCGAAGTTAGAGCAACAGCATGCTGGAGTGTCAAGGAGAGAGAAGAGACCCCCACATGGAGCTTCGCACCTAATTAAACGCGGCGTTCTGGCGGCTACACGGCAGGGTGCGGGTGCCAAGTGGCAGAGGACTTTTGCTAGGAACGTGCAGGGGCGTCTGCGTTCAAGGTGTGGTATGAATCAGCACCAGCAGATCGCAAAGGTGTGCGTTTCTTCTCGAGTTCGTTGGATGAAGCTGTTAGCACTGTGCTACTGCCCTCATAGTGGCTAAGCATAGGCAATAGTCGTACTCAGGAAGGTGCTATGTGTGTAAACTAGGAAGCGAAACCGTAGATCTTGGGCGATGAACACGAACCCCAGATGCCCTGACCTGGCGCCGGGGAACGCATTGCCAGAATACTGGGAGCCTAAGAAGCAGTCTGCTTTTGCAAAGTGATCCGGTGCAATGAAGCCGCACAAGAGAGACCGACCGCCACTGCAAAAACACGAACAAAGGGTTGGCGAGTTACCTACTACCTCGAAATTGCTGCTGCCCTACCTCGACACATGCGTTGACAGCCAAAACTGGTGTATGAGGATGACACACCCAAACACGGCTTGAAGTATCATTCTACGGGTAGTGCACATAGCTACGTCTTTTCAATGAGATTCCCATGCGAAAAAGGACGTTTCTGCAACCATTCATGACCGGTAAGCCCTTGCTGCTCAGGTAGGTCGTTGATGCCTCTTTTTTTATAAGTCTGCGGCTTTGCAGAGGCGCTTTGGTTCCATTAAATTGAATGCTTACGAATAATATGTCAGAAACTTCGCAAAGCATCATCTACGCCGCAGGTGCCTTCCATTGCAGCCTCCAGTGACCGACCACAGACAGCGCGTGACGAGCAGACAGCGAAGTGCAATGACGTTTCTTTCCCAATGTCTCTCGGTGCGTGATCCCGCATCCTTCTACATAATAAGGAAGGCTTTCATATCTGCTTTCTCGAGGAAGGTGAAGCCGCTCGCAGCAGCTTCCTCGGTAGACTTGCCACCAGTAAGCAGCACGTCTACTCGGGGGGCTTGTGTGAGCGGCTTCAGCTTCCCGTTGAGGCATTTGCAACGGCAGCAGCCGCAACGCCATTGTCATCAACAGCTGCAGTAAGAAAACGCTGCTGCCCCATTTGCAAGTAATTCTTTTCCAGATATATGTATGGGAGCAGACGGTCGTGAGGTTCATCCTCCGCTCGCGGTAGCGTCCAATTCTGGATGGGCTTGCATACAGGAGACCTACAACGGCGGGCAGCAGTTAGGTAGTATATAGTGAGTGGCCTTTCCTCCCCTTATTTGTGTGATCCGGACGCAATTATCTGCGCTGCATTTCCTCGCGCGGTCCTCGCTCGCTGCAGCGGTGATACAGGGAGCACTCGCTGCAGCTCTCTACTTTCAGGGTTGCGCTGCCCTGCAGAGCTCTATCTCAGCTTTCCCAGACTCTGCACCCACTGCACCTGCCGCTGCTTCTCCAGCAGCTAGCTGGTGAGCCTAGGCAGCTGCCAGTCTCCCCGCCGCCTCTTTCGGCGCATGAGCGACCCCTCTATGAAGTGCCCTATGGTCTTAAAGGCGGATACTCTCTGCCGGCCTTCAGTGCGGATTCGTGGGACATAATGGGAGAGACCTACCTCTGGTTTACGAAGGATCCCTGCGGCATCATCTGCATGCTTTTGGTACGCCAAAAACTCGAAGGCGCCTCGCCAAACACCCCCCTCCCCGTCCCTCTCCCCTCCACCCTCTAAACCTCGACTCATGAACGCCTCTGCCCTTCGTGTCGTGCATGCATGCAGACGCATGCCCTCTTGCTTTTTTCGAACTACACTGTTACCACATGTCTCTTAAACTGGTAAGTGAACGCGCACGCCGTCAGCCCGAACTCTTGGCCTCCTACCCCAGCCTTGGGCACAGCTTCTCAGACATGGTGGCTCGTTCTCGTATTTCGAGGAGCAGAGGGGCCGTCGCCTCCGCCTCGCTATCCCTTGGTTTCTTCCAAAAACGCGCAAAAAAGAATGCCGCTTGCCACGCTTCCGATGCTCCTACCCCACCCCCCCTGCCGCGTGTCTCATCAGGTCAGCCTTGAGCTTCTGGCGGTTCCTGATCATCGCCTTCTTCGAGCTACTGGCAGGGCTTGCGGCAGTTGCACACCTCAAGTGCGCACTGGGAGACCCCGGGGCAGTGCCTCTGGCGCTGTCTTCGGAATCTCCCGCAAAAGAATTGCAGATCCCAGGAGCTCCCACCTCCCACGCAGACGCCTCCGTACAAGAGCCTGAGACCAATGCGTCGGCCCTTCAGGGGGGCGAGCTTCCCAGCCGGAAGAAGTGTGCTCTTTTGCGGCTTTTTGAATTCCTGTGCTGTCCGCTGAGCGTCGTCAAGAGATTCATAGGCAAGCGCTGCAGAGACACCTCGCGGCAGGGGCAGTGTGCCTTTTGCGGTACAGAAAATAGGCTGTGCAGCCCATGCCGAGGCCATTATCTCTCTCTTTTTCTTTCTTTCTTTCTCACCTGCACTTCTGACTTGTAATTTCATCTTCAAATTCTAAACATGGACGACGGTCTTGTGAGATAGACTGCGCCGCCACTGCCGCTCGTCCCGCAACCTTTCCCAGCAGCTCGGATATTTCTGTGCTCTGCTTTCTTTCTCACGTGCCTCGTGTGGGAATCATGTGGCGGCTCTGTATTGAATGCCGCGAAGGAGGGGCCTTGTTTGCGCGCTTTCTCTTCCGCTTGCTGGTAAGGGAACGTTCTTTCAACTCCTCAGGATCTGTTGCGCATGCGGCCTGTCGCTTCAGGCTCGAAGCGGATTCCAGCGACAGCGATTACAAGGCAAGAGGATTCTCTTGAAGAGGGATGGGTGCCTCCGATTTGCAGACACTGCGAAACGCCGAAGCCTTTGAGGGCACATCACTGCTCTGGCTGCAGGCGGTGCATCATCCGCATGGATCACCATTGTGCGTCGCATCGCAGCTCGTCATGGGGGGAAGGGGGGTTGCTGACCAGGAGCTTTTTGTCTTGCCTCGAGACGTCTTTGCCCTCACGCAGGAGTACTTGTCTCGAAGAAACCGCCTGTGTGGTCGAAAACTTCTAGGGGGCTCGTGGTGGGGAAGGGGGACTGTGGCTGCGGTCGCTGTTGTTGCACTGCCCTGGTGTAACTGCTACACTCCGCGTGGTGGACGCTTCTCAGGCCCGTGGATCAACAATTGCGTGGGCTTTCTGAACCAAAAGTATTTCCTGCTCTTCCTCGTCTACGTCAACCTCATGTGCTGCACGGCTTTCGTGGTCTTAGTCTGCCGCGTCGTCACCTGCGTGGATACCGCTGCGGCAGAGGGCTTTGAAGGCACAGCGTGGACTGCTGATCAGTCTTCGATCTTGCCTGAGGGGATGCCTTCCAGTGTCGCAGAATACGGAGACGCTATCCAGGAGACTGCCAAGTATCGCGCAGAGCCCTACGCGGAGCAGCTGTCGGCTGAGGCTTCCAACAGACGCTGGAGAATCCCGCAGAGCAGCCACGCTTCGCGGGAACTCCCCGAAGAGGCAGTGGAGGCAGTGCAGAACTTGGGGGCCCCCCGAGGGCCCCGACGGCTGCATGCAGCCGAAGATATCGCTCAAGGCGTTTTGTACGCCGCCCAAGATCCTCTGACTAGATGGATGCGACCCCGCTATTTGGAGGGGGGAGGAGCGAACTCTTCAGATCAGGAGGACGCGGCTTTCCAGACGTCAGTCGAAGGAGCAAGGCGGAGCCACTACCGCAAAAGACACTTCTTGGTGAGCCGCATGCTGGACTGCCTGCCGCCTTGCCTGTCTTTCTCCCTCTCTCTCTGTCTCTCTCCTCTGTCTCTCTGTTGCGTTTTCTCTCTGTTTTGGAGTTTTCGGCTGCCTCGCTGCAGTTCTGTGTGCGCCTTCTTGTACTCCGCCGGTCTCCTCTTTTGAAGCGCTGCGGGGTGGGTGGCAGCAGCAGGAGGGCAGTCTTTTTGTTGGTACACAGCAGATTCCCTGCCGTCCAACACAGAGCCCTTTGCATGGATTCTGCTGTCTTGTTACATGCCGCAGTGCGACGTGACTCTCCAGTCGGCCGTTTTCGGAGCAGTAAGCTCTTGGAGTGGCTCAACGCTAGGAACGTCTCGCGCTGCGCTTTGTCGACGCTTAGGAGCTCGGGCTTATTGTTGGAATTGCATGCGGCTCAGGCCGTAGGGTGCATGTGGTGGGACGTGTATGTGTATGTGTATTTATATGTGTATATGTATCTATGTATATGTGTATGTGTATTTATATGTGTACATGTATCTATGTATATGTGTATGTGTATTCATGTATATGTGTGTATGTAAATATGTGGATATGTATTTACATATGTACATGTATCTATGTGTATGTATCTGTATTTATATAACTGTGTGTATGTAAATATGTGGATGTGTGTCCGTATTCGCCGTGCGTGCCGGGGGAGCTGACTGTTCTGCATATGGCATCTGTCGCATTTGGGTGTCTTGCCGCGTGCAGATGACCTGCATGCTCGCTTTCATTTTTGGCCTCTTCACGATCGTCATGTTCGTAGACCAGCTGAGTTCTATCCTCGCAAACACCACAGGCAAGGAGTATAAGGCCCTGCACCGGGCAGTTGTCTGCGGGGTGCTCATTTTGTCGAGGCATGTGGCGGGAGCGGATTTCAGGCTACAGGCTGGGGGAAAAAGGCCGCAAAAGGGCATTGTTCCTAATTCCTCCTGCAGGGAAGGCAGCAAGGAACGCTGCCCTTTGGAAGCTGGGTGGTTTTTGCATGCTTCGCTTGTGGCGAGGCGTCTCTTGCTGCTGCGATGCGAAAATGGGGTGCCTTTTTTAGTGCGCGTTTGTCGCTGGTCTTGCGAATGCCTGTGCAGCTGGCACCGTGCAAAGGGGGACCTTTCTGCATGCGTGGTGCTTGTGCTGCAGCCGTGGAAACCTTGAAGAAACTGCGGAACGAAAAGAAGACGGGGTCACAGCTTTTGCAAGAGGTCTTTGGAGGGCCGTTAGGCGTGCACTGGTGTGTTTTCCCCGGGAGCTGGTGGAGTCGCTCTTTTGCTGCTCCTTTTCTCGCACTCTCACTGGGCCTGTCCACACGGCTGCGTGTTTCTCTCTCCAGTGTCTCTCTTGCGTGAGGGCAAGGCGTAGGCTGGGGGCTTTTTTAAGGCGCTGGTCTGTCTTTGCACACGCGGGCGATGCCTCAGGTTCCTGCCCACGCCAGTCACTTCTTTCCAGCTCAAACGGTTTACGGCGGAGCTGCAAAAGTTTCCAGGTTCTGCCGAAGTCGAGAGAGGGAGCCAGCTGCACGGCGGCACCGCCGTTGCGTCGGTACGATCAGCCTACGAGTCTGGAGCGTCCAGCTTCCCCCTCTCCACCAGGCGGGGCCGTAGTCCTCAAAAAAATGAGGATTTGCAGTATGAGGAGGCGCAGGGGGGCACGCGAGGGGACGGCCCTTTGACCCCTGCGAATGGACAGCACGGCGAGGCAAGGCGCGAATTCCGACGCTTGCTTAACAAAAAGGAAGACACGGAGAGTTGTGTCTTTTTTAGAAAAAAGGCGTGCACGTTTGTTTCGTGCTGGCCAGTCTTCTGCCTGTGCTGGGGTCCCTAGTCTTTCGTGGGGGCGCCTTCGCTGTCTGCAAGTTTCTACATAGTCCACGTGCCTGCGCGCTGCCACCTCCTTGTTGTGTTTTTCAGAGCTTGGTTTCGGGAGGGGGAGGCCCCTCGGTGACGGCGCTGGGCGTTACACCTCTGTGGCGAGAGGAGGCACCGCAGCCCGAACTCGTCGCGGGGAACCAGGGGCGTCCCCTTGTTTTCACATCTCCTATTCTGTGGGAGCCTCCTTCTGCAGCTCCCTGCAATATATCAGACGCAGCTTTCGCAGAGCAGCACTCCTGGAGCGACTCCCGCGTTGCGAGTGCAGCAGCTGGAGGGACGCCGGAGGCCCCTTCGAAGCGCTTACAGCCCTTAACTCCTTCCTAGAAAGACCCCCGGTGCCTTACAGGTCACACTGCTCCCTTATCTCGCAGACTCGCCTTGAAGCGAGACGGACGCTTCGCTTCTTCACGGATGATATGCTTGGGGTTCTGCTGTCCTTCCCGATCGTCTGCATGTCTCTGGCGTAGCGGTGGGGGAACGAGTAACTTGTATGTCCTTGAGGGTGGATTTCGATCCAAGGAAAGGGTCTTCTCATTCGACCTTCAGAGACTGGCGGGGCAATCAGGTGTCTAGTCAAGTGGGCACGTGTAGGGGTGCTGTCCAGTGGGCACAGAGCGCGCACCCCTCAAGGCACGACATGTGCGTGAGAAGCAGACGTGGAGAGAGCCAGTTGCGCAACCCCACATGATAGAACACAGAAGCAGGGAAATCTACACACCGGCAGTCACAGAGAGAGAGAGACGCCGACCTCTAGGCTGAGCAGCGCTTGGAGGAACGAGCAAATAGGCTCGCGTGCGCTCGTCTGCTATCCAGTAGCACGAGACGCATTTAACGGGAGGGGTACTACGCAGGCATTTGCTGGTGTCGCACAACAAAACTAACCTAGGCCAAAGCTGACAAGCGAAGACTGCTCAGTTCCTCAGACAGCTATCGTTTGGGCAGCTCGAGAAACGCAGCTGCCACCACACTAGCACGACCTAGCCCTTATCGTGCTTTTTGAAAACTGCGTCAAACCGATGCAACCAATTGCAATAGTGATTGAAGTCGTGGGAGGCTGCACACGCCGCTCTCCGCGGGAAATTCTGTGATCCCGGCATTCGGTGTCCTGAACCCATGAGAGTGCCATCAACAGTGCATTCTTTCCTTTGCCTCATCCATATAGTTTGAAAGACGAAGGGAGCGCAGCTCAAATTCGTGGTTTTTGTCTCGCAGTTCCAGGCAGCCTGTTAAGTTTCTTTTGGTGTTCGCGCGCTGCTGGTGGGCGCCAAAAACCGAAATAACTCTAGCCTCAGAGCAGACTGACCACTCTCCTGACCAACTTTGCTGCTCTCTTATGAAAGCAGCCTAAGGTGTCAGCGATTCGGCGACGAAGGGGGTGTTTTTCAGTAGGTACATGAATCAAAGCGTAACGCACCTAGTCATCATCGCGAGAACATTGTGCAGGAATGCACACATAGCAGCCCCCCAAAACCTACGCAAACACTGGATGTTTCTAGGGAACTAGCGGATGTCTCAAGTAAAAGCAAGGCGGCAGACGTTCAATTCTCCTCACTATTCAAGTGTGCAACGGGACACCTTGGCTGGTTTTTGGAATTGGTGCCCCCGTATGTTGCCCGTGAAGGCAGCGCATGCTGACTAGGGCTAATGATAATTTATTAGACCTGCCAACTACTGGGTTTAACAGACTCTGGTAAAGCCAGGACAGCCCTCATTTCACATGGAGGCTTCATGTTTGTAGCGTCTACGGGGTCCGCTTATTGGTGTGCGCTAGCCTACATGTGTATCAACTGCAGGCTAGAGTGTACAGATAGGGGCCACCTCTGAGGCGAAGACCATACGGGGCATTGACATTCCTTGATGAGGGAGTTTGCAGCAAGTGTGCGTGCTAGTTGGATCGTCGTCGGGCAAGAATTTAGCAGCTCCCATTGTGTCGCTACGACATCGATCTGGCAAGATCTTACCAAGTTGCATTTTCACGAGAGCCTATATGAGGACAGGCTGCTGCATTATGCATGGAGCAATGTCACAGGTAGTGGAGAAGTTCAGCAGTGCTAAGTGGCCCTGAAGTAGAGTAGCCGATCCTGACCAATAAGTCGTATTGTTCAGGTATACTTTTTGTATTTTTGAGTGGGATTACAGAATGCGAAAAGCGTAGTGTTCACTCCCGCTATCCTCGCTGTCTTAGTATAGACAGATGGTCTCTTGGTGGGTGACCTCCGTATCGTGCGCTAGTTTTGGTGGCAAAGCAGAAAGGGCTCAGAGGAACTTTGTTTGGTGGGGTTTAAAGACCTTGGCCCTTGAAAAAAATACCATGTTATGTAAGGCTTTGTAAGGAAAGAAAAGAAGGTGTCTGCGTGGGCTGTTTCAAAGCCGTGCACAAACACCCGAGGCTGCATGAGGAGAGGTGCCTTGGGTGCGTGGCCCATCTTTCAGATTCTGACTCCTGCATCTTTGCATATCTTTCAGCTAGTGCATTTACAATAGAGGGAGAAGTCTAACCCGATCGCCAAATCTTAATTTCTGAGGTAAACCATTTTCGTCACGTCTTGCCACCTGGCTGCAGGGGCGCAGCGCGAACTGCCACGACGCCTCAACGTGCACCACAGACCTCGTTCGGTTTATCTCTACACTCAAATGCCTGAGCTACTTGCTTGCATATAGTCCAGTGCACAGCTCAGTTCGCAGGAGTAAACAGCGCAAAGCGCTCGTCTTCCCCTTATCTGGGAGTCGAACACAATCAAAGTTTAAAGCTCGGATGAGCCAGAAATTATTACATTAGAATCTCCCTTTATCAACATCCAGCAGTCTAAAATTTGCCCAAGAAAAAGCATGAGCACCGCACCCCGCACGATGCCTGGTGTATTGCCCTAACACTGCAAAGGAAGACCACACCGACTGCGGAACTAGAATGGAAAAGAGCAAACACATTCGCGACTTGACCCCCACCCCGCGCCTCCCCTAAACCAACCTCTCACTTGACATCCTTCATCCCTGTACTCTGACGTCGCCAGTTTTGCAGGCATTCAGACATTGCGTGCCACAACAGAAATGGACATCTCTTTCCTTTATTGGAGCTCTCCCGTGGAGCTTCTTCTGATTCCCCTTTCACCGTTTGTTCTACTCTCTGCATTGAACTGTGCTAAGATATCGAGTTCACTAGATGTGCACTATTTAGTTGGTAACTGTTGCTTTCGGGGCAGGCTGTGGGAGAAGTGTGTAGACAGTTTGCCCCTAGACAGCATCACGCAATGTCTACATGTGTACAGACACCTCAACACGATGTCACGGGAAGAACTTGTTTACGTCGCCAGCGTGGCGCAGGAGACAGAACGCTACGATGACATTGTCAGTTTCCCAAACGTCCCTCTACCGGCTCGTGGTTTCTGTCTAAGTGCATGCTGGACCTCCTGCCAGTACTGTAGCCTTGCCCGCTGAGATTTGCTACCTTTTGATGGTCTCTCTGGACGAGGAAGGCTCCCACTGCTGCGCTGTTCCGTGCATGATGAATATAGATCAAAATAATGAAGGCAGTTGTGGCTGAGAAGAAAGGCCTCAATCGGGATGAAGCCACCCTCTTTTCGCGTGAGATAAGGGCCACTCTCCTGTCTCAGCCTACTTCTCTGTCATCTGCAAGCTCTTAGCACCCTCCGCCTTGCATCATAACAGCAGGGTCTTCCGCTGTGAAAGTGAAAACTGATAGCCTTGATTATTTGTTCTAAAGGGCAACAAGCCTATATCCATTCTCTGTCCCTCCATATGTGTGTGTGTGTATGTGTGTGTGTGTGTGTGTATGTGTGTGTGTGTGTGTCGTGGCGCAGTTGGATACAAGCAAAAGATCACAAGCTGCCGGCACACATGGCGCAACATCAGTGTCATTGAGTCAAAGGCCATCGAGACAGGAAGCCCTGTTCCTGTAGGTATATTTGAGTTCTTTTTCCTGTTGCAAGGACCAGAGGAGATGGCGCACGCTAGAAACAACGCACGTGAAGGAGCACTGCGACGTGCTTCTTGCACGTTTCAACAACAAATCCTTGCCTGTCTGCTGCCTGCCTTCAATCCCAGGAGCGCCTCATGACGTACCGCAGGGACATAGAGCAAGAGACAGAAGAGATCTGCAACGAAGTCATCGAGATGATTGACAAAGGTGGGCGAATCACCCCTAGGCATCAGTTGTTTAGTATTGCGGTTCTGAAATAGTGCACTGTGGGTGCTGATTAGGCTCAGATCCTCAGTCGGCAGGCAGCACTGCATGTAAAGCATGTTGAGGCTGCGCGAGAAAAGGAGCAGCAACTGCCGTAGCAGGAGGCAATGCAACGCAGCCTAAGAATGCAAAAAGTTTGGCTCTGCCGTATATCTGCTTGTCTGCGCCTCATGCAGATATCATTCCCTATGTCGACGGGGCAGAGTCAAAGGCGTTCTTCATCAAAATGAAAGCGGACTACTACAGATATCTAACGGAATTCGCGCAGGTGGCTGAAATAAGATGCCTCAGTGCCGCTCCAACTGCAAGGCCCCTCCTTCGCTCCTCTGATAACTCTGCTCCCTCTTGAGTTCTTTCCACTGCTAACTCATATCACCGTTTGTCGCGCCTGACAAATGCAGGATGGGAACTTTGACCACGTGGTGCAGGAAGCCCTGCAGGCCTACGACGAGGTAGGCATGTCACGCTTAATGGCTTAGCCAAACAGGAAAGGAGGGACTCTCAAGAGTTCTCTCAAAGGGCGGGTGCTTCTAAAACCTGGCCTAGAGTACCTGCGTATGACGCACCGAGAGACTCAAAAACTTTGGAATGACTCCAGCGGAGCTTAAGAGAAAGCCGCCGCTCGCCTTGCTGCATGCGCTATCAGGACCAGCTACTCTTGTCTTATGGCTATTGTGCGTCTCAGGCTTCCAAGATCGCCGAGGAGGGCCTCCCAGAAGGACATCCTGTGCGTCTCGGTATTGCTCTGAACTTCTCTGTTTTCCACTTTGAGGCTCTGAGTGACCCGGGTAAGCAGTAGCTACACAAGCCCTAACTTGTGCCCCTCCGTGCGTCCTCCCTCTACCGCAACTGTAGGACCTCTCGATGCTCGCTATCTGCTACGGCGGCATGACTCCTAGAAAAACGCTTCAGCAGCAGCCCTCGCGAGGGCAAGCCGATGGTCCCAGGAATTGTGAGGCTACAGCCGTCTAGTTGTGTGTGCAGCCAAGGCCTGCGAGCTCGCGCGTGCTGCTATTGAGACACCAGAGAGCGCCATTAGCGCACTGCCTGAAGAACAAGCGAGAGACAGGTACTGCGTTCCCCCCCATTTTGGACCTTAACGTTGCGTAGAGCCATGGGAGAAAAAACCGCGCCCTCTCTGCACCCCCGAAACTTGAAGCAGCTGGGGTTCCCCAGTCTATGTGCCAGTCTACACCCTGGAGTACACAAATGAGAACAGGGGCAGCCTGTTCGGTGTGTCTCATGGCTGAAAGGGCACTCTGTCAAGAGCGTCCTCCAGCATCTAGTAGTAGATTCTAACTTGAGACGCTCTGTCGCCCTCGAAAGTGCAGGAAAAGTTTGCCTCACTTCCCCCTTTGGCGTGTCGTCTGTGTTTTTGTTCGCCTCCAGCGAGTCTATGCTCAAGCTCCTACAGGATAATTTGAGTCTGTGGACTGGCAACGTTGGGGAGGTCAGCTGCCACATGTTGTCCCTAGAGCTTCTAGCAATAGCAAGCAACGAGGGAGTATCTGTTTCTACACTACCCTATGGCCATAGCCTTATAGAAAAAGAAGGGGCCGTTGCCACAAACGGGAATATCCAGACTGCCCGTTGCCAAATGCCGAGAAGCGGCAAACCTTTTTTTGCGCAAATACACAAAAATACGGGGGAGGACGCCAGAGGGGAAAGGGGGACGGCAGGCTTGAGAGGGGGGAAGGGGAAGTCGCCCTGGCACCAGGTGCTGTGTGATGTGATGCAAGCCCGAAAACTGGAAAAAGCTGCAGCTATAGTTTGAGAGGTGCAACTGCAAGTGCTTTTATGGGGGTGATATCCCGCAGGATGAGGAAGCTGACGACGAAGACACGGACAACTGAAGGCACGAAATAAAATGCGGGAGGCCTACGACACAAGCCCGACCCCTAAAGATCCCTGAGGAGGACCACACCGAGCTGCAGCAGAGGCAGCCAGTGAAAGGCAGAAACCTCTACACACGCTGCGCCGCATTGAAGCCAGCTACATGTCGATGCTCCTTAAACGGGCTCATGGGTGGGGGGGGGGGCGTGGCCAGTGCCCCACCTCAACCCGCATCGATTTGAATGTTACTAGTGCTGAGTTTAGTTGCCGAGACGAAACTCCAGCTCCCCTAAGAGCAACGCCGCACAGCCGTGCGTAGAAGACAGCGCTGGGTGTGTGAAGGGGGGGCAGGGAAGGAGGCACATAGCGTATGAGCAGTGACATACGGGGACCTAAGCCTTTGCCAACACCTTAGCTTACACGACAACGCGAGCAGAACAGAAGCAGCGATAGCGACACGCAGAAAACGCACCTGCAACAGTGCCGCATCGGCAGCCCTTATATGGCTGCGCGGTAACACCCGAGACGTCCAAGGACTCGAGCTGCAGCATCGTTTTTAAGCCGCGGATCACACACAAACAGAGGAGCTTATGCCACATAGACGTACCAACACGCAGATAGCGCGAATGTGCCCTCAAAGCTGGATTGTTGTGGCGATTGACGCTAACGTAGCTGTATAAGAAACACGCATATGGCGAGAAGAAGGGAAGAGGAAGGCTGACCTTGAGACCCGAGGGCACCCAATTCTTAACAAGAAAGTTCACCTGCGCCACCAAGCTGCACGTACACCCCAACAAAAAGCGAGACAGCCTGGGGTTTCAAGGCGCACTCATTGTGGAAGCGTCAAAGGCGACGCAAGAATGCATGCATAAAGGGGGCCAGAGACAGGCACGGCGAATGCGCAGAGCACGCTAGCAGAATCATGAAAACACAAAATATCCTTTTCCATGCATACCGCGTCTCGTGTGGAGCCGTAACGTCCTCACGTTGCCCCTCATCAGTGACTAGGCTAACCTGCGACCACAGGCGCGCCCACAAGTTCTCCACGCATGCACACCGGCTGAAAAAAGATACCTTCAAACGCGCCAGCCGTGAACTCCTTTGAACCAAAGCAGGAGCACTTCTTGCATGCAAGTCCTCTGAGAAAAACTTACCGTGCCCTCTGCCGTTTGGGGCGGGGAGTCGAACGGCACGGCTGGCAGCTCCCACACGATCAGCTGCGGCACCAGCATAGAAAGACATAAATATATATATGCATATGTATATACATATGTATACCCAAACCAACGCTCTTCGGACGAGTGCAAATGCAGAAAAAACAGTCTCACGAATGGAGGGCGCGCAAGCCGAAGCAAATGCAGCGCAGGCCGTATTCCGAATTCGTGGGTAGAGATTTAGAGCCATGGCTACATGAAAGTGGATGCCAATCCATGTATGTACAGCTGGAGACCGGGCGGCAAAGAGGCGCATGCCTTTTTGTCAGGCGTCGCTCATCGGGTGTAGTGTGCAACGACCCCACCGGGTAGAGGGCGTTGAGTGCGTGTGAGGCAAATGCATTCATGGTGAGGGGACCGAAGGGAGGCAGGCACGAGAAGGGGGCAAAGGTTGTTGGCTTGTTGATCGTGCCTACCTGTTTGGCAGGCACCAAGCGAATGGAGCCTGAAGCGGCTGTAAGGCTGGCTGCCCCTACAAACGCTGGGAGGGGTATTTGGACAACAACATTTTCCACGGCACCGCTTGCAGCTGTAGCCGCTGACGCGATGCCACGCGGGTTGTGAGCGGTCAGTTTAAGGCGGAGACAGCCACTGAGCGCCTTAGCGGGAAAGCATGCAGCAGATGTAGAGTCTCCTCCTGCTGCTGCTGCAGCTGCTGCCGCTGCTGGGCCCCCAGTTGCTCCGGCGGTGCTGCGTGGGAAGCTCAAGCAGCCAGTGACAGAGATAGGCAGTAGGAAGTTCTTGTTTCGTAGCCTGCACGAAACACGGCGAATTCAAAAAAGATGCGAGCAGAGATCTTCCAACAGCGACACCTGCACCTGCAGGAAGAAGAGGGGGAGAAGAAGACAGGAGGAGGAGAAGACAGGAGGGGAAGTACGAGTTGAGCGCGCGCGTCGAGGCAGCAGCAACAGCAACAGCGAAAGCAGCAGCAAAAGCAACAGCAGTAGCAAAAGCAACAGCAACAGCAGTAGCAAAAGCAACAGCAGTAGCAAAAGCAACAGCAACAGCAGTAGCAAAAGCAACAGCAGCAGCAAAAGCAACAGCAGCAGCAAAGGCAGCGCACCAGTAACTCGCCAAACAAAATTCTCGATCGGGAGGGCAAAGAGACAAGACGCCGTCACGTTGGAAGCGCTGCAACCTGGGGAGGCATACGCCAGACACACACATATGCGCATTGGATGCCAAGAGGTATGCTGCCAGGAAACAGGAGATCTTGAATGATGAGAGGAACACGGATCTAGAGGCGCATGCAGAACAGAGTGAGGGAGAGAGAGTGAAAGAAAGAATTGGAGAGAGATTGGTAGATAGATAGATAGAGACGGCGAGGGCGAGAAAGAAAACGACGTCCAAGGATGATGGAAGGGCAAGGGAAGCAGAAAAGAAGCACCAGGAAAGTTTTTATGTGCACCATGACGCACAATAGAGCTTTGAACGACCCTATGTCTGCATGCAGAAAGCCGAGGCATCCAGCAAGAAGCAGCAGCGTGTCAGAGGGGCGGCTAGCTACCTGATGGAGGGATGGAAGGCTGCGTGCTGCAGAGCCTCGGGCTGCCGAATCGACAGACAGAGTTCAGGAATGCCGCTCAGCTGCAACAACCGCAGAAGCAAAAGCCACCGAGGCGCAATCTCACCAGATGCACAAACACCCAGACACACACACATACATGCACACACACATACATGCACACACACTCTAATAAAGCAAAGAGAGACCATCAATTAGTCGGCACGAGGGTCTCTACCGCTGCAGGAGATGCACGGCATGCGTGCACTGTAGACTGACTGAACACCAAGGCGGCAGCAGCTGCAAGAGAAGGTAAGCAGCACTGTGGACGGCAGTAGCAGGAAGGGGGATATAGGGGGCAGCGGCGGCAAAAGAGGAGCGACAAACGAACTCTGCAATTCATCATGATCCGTCCTGTGATCGAGGAGTTCAGCATCTGGCCAGTGCTGCAGCGTCAAGCATCCCCAGAAGCGACAGAGCAGACATAGAACGGCAGGAGACGAGCGAGCACTCCAGCAGCAAAGCACGCTGCCAGGAGTTGGTGTATCTGCGAGGCACTGGAGGCGATGACTCTCACCCCCTCATCCCCCTACCAGCGAAGTTGCAAGGCCAGCAGCAGCAAAAGCAGCAAAAGCAGCAAAAGTAGCAAAAGTAGCAAAAGCAGCAAAAGTAGCAAAAGCAGCAACAGCCATTGGGGTGCTCTCCATGCAGAAGGCCGGCAACGCGGTGAGAGAAAACGCCGGCAGGCGTTCACGCTGCTCACGAACCTGTCAACAACTCCCGAGATTTTTTCGATGAGGTCCACGTACACCTCATTTGAGGCGTAGTTGACAGCCCCCCTGCGCCACCAGCAGTCTGAGCCGCTTCCACTAAGACCGCTGCCTTCCCCATGGCCGCTCCCCGTTCCCAAGCCAGCTCCTGCGCAGCAGCTCGCACACACACAGGCGGGCAGACAGATATGCGAGAAACACGGCCTGAAACAAATCGTGAGGCACTGCAGCAGTTGCAGCTGCATTGATGGCTTCCAGCGAGGCAAACGGTGCGGCGAAAGAAAGAGAACGGCGGCACAGGAAGCGACACAGCGTATTACCTGCAACCATCTCGGGAGCATTCTGGATAGCTGCTGGTTGCTGATTTCCCAAACCAACCGAGGCAGCCAACGAGGTCAGCATCCGCGATGAGCCTTGCACCTGCGCGTGGTCGAGAGCAGCATATTCGACAGCAGCAGCGGCACTGACTGTCTCCTGACAGCTTGCCAGCGAGCAGCGGCAGGGGCAGTGGGTGCTAGAGGGGTAGACAGCAGCGCTCGGTCTGCTCGCTGGCTAGCCACACGCCTGTGGAGAGGGCAGCAAGCATGCAAACAGCACTGAACACCAGCTCGGAGACAGGCGTGTAAACAGAGACTGACGAGCTGCATGGCTTTAGCGACGACTGAAGAAGGCTGCAGCAGGAGCTGCAGAAGGTTCTCCTCCAAAATAAACGGATACCCCCAGTCGACAGCCACGTCCACCAACACATACACCGCACTGAAATTCCTCCTCACAGCTTCCTCGGTCAGGGAGCTGCCCTCGCAGCAATACCGACAAATCCGATCGTACAGTTGCTGCAGCGTCTCCAGCAGCAAAAGCGGTTCAGCCTGTGCAGCCGTAAACAAACAGCAACTAAGGGCCTCCTTCAACGCTCCACGCTGCACGGCAGCGGCTGCAATATATCCGAGGCAAAAGCAGCAGGCAGCCGCGCCAGCACACTTCTACGCTTTCCAGCAAACAACCCTGCATTGCATCGCATCGCATTGCATGGCATTGCAATGCAGTTCAGGGAACACGGCGAACCTCCGAGGTGCAGGCAGCCGCCAACAGCAGCTTTTCGCGGTGTATGTGCAGCAGAACGCAATTGTCGCTCGTCTTCATGATGCGGGGAGCTGTCAGGAGTGCCTTAGGACCATGCTGCTGCAGCTGCTGCAGCAACGGCTCGCAGGCAATTCGGCCGACACGACCACGATAGTGTTTTTCGAGCAGGAAGGATCTGCAATCGCAAGGCGGAGGAGGAGGGTCGTGCAGCAGAGTATCAACCGCCTGCCGCTGCGTTCGTGTAGCGGGAGGACGGACAGAAGACACGGCAGCATTGCCAGAGGAGACAGACAGCCTATCGCAGCAAATCCTGCTTCTGCGACGGCTGCTGGTGATTTCGTTGCTCGCAGAAAAGCGCGTAAAAATGTGTCAAGGAGATCCCCTAGCAAGCTCCACAGGCCTACCCGGCATCGTTGAGGAGAAAGAGAGAATCCATCCTCGCGGAGTCTCGTACAGTCAGTGGCGAAAACGCCGCTGCCAGTGTCGCTGCACGAGAAACACGAGCAGCTTATCCCGCTCCGCGCGCAGGCAGCAGCAGCAGCAGCAGCAGCGTCTTTTCGAACGACTCGTGCACCTGCAAGCCCCAAGCCAGCGGCAGGAGGAAGCTGCTGCTGTTGCGGTTTCTATGAGGAGTTGAGGCTCGTGTGCAGAGGCAGTGGCGGTGAGCGTTTTTCGCAGGTAGAAGCGCTGCGAGGGGGGAGGCGGGGGCGGGAGTACCCCTACGGATTCCAGCAGCTGCACGCGCAGAAGCTACGGCGGGCATGCAGAAAGCGACGCATGCGCCAGCAAAGCAGGCTGGGCAGTAAGGAGAGGGGCGTTTCGGGGGTGTACTGCCACTGGGCTCCGCGGCGAGCAGCCATGAGAAAAGACAATGCAATGGAACGGGGTGGGTGCTGCAGGGGGGCGCTAGAGATTCCTCCAGCAGCAGCATCCAGACCGGAAACAGACTTTAGACTTTAATGAGTTTGTTAATGCCTGTTGTGTGCAATTTTTCCTTCGGCGGCGGCATCTAAATTGCCGCGCTGTCCGCTTGTCTGGCTGCTGCTCGCGCAGCAGCAGCTGCTGCTGCTACTGCTGCTGTTCCCGCTGCTGCGCCTACAACCCCGGCACAATGGCGGCGGCAGAGACCACCCGACAGCTCAATAAAGGTCGCATTTCAGAGAATCATGACGCAGCAGCCTAAAACAGACTGACCTCTGTTCACAACACGCCTTGCGCCGCAGCAGCAGCAGCAGCAGCAGCAGCAGCAGCTACGGCGGCCACAGCGTATGTACACACATATATCTCTCTCGCGCGTCCCCTCGTTGCTGTTTCGTGTCTTTCAGCAGTACACCGTGAAACAGCGCGAAGGAAGCGGGTAGGGCGCCGGAGAGCCGATAGTGGCGAAGGTGCCTGCCCATTCGAACGCGCATTTTATTCCTAGTCACAGTAGCGACTCTGCGGGAGAGACAGCAGCAGCGGCAGCGAAACCAGCTGGACGCAAGGGGAGTTTCTTCGGCTGTGCGTCAGTCTGCCACCTGACCCGTTCAGGGGCTTCTCAATTTCGCCAGCTCCTCCCTTCAGTGCAGCAGCACACGCAGTCTGCATTCGCGGCGATCGGCTGCAGCAAGAGAAAGCACAACAGCAGCACCAACAGCAGCCACTCGAGAGCAGCAGTGCAATGACGGAGACGATGCCACAAGAGGCAGCTTCTGCCCTCGGAGGGGAAGCAGGAGCTCTAGGATCTATTTCTGGAGTCGGCGGGGAAGACGGCCTAGGCCTTTTCTCACGCCTGAAGGCACTGCAGAGACAGCTCGAATTCCTCAATGTGCAGGTACATCGAGGGGGCCCTTTTACATGATCGATTCACCGTGTCATTACGTCTTCCGGTGCCTCTGCCCCTGAATCTTTTGATGCAGACAGCAGCAGCAGATGCGACTGAAACAGACAACCACAGGCATTGTCTCTCTCTCTCTCTCTCTCTCGCAGCCTTACTGTGTTGGGGGGTGCATGCGCCCACGCGTTGCTGCACTGAGCCAGAGCTGCCCTGCGGCGCTCTATTCACACGATCTGCAGCTTTTTTATGCATACTGTGCTGCTGCGTGGGAACTCTTTAGCCCCCTCCACCTTCCGCGTTCACGCGCATCCCCTAGGAACGAGCGGCTGCTAGCGTCTACGGGAAGAAGAGCTTTATGTTGGGGTCTTTGTGGCTGCGTGTCGCTGGCTTTTTAGGAGGATTTCATCTGCGACGAACAAAAAAACCTAAAGAGGGAGTACTATAGGGCACGGGATGAGCTGCGGCGGATTCAGTCTGTGCCTCTAGTTATTGGACAGTTTCTTGAGCTCTTGTCTGCCAAAGAGGCCATTGTCTCGAGCACTGCGGGGAGCAGCTATGTTGTTAGGGTTTTGTCGACAATCAACAAGTGAGCTCGAGGGATTTTGCCGGCTGCAGCCCTCTGGCTGTTTGGGAGGTCCGCCTGTAGCTTGGCGGCTGTTTCCCGCACATGGAGTGGCTAGCTACTAGCTGCTGCCAGCGGACTGGGGGTTTCTTTGCACTGCCGCCTTGCTGCGAACGCAGCTTCTTCCGTGTGCTCTGTGCGCGTTAAAAGTGTTGTGGAGAGTACATGGCACATCGCACCTCCAGCGGCTGCTCTTTGTGGGCTGTCCACCCTCCGCTTCTGCATGCTTCTCGGCGCTGCGCTGTATGTTGCATATCAGGGAGCTGCTCAAGACGGGCAGCAGTGTTGCTCTCCATCGCCACTCGCACTCCGTCGTTGACGTCCTACCGCCAGAGGCAGACTCCACGATTCAAACGCTCAAGATGCAGGAGAAGCCCGATGTCACATATGCGGTTAGCTTGCATTGCGTGCGCTGCTGCAGCGCCAGTGTTTCCCTGCGGACGGTGCAGCTGCATCGGCAGTTCTTCTTTTTTCGCGAGCGTCCCCGCCAAACGCGATTCGCTCTGCCTTCGTAGCCTCGATGTTTTGCCTCGTGCTGACAGCGCTGCAGCGGGGGGCCTTTTTACTTCTCATGCTGCATGCGTGTCTCGGTTGCTCTTTGCGTCACCACGCCACAGGATGTGGGTGGCCTCGATATTCAGAAGCAGGAAATACGGGAAGCGGTAGAGCTGCCCCTCACATGCCCCGAGCACTACCACCAAATTGGTATTGAGCCTCCCACGGGAGTGCTTCTCTATGGCCCTCCAGGCACCGGTGAGGCTTTTTCTTGCTTTCCCAAGAAGCAGCAGGGGGTAGCCGTACTGCAGGCAGGAGGCGGCAGGCAGGGGAGCTGGTTGGCTCGCGAGACGTGCACTGCTGCGTAACAGCTTGCGGCTCAAAGCCTCGCAAACTGCTCTGCATGCAGGACGGAGCATCAGGTCTCTAGAGGCTCTGCTGCGCAGAACAACTGCGAAGCAGCAGAGCGGGGCTGCCCTTGCGAGCCAGCAGTTGTGCCTCCGTGGTGTGCGACAAATGTTTCCTGCTCAGGGAAGACTATGCTCGCCAAGGCAGTGGCGAACAACACGCAGGCAACCTTCATTAGGGTCGTTGGAAGCGAGTTTGTGCAAAAGTACTTAGGAGAGGGTCCTCGGATGGTCAGGGATGTATTCCGACTGGTAAGTTGGGTAGTAGCGCGATTTCGACCCTATTTTGAGGTGCGCGCATGTCTCGCGGCTGCTCTTACCCCGTCGACAGAAGCAGCAGTCCGCAGGGAGAAAAAAAGCGTCCTCCTCCGCCAAACTTTGTGCTTGCATGTCGTGCCCCCAGGCTCGGGAGCACTCTCCCGCGATCGTGTTTATCGACGAAGTCGATGCCATTGCCACAAAGTGCGAGGCGCACAAGAAGGAAGCTCCGTATAGACCCTTCTCGTCTCTGCCACACGGGAAGGCCATGCCTTACGGGATGCAGGCTTGAGTGGTCGTGGCAGCACTTGATGGCTGTGGTAGCGTCAGGGGTAGGGGGTGGACTCTGCTGAATGCGTGTGTGCTGCGTCTTGTTCAGGCGGTTTGATGCGCAGACGGGTGCAGATCGCGAGGTACAGCGTATCTTGCTGGAGCTGCTCAATCAAATGGACGGCTTTGACCAAACTTCCACTGTGAAGGCGAGCTGAAACGTAGATTGCGCGCATTCACCCTAGGAGCGTCAAATCGAATCTTTGCTGACCTGCTGCATTTCCGCGGGGGATGGTGGTCTCCTCCCGAGCGCTAGGCTTCGAGCGGCTTGCGCGCCGGTTGGGAGGGGAGCGGGGGGGAAGGCAGGCATCTGTGTGTAGCCCTTCTCCTCGTGTGTAGCGTAGAGAGAGTCCAGCTTAAGATATTTGCGACAAAATTTGCCGCAAATGTCGCCGCTGCACCAAGGGGGGCTCGTGGAAGACGGAGTGGGTGGAAGACGGAGGCGAGACGGGGTATTGGGGGGTGTATGCAACTTAAGAGGCTGCGCCTCTCGGATTTCGCTTCCCCTTTTGCTGCAGGTGATCATGGCAACAAATCGCGCAGACACCTTGGATCCGGCACTGCTGCGGCCGGGTCGCTTGGACAGGAAGATTGAGTTTCCTCTGCCAGATAGGAGGCAGCGCCGCCTCATCTTGCAGACAATCACTGCCAAAATGAACATCTCGGAAGAAGTGGACCTCGAAGATTGTAAGCTTTTACCTTCACGTTTTCCCCACGGCTGCTCGCAATCGTGGGGGTGCTGTGTGGCTATATTCGAGTGCTGTTTGGAAGCTGCTTTGGGGGGTTGTGAAGGCGCCTGAGTTTGCCTTTGGCTGTGGATCCACGAGGTGGATGGTGGATGTCTTGTACGGCTTTTCGTGCAGTTGTTTCGCGTCCTGAAAAGGTCTCTGCCGCAGACATCGCGGCGATCTGCCAGGAAGCGGGCATGCAGGCTGTTCGAAAGAATAGGTGCTTCAGCTGAGTCTGCCCTGGATGCTGCTGCGGCGACTGCGTTTATTCCCCGGGTTGTTGTCATGCGTGACCATGCTGTTGCTGGGGCAGTGAGGCTTTGGCTGCTGTTCCTGTCGCCATGGCAGTCAGGAGTGGGAGACTTACGCACTTGAATGTGGGGGTGGTTGCTGCTCTTCAGATACGTGGTGCTGACCAAGGATTTTGAAAAGGGTTGGAAGGTACATGTTCGCAAACACGAGAGAGACTTTGAATTTTACTCCGTCTAGTTGTCGTATTGCAGCTGGGGCAGACGCGTTCGGTGCCGCAGTTTGTGTCTTCTGGAGGCTATAAACAGCAAGAGCTGTTGAGCGCTTGCTGGCTGCCTGGCTGTTGCGCTTGCACGCTGCATGGCTGGTGGGACCTCTCAGAGGCCACGTCGTGGTAACTCCTACTATCTATCGTGCGAGAGGCCTCACAGATGGCAAAGAAGATGCTCACGCCGCAGTGCTTTTCCATGCGCCACGGCGAAGCGGTTGCGCCCTGTCGCGTCTGCTGCTGCTAAAATATATGTCTCGAACGGCGAACGGAAAGAGACAGCCTTCTTAGTAAAAGGGACGCGCCAAGGGGGATTTAAGGCTTTTCAATTTGAATCTACTTGGTGGTTACCAGCCCTTCGTATTTTGCGGAGAAATAGGCACTGCTAGCTATCGCAGGACGAGCCTTTGTCAACCGCCCTCTATGTCCCACGCACTTAACGTGTTTTATTACTGCCTCTAGATGTCGCCCTCTAGTTTCATCGTGTGCTGCTCTTAGCATTCCTCTGTCTGCGTTATCCTGCCACGCAATTTTCTGTCGTGTTCTTCTCAAGGAGTCTATAAATTGTCAGGACTCCCCCTGCCCCGCTATGCCTCGGCCTATTTCGCTGCGTCTGCCGATATCCTTCGTTGGTGCTCCTTTTTGTTCCCTCCCATGTTGACACATGATGCTCTTATGGGCCAATTATTAGCTCGCTGGTAATAAAATGGGGTCGGAAAGTCGTTTTACGGAGTAAACAGCGCATATGCCAAGCTTCCAACCTGCAGACCGAGCAGAAGTCCGAGGGGAGGCTGGGCTTGTTGCGAACGCGTGTTCTTTGCAACATTCCTCTGCAGCCTTCCATATGGAGGCAAGTACCTTGCGGGGGGCGAAAATCCTGCTTGCTATGATGCGTTCATACTCCACATTCGCACACCGTCCAAACAGGAAACTGGTATGCATTCAGTCGAACCATCTGACTGCGTACAAACAGTCCATATTTGACAAGACTTTTGCGGCGGGAATCAGAGCACTCTTGTACACTCGAAGTCGCAAGCCCTTGTATGAACGCGAGCAGGCTCCGAGTCAAACAGCGAATGAAACGTATAACCTATCTGCTTCAAAAGGGGGGACCGCGAACAAGAGCTCTCAGTATCTTCTAAAATTCTTCCTGAGAGGAAGAGGAGCGAAAGGGCAGGCTATATGTGTGACAGACACCAGAGGATGGAAGTCTATGCTCGAGTCGCCTGTCACGTGTTGGAGCTTCTTGCTGCGCTTAATGATAGGAGGAGGCCCAGCCCATGGGGTCTACAATGGCAGCGCTTTTCTCTTCAATGCAGAAGTAGTGTCTTGCGGTATCTTTCTCGATGATTAGCTTTCGATACGGCAAAGTGATGTGAGTGCTGTAGCAGCAACAAACCCCATATCTTCTGAGAAGGGACCATCTCCCGCATATGTTTGAGGCAAGCCCCGGAAGCACCGTACGTACAGCATAAAAAGGATGGCCTAAGCAGCAAGGTGAGACGCCCTTAAAGAGAAATGTATCTGGTGAAGAAGAAATGCGCCCCAGAACCCGTGAGAGGAACGGTCACGGCTCTATCTGGACCTTAAGGATGACCGATACCAAAGAGGTCCAAGGCGCAGTTCATATGTGCTGTCACTCTCGTAGAATTTTAGGAAGCCATTGATGCTCCGGCGATGGTACTTGAGAACTAAATGCCACTGTAAAGAAGCATCAGCATACAGCCACAGACATACGAAAGCGAACCATTTAAAGCTTTGTGGACACAGCACAGAGGCCTCTCTTTCAAGCCGAGCAAGTGATTGTAAGTCCAAGCAGCCTAGGTGTAAGATTCTTCCCAGCTCGACGTGGGTGGGACCAGGCTCTCGAAGGGCATGGCCAGGAACTTAACGCAGAAATTTCCTGCAAAGTGAATTGTGAACGTACAGTTGATACAATCCACGCTCCGTCTAAAGGTACAGGCCATCCCCAAAACGGTAATATCTCGCTCACACATGAGTGCTTTGCACTGTGCCCTTCAGATGGAGCCGAGGTCAGAGACTGGCAACGGAGGAAAACGATACTCCAATAAATTGAACACAGAGAGTTGCCTTCGAGTGAAATTCAGGCATGCAGTCTTCAGTAGCAACGTTTGCAATGTGGTAATGAATGAGAACGATAAGAGTGAGGAAGTATAATAGGTGGGGGAGGGAGGGGTGAACGCATCTCGTTTTGCCTGGCGAGGGACATACACTTTGAATGATCTGTTCCGCGTGATCCTAACCCCATTTTCCTTACGGCGACATGACATTGGCCAAACGGGTAGAAAGGCAAGCCAAGATACAGGCAGCAGCTATCTTTTAACAATCCACGTAATCACATCCATACCATCAAATCAAGATAAAGACACACACCCCGGATAAATGGAGTAAAGAGCTCCATACTTGCCAAAAATATTCGCTTCCAAATCTAGCGTCAAGCACAGTGAATCTTTTCAAGACTCATTTGACTGTTTGCTCTCAAACGTATTTTGGCTTGTGCTACAGAAGTATTTGCACGGCCATTCAACTTCAATGAACGCAAAACTAGGGTGTACCATGAGAACTTGCACTTGCAAGGGAAGGTGTATGTAAGAGCACAGGGTGCGAGGACTCCAACTGGCGGAGAAACTGTTTCAAGGTACTTGAAGAAGGCGAAAGCAAGAAGTGTGCAACAGAGGGCCTGCATATGTGTCAACCATCGACTTACAAGTACAGCACCAACAATTTAAAGCAATAAGCAGCAATATAAACAACTGCTTAGCCTCGCAATTCAGTTTGCCCGCATTTTGGGAGATGGTTTTTCTTCAACGTAGCCTCATTCAATGCGAATACACCAGCATGTACTTCGCAGCTGTGCACGAAAGGCTTTTGCCGTTAAGGCACTGCAGCCACCCAATTGACCAAACAAACTAGTGCGCAGAACAGCCAGCAATAAATAAGACTTTAGCATTTAGATGACTCTGCGTCGATTAAATCTAAAAGTGTTAGTCTAAAAACCCATCTCAACTGTTCAGAGCTTTGGAGCTCTACATGGGTTCTTTCCAGGGAGATATCTACACCCCCAAACACACGACAAACTTAATAGGGAGTTATCGATGCCATATCAAAGTGCTCTCTCTTCATGTTTCTGTCCTTATCCATCAGATTTCGGCATGAGGGGTGGGGAGCAGCTGAAACGACGTTTGCTGCCCCCCGTACCTCGTCAAGCATTCACAGCTAGCTCGATACCGAATCTACCACACGCGCCCGTAAAATTACATCTTTTTGTTCAGATTTCACAGTTATTTGCAGTAATTCAGATATATGAACAATCAAACAACATGGCGTACTCTTGCCATTGCTGGTTTAGCAGAGAGTGTTCAAATCTAGCATAGGCCCCAACAATTGAAGTCACTTGGTGCAGGATGTTGGCCTGCGAACTTGGGAAACAAATTCGCGACAGGCGCTACCGAACACAAGTTGCAAGTAAAGCCTTCGCCCTTAGCGGTATGGACTTGTATCAAGAATAATGCAGCTGTTCGTATTTCTAAACTCCCAACACAACATTCCACAAGAATGCTGTCTGGTAGAGACCGGTAAAACTCCTGGATTTGATAAGCTCCATGACGATTAAATTCTCAATAATCCGGACGAAGTCAGCAAAGCAAAAAAATAAGCTAAACAATTTCTCCATATACGCGCAGATATTGTGGTAATCTGGCAGTAGAGTAGGCAGTGTCTGCCCGTCTTGAAACATTCCCAGCACGACAAGTTCCTCAGGAAAAAATTATTCCCATGCAGGAAGGCTAAATAAAACTACTCCAAGATGATTATGAACACTTTGAGTGACTGCACACCTAATACGAGCCACGCAATGCGACAGCACTAAGATCATGCCCGTGGGTGCTGGCACCACACGACCGGCTCGTCGCGCAGTCTAGAGAAGTCACTGCTGCTTAGTGCGGCTGAATCTGCTTTACCACGCATATCCAACTAATTATCTCTCAAATTCAGCCTTCTGTACTATTTGTGTGCTATTTTCGCCCCTTTTCGTTCTCGGATCTCCTCTTTCTTCTTCCGAAAATGGTGAACCCCAAGACAGTTTCGCTGATCGTGGCGATATCCTGCGTCGCAGCTCCCTCACTTCGTGCGGCTTGCATCGAACAGGAACCATACGATCCGCTTTCTTCAAATTTTGACGGCTATGAAATGAATTATGAGGACCTGCAGTTGACAAAGGAGGATCTAGAGGACAACATGGAGGAGAGCTCCCATGGAGCAGAGCATGTGAGCGGGCGTGATCCAGTGGGGCACATGGTTAGCCCTCCCACAGATATAAAACAGTTTCCAACGGAAGACCCTAAGGAAGTTGTGAATGAGCATGAAAGCGGGAGCAGCGAGGATGTGTGGAGAGAGCAGGAGGAGCAACAGGAGAAAGAGCCGGAGGTGAAGCCTCGTGGTTTTCTTGACAAGGTCACCGAGGGCTTCAAGAGGGGATTCGACGCTATTGGAGGCATACTTTCTGGCTTGTCACAAAAAAATCCCGATCAACACACTCAGCAGCAGTCAGGGGATGATGCACAGTGATTGGAAGAGACGGAAGGGCTCACTGTTATCGCGACTCAATAGATGGATGAGCAATGCTTCACAGACGAGGTGTAAGATCCAATACTATTGAGTGTTCCATAATTCCAAAGAAGCGGTGTGTTCTGCGCAGTGAGCTTTCTCGTATTTCGAGGAGCTTCTGACTTCTTTTTTCCCGTGCTTGCTGATCCATATTGGATGAGCACACCAGAAAATGCCTTTGGCTTATGTCGAATAAGGGGACCAATTTGAAAAGGAGTTTTTTGGGGAGGTAGCAGATTACCTAGGCAAAAGGTGTGTTGGACGGTCGGGTTTTCGCTATTGGCAAAACCCCAGGTTAAAAAGATGTTGTTCACCAGCAATGTGGAATGCGTTTGCCGTGTAGCAAAATTCGAGTTTCTGTGCAAGTTTCTCAAAGTGCACAGGACGCACAACCCACATTGGCCCTCTTCTTAGCATAGTTTGCTGGGAGTCCAGTTACTTGCTAGGAATCAATGATACTAGAGTACAGATTGTGGAGCAATGCCGTGCCGTGTGCTGTGGCTGCTTTTATAGGAGGCACTTTACCCAAACTCGATTCGACTGCTTTCAAGAAATCTAACAAGTGTCCTCTCATAAAAGCCTCCTCCCCTCCCTATCATCACCCCTCGAGAGGGTTACGGCATGAGGGAAGACAGGACTGTTTGGGGTGTCAAATAGATGCCTTGCGCTAAGCAGGCTGAGAGTTCGCAACCGGGGGCACACGACGACATAGCGAGGGTACTCATCGCTCCTTGTGCAATCAAGAGAATGTGCGAATAACTAGACGCATCATTCAATTTGGGCATGCTTAATTACGCAATGTAGTAGGAAGTGTGCGAGTAGTTTGGGCCCTTATAGGTTCTTGACCAGGACCTGAAGAGAGCCTAAAAACGAGGAGCACGTCAAAGCAGACTCCTAGGGGAAAGCATCCTGGGAAAATCGGCAAGCAAAACGGAGAAGCTGGCGAAGAGACGCTTGTTAGGAGGGTGGTCTTTAGAAGCAGCAAAGTAGTTCTGTGATCATGAAGCTTGCTTGCCCTGGACAGTATCTCATGGATATTCGTAGCAATTTTCTACGCAAAATCCTCAAGATGGTATGGAGACAGTAGAGTGGGACCCCTGCGCGCAATTGGAGCCCTTGAGGGACCCCCGCCAAAGGGGCCGCCGATAGTCGAGTGGGGGGCCCCTCTGCCGTGGGTCACTTAGAGGCGGGCCCTTAGTTTGGGTGCGCTATCCACCTCCCTGCTCTTTTTTCAACACCAAATGCCTCTAAATGGCAATATATTCTGCACGAAATTGTGCATGGGACGCCTCCTTAGGGCCAGCTTGCAAGGGGCCCTTCGCTCCAGCCGGCATGAAAGGCCCTCGAAGGCAGCCCTGTAGCGCTTTCTGCCCCCCTTGCGCCAACCGAACTCCGTCTTAATTTGATAGAGCCTGCAGAAGTGTCGGCTGGGAAGGCGGTATGTGGTGTCCACTTTGGAACGCTTCGAAGGGAGCAGCTCGTGCGGAACTAGCAGACGGACGAAATATCGAGACGCCGTCTCAATAAGCGTCCTGAACTTCCTTCTGAGGGGCCCTCATCCCCCTTCGTGTGCTGAGGGCCTGTACTGCTTCCAAGGCAGCTGTGGGGCCCCTGCGCACGAAACCCCTCGAGATCCTGCACTTCCCTTCGCCTCCTCTTACCCCTCGTCTGCTGCTCAGTTCAATGCTGCATAGGGGCCTCTCCCGGATGCCGCCGCGATGGGGCAGCAGCAGATCGAGTAGCGCTAGCGGCAGCATTCTGCGCAGAAGCATTCAGACCGCCAGCAATCGTTCCTGCTGCTGCTTCTTTGAGCTCCCGAACCCCCTGAGGCGACTCAGTCCTGGTGCACTTGAGCCATTTGGGAGAGGCCCGCCAGTTCGCTCAGCCGTCAGGGGGTTCTGCTGCTGCGCAGCAACCGCAGCAGCAACAACAGCAGAGCCTAAAGAGGCGCACGACTGGGATGCCGCAAGCGAGGATTGGACCGGCGCCTCGCGAGATGCCGTTGAGGAGGAGCGTCTGCAAGATGCTCTTGTGACTTTGTCTGAAGCTCCAAGGCCCGAACATGCAGCCCTCTGGCTTGGAGGTGGTCTAAAGAGGGCGGCAGCTGCCTCCCTTGCTGAGGAAGCCTCAGAAAATTCTGTCGTCTCCGAGCTCCTGGAGAGGGAACTGGAGGGAGACAGCTCCTTGCCAGTCCCTCTGCAGAGACGGGGCCTCAAAGCCACCCCACTGGCAGCCTACAGAGCTCCCGAAGGCCTTTTTCAAAAGCAGCAGAGACACGCTTCTTTGCTACAGCGCCTTGCACTCGCTGAAAAGATTGCAGCGGAGGCACCCCGCAGCGGCTACGGGCGTGGAGAGGCCTTGTTGCCTAGAGACAAGCGCTTGCAATTAGTCGCTCGAGAGGCGGGACGGCAGCAAAGGGGCAGGAGGCCCTTGGTACGTAGCGCACTTGTTCGTCTTTGCTGCCCTGGCCGTTTTGTTGCGGAGGTTCTCTTCTCTGCTTCGCCTTGGACGATCGCCAGGCGTTGTCAATATGTTCTGCCTGCTGCGCCGACTGTCAATGCACGGGCAGACTGCTGCTGAACGTGATGCAGACGTGTACCTTGACGAGACTGCTGTTGCCTGTGCAGCTCTCTCTGATGCGCGGGCTATGGGGGCTGCTCTTCTTGCATGTTCTCTTTTTGTGCCGTCGCAGCGTAGGGGGCCCCTTCACGGCATGGCTGTCACGAAGATATGCGACATAGACAGTCTAAGGGCCGCTGACTTGAACCGAGGCTTCATGCTTTTATTGGTGCAGCAACTGCCTGCTGAGGTGGTCCTGCAGCTCCTGACAAGGATCGGACTGTACAGGGACCGCCCCTGCCAGAAAGCATACGAGGCGCTCTCTCGCGATTTTTCACAGGTGGTATCTCGTTGCCTGGAGCAGCAGCGAACCCCTGCAGCAGGTGCAGCAGCAGCTGCAGCAACGGCAGCAGCGCTGCTCACACGAAGTATACAGACACTGCCCCTTCCGTGGGCGGTCGATTACGTGCGGCGCTTTGGGGCTTTCTCGAAGGCCTTCCTCGCGCGGCACATTGAGAGAGTCACCAATCCTAGGTTCTTTGACTTCGTCCGATATCAGCAACACGGCGGTAAGGCGCTGGGTCCCTGTTTTCTAGAAAAAGGCTTGCGCTTCCACTGCTCCTGTTGCTGTGGCTGTGGCTCCTGCCGACACATCTGGGGTGTCTCCGGAAAGCTGATGGTGGATGCAGTGGGGCCACCTAAAAGTCGCCTGATTAGGAGCAGGCTGCTATCATGTGGGGGAGGGAGGGAAGCTTATTCCTACAACTGCGCTGCTACATGGCTGCGTTGGCAAGGCGGACTGTGGCGGGGAGCGTTAACGAGCAGCGACGGCTTCGACACGGGTGTTGGGGACGACACCTGTTCGGGGGATGTGTGTATGTGTATGTGTATGTATGTGTGTGTGTATGTATGTGTGTATGTATGCATGTGAATGTGTATGTGTATACATGTGTATGTAGGTGAATGTGTGTGTGTGTATGTATGTGTATACATGTGTATGTAGGTGAATGTGTGTGTGTATGTATGTGTATGTATGTGAATGTGTATGTGTACATGTATATGTGTGTGTACGTGTATGTCTGTGCACTTTTGTGTGTGCGTGTGTGTATATCTCAGGGTTGCGGCCCCTGCCGGCTATTGTGCGGCATCCGTATCGCCTTTCCTCTTACGTGCAGCTGTTAGGGGAGTGTTCTGTTAAGAAGTATCTCTACACACACCTCAAGAGACACGGAGTGTTGCCGCCGCAGCAGCTACTGCAGCAGCAAGAACTACACGTCAAGCAGCTGCAACAAGAGCCGCAGTTGGTACTGTCCCCCGAGCCGGCCGAGAGCGCGGGTCTGCTGCCGTCTGAATTTACAGCTGCCGAGAAGATGATCTCACAGCAGCGGAGCAGCAGCGGCATCATTGATGACAACAACAGAACAGTCCAGAGCGCCAGGAGAGGCAGAAGGCGGGAAGAGGAGGTCCCCCGTCCCCCCGTTTACGACCTTATTCTCGCAGCCGAGCACATGGGTGTCGACTACACGGAGCTGCTTGAGAAGGGCCATAGCAGCGGCTCTACGCAACAGGAGCAGCACGAGCAGCAACTCCTGCAGGATGTGCAGCTGGAGGACGCGGAAGGGGGTGAGTGGGAAACCGAAGGGATAGTGGAGACAGATCCGTTCGCGATGCAGCGAGTGCCGGTTGTTGCTCCGCGGCAGCAGAGAACCTCTCTGGTTACTTCTGACACAGCAGCCGCAGCAAAAGCAGAATCAGACGACCCTCCGAGAGAAAGGCCGTGGTGGCGTAGCCCATGGGGCGTGCGGGGTGGTTTCTTCCGCTACAAGGGTAAGTGGCAAAGGAAGAAAGTAGCAGCGCGTTTGGTTCTCACGTGCACGTGAAGCAGCCCGTGGGAAGAGGGGGTGGGGGAGGGTAGGGAAGGCCCATAGCAGACCCTTCCTAGCGTTCTTCCTTCCATGCGTAAGTATAAAGTCGCAGACTTTTCCTTTGTCGACGCACAGACAGGTACGTTGTGAAGTGTCTCGGGCTGCTGTTGCTGCAGGAGCTGCATATGCAGTGAGCCAAGAAGAGGGGTGGAAGGCGCTGCCCTCCGGGCCTGAGGCATCAAGGCCATGGGGACCGAGGCGGCGGCACAGGCCTCATGCAATCTTGCGGGAGAGGCGGAGACGACGAGAAGCTGCCTCTCTGGCTCTGCGGGAGCAGCTTCTTGGACGTTTGCCAACTCAACAGGAAGAAATGCAGGCCTCTGCCAAGTAAGTGGATCACTTTACTGTTGGCTGCTTGAGGGAGGGTTGCCGTAGGACGAACAGGCCTGGCTTGTGCGGGCGAACGGAAGGGTAAGGCGGCTTAAAGCCGCAAAGGAACAGACTTCTGGTTTGCTGGTGCCATCCACTGCGCCTTGAAAAGACTTAGTTGATAGCTCCGTGCAGTGTGATTCCTATATGCACAATAGCTTTTCCCCTCTAACGACTTGAATCCAGAGAGGAGGCGTGTTGAAGCCTCCGGTAAGTAGCGAGGCCGTGGACATAGGGCTCAGAGGCATACAAGAGCACAAGGCAGCTGGATAGAGGCCAACGCAGAGAGAGACACGCAGAGGCACAGGCAGGACGGGAATGTCATGTAGAGAGGGAGAGATATAGGAGTACAATTGTGGAAAAGTGGGCGTGCAACGCAGATGGGAAGCTAAGGCGGGGACCACAGGAGATGAGTAATGAGGGGTGAGGGAAGGGGAACAGCAAGAGGCGTGTGCATGTAGAAGCGCATACAAGCATTTAACGGCAAAAGAGACAAAAATATAAGCACGAGGTGACGCATGGAGCTACAAAGAGCTACGGCAATGGGGGTTTGGGGTCTGGTCTTAGAGGGTGGAAGGGGGCAAGGGGTAGTGCCCTAAGAGGAAAGGGTTGTGCAGCAATGCCTGGATGGAGCCTACAATCAGTGTTGGCTGCAGCCGTCTACAGCGCTTGCATGGTGAAAGGGGATATACGCGTCACTCTTCCTTCCACCCTGGCGACAACTGGGTACTGCGGGTGTGCCAGACATTTCAATGCTCCCTCCAAGGCCCCCCGTAGTGAAACACTTGACTTCAGACTTGATACAAACCAAGTAAAGAGTTATAGGGTGTTTGTTCAAAAATGTTTCTTGCTTCCATGTATGCACCCCTAAGGCTTCCCACATAGAGAGGGGCAGCTCGGAAGCGCGCAGCTGCACCATCAAAGCGCGCCGAGCATTCACACCTACTTGCACACAGCATTTAATCTACACACACACACACACATATACACACATCTTGAATTGAACTAGCACTCATCTGCAATGAATATGACATACGAGCAGCCAAGTCATATGGTTAACTTTTACTAATTCTTAAATGAGTATACCCAGTGAAGTCAACAGTACACACGCATAGCTCAGCCGGCTACACCGGTGGATCAAGTATCGGTGAGCGAATGGTGTCTCTCGTACCCAGGAGAACAAAGAGAGCGGCACGAATATTTCCCTTCGCAGTTAGACTGGGTCTGGAGGTTGGATTGCAGTGTTCCATATAGGCACAGCGCCCATGCTGTCCATTTTCGAAGTCCCCCTGTCCCGCCTGCGTCGTGTGCTTATTTGTATTCGCTAGACGAACATGCAGCGCACATTGTGGATCAGCGGTGCTTTAATGCTTGCTGGGTGTAATGCCTCGCAAAGCATTTGAAATTGCTTCTGCAGAAGCACATGCTAGAGAACGAACAAGCCTCTGGAGGTGAGGACAACCCAGTTCAACCCTCTATGAGCGCGTTAGAGGCTAAATTGCCTACTTAAGGAAACTTTCCCAGCAATAGGCCTCCCACTAACAACGGCACTTGGCAGAGCATTGGAAACTCATCAGATGTGTAACAGACCTTCTGCAAGCTGCACCCCTAGGGGACTAGCTGCAAATGGCTGAACATTCCAAGCGAGGCAGTAAGACCAGGAAGACAAGGCTGAAGCACTGAGTGATAAGCTACGGTCTTGAGCAATGATACTAAGGAAGAAACCAATTGTGGGCCACCTTTGCACAACTGGCGTGCAGGGAAATCGCATTCGACACTTTTATCTTCTTCTATCCACTCCTATGCATTTATTTACTAGAATCCCAAACTAGCTGTCATGCCTTGCTTCATGATGCAGCAGCGTAATCGCCTTGGAATAATCTTCGATGCTTTTTCTCGGAACCTTTGCAGGTCTCGCAGACAAGTATATGCAACCGGAACCTCGAAGGCAGGCACTCACCGATTACGCTTTATGCCCACTCTACCCAGCTTTCATAAATGGAGGCAGGCAGCGTCGATATCCGCCCGCACAGACTTCTGTGCGTCTGTGTTTGGACCAGAAGGCGTTTTTCTTAGTTCCTTCTAAAGATGCTGCTGCCCTTCCTCTCCCACCCGCCCTCGGCTTCGTCTACAGAACACGGTAATCCGAGTTTTCGCGTTGGATGCCCACCTTTTACGGACTGGAGAACTGCTTTTCTCCCGCAGACAGAACACAGCGAATACCACTGTCCCCCCATGGGAACCCTGCATGCCGAGGCACACCGAGCCGCCGCAGCCGCATTCCCAGGCCCTGCTCCCTGACTGCTTGATTTTTTGGTTTAGCCTTCAGTTTTATTGGATTTAAGCGCCATGCGAGGCTGCTCAGAGGCTCCTTCCAGCTACTGGCTGCTGCTACGGCTGCCGCGCGGAAGACACTTGAGGAACCGTGCGGAGGCGTTGACTCGCTAGTCCTCTTTTCCCAGACCCTAGAAAATGAGCTCTCGTCGCCGCGTCAAGACCGTTGCATATGACGAAGACGACCTCTATGACGCGTATGAGTACGATGACGAGGAGAGTGAATACGAGGAAGACGCAGCACCAGCAGCGCGGAAGGCCGCAGCCAGACAGCAGCAACGGCAACACCATCCAGCGAATGGCAAGCCCTCCGAGCGGCTCCAAGGGCAGCAAAGGTTTCCAAGCGCTAAGCAGCAGCCAGCAAAGGGGTCCTCCACGCAGACGTCGAAGCCGAAAGCTCTAGAAGCAGCAGCACCGCTGGCGATGAGGAAGGCATCCGCCACTGCAGGCAACACCCACCTTCCTGAGGCAACAGCCGCCTCACCTGCGGCTCCTTGCTCTGTGGGTAGGCACCAAATCACTGTCGTCACGGTTGGCCACGTGGATGCAGGGAAAAGTACCCTGATCGGGCAGCTCTTGTGGCAGGGGGCCGCCGTTGATGCCGCAGCGCTATGGCGTCTGATGCAGCAGCAAAGCGAGCACCAGCGCTGCCGCAGCGGCACAAGCAGCAGCAGAAACAGTCGCTACCCAGCATTTGCGTGGCTTCTGGACGAGGGCGAAGAGGAAAGAGACCGGGGTGTCACCGTGGATGTGACAGTCAAGTGCCTCCGCACTAAATCTGCAGATGTCGTCTTCTTCGACGCTCCAGGGCACGGAGATTTCGTCCCCAGCCTTATAGGAGGTATGGCATTTTTGCGCAGTAAGGAAAGCGCTGCTGCCTTGTAGCTCTTTGCCTAGAGAGAGACAGAGAGATAGAGAGAGATAGAGATAGAGAGACAGAGAGATAGAGAGAGAGAACTCGCTGCACCTCTTGACCGCCTTTTCCCTAAACCCCTTTTTTTAATGGACTATGCGCACTTTCTGCCGTAGAGAGTTGCAGTGCCACAGCTGATAGTCGCGAATTTCAAACCCTAGATCCCGTCGTCGTCGCAAATCAAGAACTCAGGTGTCATGCGTGATCTTTGGCCTCCTTCCCAAGGTAGAGGCTCTGTGCTGCATATTTTCAACTGAAAAAGGGCTATGTGAGGAATTAAGGCTTCTTCTTTAATTGGGGGCTGGAAGTTTGTTTGGTTGTTGCTGCAGCGGTGGCAGTCGCATCTGTTGGTTTGTGGGTTGTGGACGGCCACAGGCTGCCAGTGCCACAACGGAGCAGCGAGACTGCCCCTGCAGAAATAGCAGCAGCAGCGGCAGCAGCAGCATCAGCAGAGCATTTGCTGCTTCTGCGGGCCTTTGGAATAAGCCATATTGTGGTGGCAGTGACGAAGCAGGATGAAACAGGCTGGAGCAGCAGCCACTTTGCCACAGCGGAGAAGCTGCTTGTTCAGCTCTGTGTGCAAGTAGCTGGCTTCTCAAGGGCAAATATTATCGTCGTTCCCGTTGCAGCTTTACCGGGTGTTAACCTTGTGCCGCCGCTGCAGCAGCAGCAACAGCAAGAGCTACTCCTGAAGCTAGCTACTGCCCGATGCAGCAAACACACACAAGACAGCGTTGAGCGGCTGCAGCAGATGGGGCAGCAGCAGCGGGAGCAGCAGGAGTTGTTGCAGCAGTGGTGGAAAGGGGGCTCTCTGATTGAAGTTATCGAGCGTCTCCCGGTAGGCCCCTTCTGCCACTAAAGGTCGCTGGTGGTGTAGGTGCTGCAGCGTGTTGGAAATACACGTAAGTCGCAATTCTTATGTCCTCGGACTGTGCTGCTGTTGTTGCTACTGCAGGCAGAAGCCTTCCGCAGCGGCTGCTGCGCAGGGAATGGCTTTGTCGGGCTTATCTCCGACGCATGGCGCAACGGAGACTCTTTAGTATTGTCGTTCCGGGTGGTTCGGGGGGCCCTCAAAACAGGTGACTCTGTGGTCTTGCTGCCGCATCGCCAGCAGTTGCGATGTCAGCAGCTGCAGTGCGAAAGCGGCGCCAACAACAGCAGCAGCGACTCGGGGGGCAGTTGCTGCAGCGGGCAGTTCGTGTCTCAAGCACTTTTTTCGTGCGGTTCCACAGAAGAGGCAGCCGCAGTAGCCGCGGCAGGCTGCGTCCTCTGCAGCAGCAAGGAACTGCTACCAACGACACAGCTGCTGCGTACTTCCCTGCTGTGTCTAGACACCGAAGTGCCGCTGATTCCTGGACGCAAGGTTGAAGTGTTTGTACACACAGCGCGCTCCCCTGGAGTTCTGCTGCGCATGCTTCCTCCCGCTGATGCTACAAGCATTAACAGCAGCGGCAGCAGCAAGATGCCTGTCCCTGCTGGCACGACAGGTGCCACTGGTTTGTCTAACGCAGCAGCTCCACGGTTAATCCCCCGAGGGTCTCGTGGCTGCGTCCTTATAGAAACAGCACAGAGCCTTACAGCGCTCCCGGTTGCTGCACAGGGGCAAAGGGGAAATGGCATGGGGAGTGAGGCACCGCCCTCCATTCTGAGCCGCATCATTCTAAGAGACGGCACGCGGATTGTAGCAGCCGGCCTTATTGTGGGAGTAGACGACGCTCCCCGTTAAAAAGGAGCCTAGGCGGGTGACACGACGTCTGTGCGCTGCTGCAAGGCTTTCCTGCCGATGCACCGTTGAGCGGGCTGTTTGTCGGTTTCCCGAGCCCCTTTGAAGGCCCTATGGCTTCAGGCAGCCTGTGGCGACGTACAGTGAACTACGGGAGGCGGCTGTAGCCTAGACCATTGTCGGGAGCTACCATTATGATGGGGTCGCCGTTGCTACTCAAAAACTGCAGTTTGTACTGCTGAGACGATCAAATACAGAGCGCTTGCCTAGGCTTTTGAAAGGCGCTGCCCCAGGCCGCCTCGAACAGCCCGTCGAGCAGCCGGCCGCCGCCTCTTCGAAAGATCCTTAGACCACTTCGATCACACACCGAAAATACCTAGGCCATAATGTAGTCAAGCGGCGAATTCCTCTAGAGCATGATACACCACACAGACAGCTACACCAGCAGCCGCTGGTTTTTAGGACGTAACGAGCACAGCCTGCGATGACCGCAGGGTTCCCTATTATGCTGTTTTTGCTAGATCAGTGCCGCATTGTTTAATAAACAGATTATTCCGCCAGGAAGGGGGCAGGCTCCTGCTTTTTGTTTCCGCCTGTGCAGAGGAGGCCCTGGCCTTCCGGTGACCTGGCCACTGGTGCAGCGATGGCTTGCAACGTGTGCAACAGCCGGTGCGCCGTCTTCGCTAACACATCTTGGCTTTTGTCGTCCCCGCTGGAGAAGCTCTAATTAACTGTAGGGCACTGGAGGGTGGAGCTGCTAGTTGCTACGGTGCACCGGCAGCAGCGCCTCGAGCACCGCAATCCTAGACGCACCGCTTGAACCCCTCCGCAGCAGGGAAAACAGCAGCTCTTGATGCTCCTGCCTCGGCTTTTTCGTGAAGTGGCTACAGGGCCAGCATGATCGGCTCGGAGACGGGGGGAGCTCCCAAGGCATCAGGGCGACAGGGCCCGAACGGAAGCTCAAGCCACAACGAAGCGGCAGACAATGAAAGCACCAGCAGTAGAACTATCGGGGAAGCAACTGTCACCTCCGCCGCCGGTGCTCCCCTGCGGCAGACAGACACTAATAGCAGCAGCAAGCACAGTAGCGACAATCGAAAATACAACTTCAGGGACAGGGCTAACAACCGAGGTAACTGGGGAAGCGATAGAAGCAGTCGCTTTGGCAACAGCTGCGTTGCCGGCATCAAAGAAAAGGACCAAAATTTTGGCGGCACTCACTGCAGTCGCAGGAGCGGCGGCAGCAGCATCCCTCCATGGAGGCAATCGGGGGAGTGCGTGCACGAAGGCGATGCAACTGACGATGCACTCATCATCCATCCCCTGAGCCACATTTGCGGCCACATCAGGAGCACTCACGGGAGTAGCAACATCACGAAGATCAGCAGGACGCACAGTAAGATTAGCAACCACTGCAACCAATATAATGGCAGCAATCGCAAAAGCAGCAAAGGGAGCCCAATTTCTGGTTCTGCTAGACCCGTTAGCCACCAATTGCAGATTCACCGTACACTGAGCATTTCCGGCAGTAGCCCAAGGAGCATCAGCAGCAGCAGCAGTGGCATGAAAGGCCCTACCTCTTCGGGGCCCCCTTCATGTCCTAGCTGCAAATTTTCACCAGTGGGAACACGTGTGGGCTTCAGAAGCTATTCATCAGCGCCAACAGCAGGCACCGCAGCAGCAGCGATGACGGCTTTCACAGCTGGCAGCCCGAAGACGCACCCTCGCAAGACCAATGCCTATTGTGCAGCAGGCTCTCTTCCTCTACCCATTTACAGGACGGTTTCCGAAACTCACCTGCGAAATCGTGGGGCCCCCCAAAGCTCTCCAGAGTCTAGTCCTGGTTCAGACTCTCAGCATCGCGCGCGTGCTCCCCGGAGTGCAGCAGCTTCAGCACAACAGAGACCAATCCAAGGCACGGTGGTCAACAGGGGTCACACCTCAGACCGTAGCACTCCCTCTGCCAATTCCGGTTCCACTGGCGGAAGAGTCGCTGCAGTACGACTGCATGCAGAAAACACGCCTGCAGTAATGCCCGAAGAAGAAGGGTCACTTGTGGCAGCCTGCTCCAGTGGAGAAAGAGATGCGAGCAGCAGCAACGGAAGCCAAAGTGGCGGCAGTTGCAGGCGCCGAAGAAGCAGCAGCGATGATATCGGCATGCTGAAGAAAAACAGCAGCCTGAGTTATCGCTCTGGCGAGACCCAGGACGGAGCGGTAACAGTGTGGTCTGAGGTGGATCGAACCTTTGGCAGTATTAGGAGCAGTAGTGTCAGCAGCAGCAGCAGCAACAGCACAAGCAGCGCGGGCTCTCGCGATACCAGCAATGGGTGCAGGTCTGATGGGTTCGCATCCGCAGTGACTGCATATTTTCTGCCATGCTTTACGCGGGAGCAGTACCAGCATCGCTCCAGGGATGCTGTACACGCATCAGCAGCATCAGCAGCAGCAGCCACAGTGTCAGCTGCCGCAGCAGCCGCTGCGGCGACAGCAAAGGCTGCAGCAGTACTGGCTTCGGCAGCAGCAGTCTCAGTGGCGTCGCTGCCGGGGGAAGTAGGAAGGACCCTTGCTTTCCTGGGTTGTCCGCCCTTGCAGCAGTTCCGGCGCGTCTTTTCACACCAGGTACCGTTCTGTTGCCTGTTGCTGTATTTTGGACTTTAGTTGCGTGCAGACGTACGTGAGTGTGTGCTGACGACTCCGGATGCTTGCTGGTGCTCCGTTGTGCTCGCTGCGATGACTTGCTAGCTGCTATAATTTGTCCGAAAATTTGCTCTACTCTCTTTTTCTTCCTCCTTTGGTGCAGCAGCGATCATCCTTCCTGCTTCCCTTGGGCGCTGTCTTGGACCCTAACGTCTTTAGCTCCGGCCCCGGTGCTCTGTCAGGCTGCAGATTCCTCGTTGACGAGGCCGGCTGTCTCTACAGACCGTTGCGGTGGCACTTTTGTAAAGAAGCAGAGTTTTATCGGCGAGTGGCTGCCGCTAGTGCTGCTGGCGCTGCTGCTATCAGCATAGGATCCCAGGGACCTCAGGACCGTCCGCAGCCAAAGCCGCATCATCTCATTGAACATGCACAGTCAGCAGAGGGCGCAGCAGGAGCTGTGGCAACGTGCGATTGCCGCCGTGGCGGCCAGACGGTCAGCTGCAGGGGCTTTCGGGAGAGAGAAACTACGGCGCATAGCGGCCGCGCAGTGTCACTGCAACGGCAACCAATAACGCCCGTAGGCAGTAGATAGACTACCGCTCCCCTGCGCTGCAGGGGCGTTTCCAGCGGAGCTTACACATAACGCCAGTCTAACGCTCAGAGCTAAACACTACACTGACCGTTGATGCTTTAGGGCCTCGCACAATCACCTAAGCCGTGCACCTGATTGCTGCAGTTTTACTGCAGAGCAACAGATGGAGAAGCCAAAGACATCCCCACTAGATCAAAGGGGTTTTTGTTTGCACATCTTGATAGGGCGTGGACACTAATTTCTGAAGACGCGAACTGCCTTTGGACTGCGTATTGTACTGTATCAGGCTACTGGACACCACCTTGTGAAGCCACCGATGCATCCAGCGCACGCTTCCGGACCAAGGAGAAGCAGCAGCGCCGGCGTTCAGCAGTGCCATGTAGTGAGCAAGCATCAGGAGGAGTATTCGAAGCACACGGAAGACTCAATCGACAAGGTCCTGCGGCATGGCCGACAGCATGTGTCAGATGCTGCAGCAGACGATGCAGATGTGGCGTCGGTTGCGCAAGCGCGGAGTTTGAGCTTACCGCTTGGAGAAGGCCCCCAGTCGCACGTCTTAAAGGACAGCAAGCCTGTCACTGCGATAGGCGAGAGCAAAATCAACAGAGCAGGCAGTTCCTGTAACGAAAATATTGGAGATGCGAGTCACCGCACCAGCTGTAGCAGCAGCAGTGACAGCCGAGCACACAGCTCTATGTCTGGGGGCGACATGCAAAAGGACCCACGGCTCGATTCTGCTGTCTCTGTTGCTGCTGATACTACTGCCCCTCAACAAACGACAACGGGAGTCTCTTTTTGTCCGCAATCACGGCAGCAGCACTATCAACAGGAGGAAATGCTCGAGGAAGGCACAATGTCGTCGCTAGGGTACCTGCAACAGCAGCAGCTGCTCCTGCAGTTGGAATGCGTGACGATCGCCTACCCTGCTTCTCCAAGAGCACAACAGCAGCAGCTTCAGCTGATTCACGAGCGAGCTAAAGGCCTAGCAATAAGAAAGCAAGGCGCTTTGGCACCGAGAACACTTTGTACTGACGGCTACGCAGAGCAGCTTTTGTCTGCTCACTATGGTGAGCACAACGTGTGTCAGCCAAAGGCATTTTAGGGCGTTTGGTGCTAAGAAGACGAGCAATGGGCGTATGCTGAAGAGCGTCTAATGCATTGCTGTTTACAGACGCGTTGCTTGATGAAGGGAAAATCTCCGGGAGGGTCGTGTGGCAATGCGAGGAGCCGTTAAAGGAGGGCATGCACTTTGCCAGAGACAGCGAGCTTTTCTTGAAGGTGGGGCTTCGGCCCTCTTTCTGCGTACTCTGCCCGCACACCCGTGTCTTCCCCTAGATCGCTTGATCCGTCAACGTCGGTTTGTACTGTATATTGCTGGGTTCCTTTCCTTTTACTGCATGTGTGTAACCTTGAGAAATACTGCGAGCTCGATGGCACCGCAACAGTTTTTGCGCGTCGGTCTTTATCGATGATTTGCCGGCGGTGAAATTTCTGCCGAAATCTCCAGCTGTCCATGTGTGCAGTGTGTTGCGCTGTTTCTGGTGCTGCAGCTGCGCGGGCCCCCTCTGCTTCGCTCTCTCTCCAGCAAAGCCACTCGGTGCTCCCTGCTGCTGCTGCGACTGGGAAATGGGTTCTATGGCCAGTGTGAGAAGGATGCCTTGTTCCCAATGTTGGCCATGGCGGAACGGGAGGTGCCTCTTCAGCAGCAGCGCCAGGCTGTTGCTGCGTGGTGGAGTTGCAAAATGCATGCGACTGCTCACTGCTCTTCTGTTGCGGCTAAGAAGGTCGTGCAGGTGCGCCGTCTGGAACGTCCTACGGCATTTATACAGCCACGGAGCAGCAACGACAGCACCAGCGAGCTCATTAGCCTGCTGGCCCCTTTTGCTGAGCCTCTTGCACGTTCTGGTCCGCCATTTGCAATGCGTGCCATTCTTCAGAACATTGCTGCTGCAGATGTCGGACTGCCTTCTCTCAAGGGAGTTCTGGGCCCGGATGAGCTTGCAGCCGTACTCAGGGCTTGGAGTCAACGCGAGGTGAGCGCCTTCGCCAAAGGGGTGCCTGGACTGCATTGTAGCTGGCTAGCTTCTCATAGCCTCACGTCGCTGGACGCCTACCTAGCATCCTTGCCAGCTGAGATTCAGCGGCAGAGAGCGCTGGTCTCTTACCCATTTGACACACATTTTTCAAAGGAAGGCAGTTACGATCTGTCTGCACCGGGAGCCAAGCTGGGCGTGCCAGCGGTCTTCTAGCCAGCTAGCCGGTCTCCAGCTATCCAGGACGGTGTAACTGCTGGCAGTCTCCTGCTTAGGCAGTGTCTTCGCTGCATCCTGCGTGAATGTTTTCAGAAAGGCGCCGGTGCACCTTTAAAGCCTCTGGGATACTACCCGGTGTTTGCGAGCTTTGATTATGATGGACAGGTGCGCGTATATCCCACATACTTGACGCTATCTAGCGAGTTCCCCGCGTTCTCAACTCTCTGCAGCCACGTGCGCAACTGCTTCTTATGCGCCACCCGCCTCTAAAGAGCTACTGAAGGGACTATGAAACTGCTGTGCTTCTCAGCGGCTTACCTTCTCGAGGCGGGCTCTGCACGGCATCAGCAGTGACGAGGCTACGAAACTGGTGGAGGGGTGAGATGTTTGTGCTTCAAAAGACCACTTTAGTGGTAATTCCTGGCCAGCAGCATCTAGCTAGCCACAGAGAGCTACACCAGCTAGTAGAGAGAGGAGCTCAAAAGTACTAGAGGCGGTAATTTGACTTGGCACTGCTGGTTGTGGCTCGCTGCAGGGCATTCAGGGGGAACTCTGTTTTAGCCAATCTTTCCATGACTCGACTGCTGGCCCTCAGAGAATGGCTTCAGCGACAGCGTAGCTTCCGCTTTTACCGAACATCTCTGCTTTTTCTGTGGTCAGCCAGCAGCAGCAGCAGTACCACCACCACCAACGGGACTACCCAAGAGAGCCGCGCGGACTGCCGTTGGCTTGATTTCAAGTATGCACTTCCCTCCCCTTCGGGAAAAGAAGGGGGCTCAGAGCCGTGTTGCAGGAGTTGCTGCAGGTGTGGTGCAGTGGCAGCAACGACCAGTGCAGAACAGCCGCCTGCTGCAGCGCCGCCGACTGCAGTGTATCCAGCGGCTACGGCAGCTTGGAAACCTCGAAAAAATGCCAGTTGTTGTGTTATGAGGGCAAATGAGGGGCTGCTAACAGGCATCGAGACGCTTCTCGGCCTTCTGCGCAGTGTTCTGTGGGGCCCGCAGCTGCTTGACACTGCATTTGTTGAGTCGGCTTCTAGGTAGCGTTGCTGCTCCGCTCCAGCAGCTGCAGCAGGCGAAGCCACGCCCTCCAGCGACTCGGCAGCAGCGAGGGGAAATACCAGTTATTAACCAGTCACTTGCTATGTAATGGCAGGCTTTTCCATGTACAACACTCCTCTGGGAGTGGGGGAGACGTAACGGTTGTTTGTTTAGTTTCTGCAAACTTGCCTACGCAGAAGCGGTTTTAGATCCGAGATGTAAGATTGCGGGGTAGGGTCGCTAAAGCTAGTCCAGGGGATGATTGCAAAGTGACAACTGATTTGGATCTGCGAGTTGGGAGAAGCACGGCTTGCAGCTGCGCATGGTGCGTGCAGCAGCGGCGATAAGAGTTCTGCTCTGCTTCATAGCTGTTGCTGCATGCAAGCAACTAAGACCCCCCGCCACCCGTCACTGCCTCCAGGCGGGCAGCAAAGAAAGCAATGCTGCTAAGTTCGTGCTGCTGTATGTACAACCCACTGCTGCTACAGCTGCTCAGATGTGGGGGATCGCCGTCTCTGCGCTGCTCCTGAGGAGCGTCGCAAACCCTACTGCGGCTTGCGAGGAGGCAGAGGAGCCGCAAGCCAGGAAGTTGCTGCAGCAGCAGTGGGAGCAGCGGAGAAAGGGCCATTAGTTTGCTGCTTGTTACTGTAGGCCACCCACACGAGGGCACCAACTCGGCGTGAACGTTGCATCCCGCGGCTGCAGCAGCAAATCCCTCGGCCCCGTTTGCATGCGGCAAACGCGGTCTTCCCTCAAGGCAATGATTGCGTTGCAGCAGGAGCTGCAACTGCTGCTGCTCGTGTTGCTGCTCGTGTTCTCTGGGATACAGTCCCAAAGCCCGCAGAAGCAGCTCGCGTAGCAGGTGCAGACTGCATTGAAGCACCGCCACGACCAGAGCTCCCACCTGCAGCACCGCAGAAAAAGCAGCAGCCGCAAGACGGCAGTAGCATGCAAAAGTGGCCGCAACAGAAGCGCATCCCCTGCCTGGGTGAGTGTGCTTGCAAAGAGGGCCCCCTGCATGCAGGCGTACCTGTGGCTCTGCTGCTACTGCAGCTGCTGCTACAACGGGGGGACTTTCAAGCAGAAGCCGCAGTGTTGCAGCACTGTGCAGCACGGTGGATACGACTGGATGTATGGCCTCAGTCGCAGCAGCCACGAGCTGAGGAAAGAGGCAGCAGCAGTCGCAACAGGTCGGTTGAGGGAGGGCAGTGCTGAACCCCTCGAAGACACGTCCATCCCGGAGGCTAGCAACGCTGTTGTGGCACCCACCCCTACAGAACGCCTTCGTGGAGCTTCTGGAGGCAACACAATGAAGAAGCCTGAAGACAGCCACCTTACCGCTTCTTTGCTGCATCGCTCTTCGCCGGAGCAGCACTGCGCAAAGGCTTCAATACTGCTACCTGCAGACCGGCAGACAACACATCGCCAGAAAAGGGGTGCCTAGAAATGGCTTTAGCGGCATTTCTACGGTACCGCACAGAAAAAAACCCGCATGTACACACGCTAGGAACAGACCGCAGCAGTTGTAGCGGCTAGATACATCGCTCTGCGCCGCCAGGAAGCAGCATGGACCCTTGCCTAGCTCGGAAAAGTGTACGATGGCTGCAAACTGCTCCATCCATGCCCACTCTCTGCTCCGTGCATGCACCACCATCGCGTGTTGCAGCCTTACCGACAACGTGGGTAGCCATTAGCAGCAACGGCCACTTTACAGAAGGTCTCGGCAGGAGCTCCAGCAGCACGAGGGCTGCGCTGTCTCGAGCCGCGGCAGCACCTGCAGCTGCCCCTTGCCTTTGCTGCTGCCGCTGCTGCTGTTGTTGGTGATGCATGTACGGACTAAGGCCGCCTTGCGCTGCGCTTTGTCCCTGAAACTGCTGCCAACGCTGGATTCGCCGCACCAGTGCAGTGTCAGGCCCCATTCCTGACTCCGTAGGCGAGGCTGTGAGCAGCAGCAGTGCCTTCAGCAGCATGTGCCTGGTGCTGTGGAAGCAGAGCAGTGGCTGCTGTTGCTGTTGCTGCAGCAGCGGGTCGGCCTGGGCCCGCGTGCCAGCCTGCTCTATGACTGCATGCAGCAGGTGTCTGTACACCCGGAGCACCTTCAGGAGCACCCTGTACAGCAGATCGTTCGCTGCTCCGCACGCCTCGGCGGTGTCTGCCAAAGGATTCAACGGTCCGACCAAGAGAGGCTGTCCCTCCAGGGGGGCTGCTGCTGCTGCCAGCAGCTGGCCGTCTGCTCCCTGCTGCTGCGAATCCTTCTGGTGCAGTCCTACCAGCGCTGGCGCTGCGGAACCTCCTCCCTCCGCATCTGCGGCCATGCCACTCTGCAGCAGTACATGCCGCTGCTCCCACATGGACGCCAGATGCATGCATACCTGCAGAGGGGCGTGCAGTAAATCTCCCTGCCGTTCCACCCATGAGAACAGCTGCTGCAAGAGTGCCTTCGAAGGGCCCTCCGCGAAGCAAATCAGCAGCCTCTGCAGCCGCATCGGCACACAGGGGCACATTGCCGTTCCCATGCAAGCAGACCTACGAAAAGTCCAGAAGACACTTACATCTCGAGGAGCAGACAGCCAACAGCAGCACACCTTCATACCTCTATAACTCGCAAGATGTCGGCGAGCAGTCCCAACGGTGGAAGCTGCACTGCCAAGCGTCCTAGACTACGGGGAATTGCTGCTGCCCAGGTTCGCCGCTGCAGCAGCGGTACGATGGGCTGAACACGCGCCTGTTGCTGCAGCAGCGGAGAACTCAGCAGCAATTCTAGGGCTGTTTTCTGCTGCCCCAGTCGCTGCGTTTGCAGTCCCCAAGCGAAGTGAGCGTCCTGCAGCAGCACCGCCAGAAAAAAAACGCATGAAGGGACTGTGCCTATGTATGCCTACTGCGTTTCACGCGTGCCCCCTGAACGGGGAGAGCACTGGCCACCCGAGTCGAAACAGTGGCTGCTGCAGCGGAGGCGATCCCAGTGGGGGCTGTTGCAGCAAGTGAACCAGCAAGTGCACCAGCAAGTTCAGACGTACCAAAGAAAGAAGAGACGCGAGTTGACACGACGCACGAGCGAGGCTGCTCGCCTCAAGGGCCCACTCTTGCAGCTGCCCCTCTTTCGTTTGAGCTCCTGAAAGGTGAACCTGAAAGAGCTGTGCGACTGCTGCAACGGCAGGGGAGGCCGCTGCCTCGTCCCTGCCACTGCTGTTGGTGCTGCTGAGGGGCTGTACGAGCAGCTCCCTGGGAAGCAGAGGCTGCACCCGCCCAGCGCCGCTGCAGCTCTGCTGCTGCTGCAGCACAGACTGCAGGAGCAACAGCAGCAGCCGCAGCGCAGCAAGAGGCAGGCAGCACCGCAGGCCGAAAAGCTCAACGCATGCAGGATCATCAAAAGTCTGTATGCCGCAGAGGTGAGGCCGCTGTTGCTGCTGCCTAGCCCACCACTGCGGCGTGTGGCTGCAGGTGCTGCTCTTCCTGTCGTTGCCGTGCTGCTGCTGGTGTTGGGTGGCGTCGAACAAGAGCAAAAGTAGCAAAGTCATGTAGCGTTCTTCGTCGTCCTGAAGCTCCTGCACGAGGGCGGTGCATATGGAGCTGGCTGCAGCACTTGAAGCGGCAGCGGTGGCTGCTTCTCCCCTCTCTGGCTGCTGTTGCTGGTGAGTGGCAGCAGGAAGCGTCAGCAGCAGGTGCAGGCTGCCGTAGAGCAGCGCGCGTGCTGCAGGAGGCATCAGGTAAGGGGCCTCCGTGAGTAGGAGGACGAGTCGCTGCGTCTGCTGCAGCGGGAAAGCCCGTGCATGCAAGTGGCTCATTTCTGCTGCCTGTACACCCCAGGCCAGCAGCAGCAGGTGCTGCATCACAGCCAGGCCGTAGATTTGGCGGGAGCTATACGTGTGAGCCTGCTCACTGGTGAAGCAGCCTTCAAGAGACTCCGCTGCGCGCTGAGCCAATGCGCTGCTATTGGTGCTGCCGATAGCCCCTGCCACTGCAGCTGCTGCCCGTGGAGGCATTTGCTGAGGCAAAGAGGAGAGGCTCCCTTGCTGCTGCTGTAGTTCAAAGCAGGCAGCAGCGAGCTCAGGCAACGCGCCCACTGCACAGTGCAACGCAGCCCTCAAGGACGACTGATAACTTGAGCGGAAAAGCTCGACCCAGAGCAGAGTTGCTGCTGCAGCGAACACTTGCTGTTGCTGCTCTTGCTGACGCTGCGACGCTCCTCCTGGGAAAACACCTGCTGCTCGCAGAATGCGCTGAATGTGCGACAAAAAAAGTTGCGGGCTCAACAGCAGCCACACGTTGCTGCCTCCTCGGCCTCTGGGAGCTCGCTGGAGCAACCCGCAAAGTCTGCACACACACACACACACACAGCACCAGGAGAACGCAGGAGTTAGCACGCTCGGAATCGGCCCTGTTACGGGGAGTTTGTCGGGTTTCCCCCTCCGGCAAGGCGGGATCTTAAAGATATCATGCAGCAGCAGAACGTTCCGTAAAAACGGCTTGCCTGCGCATCTCCCTCCTGGCCAGTTGTGCAGACGGCAGTTCTGCCAAGCCCTCAAGACCTTCCCAGCACTGTTCAGCATAAGCGTGCAGCTGACGCTGGCGCTGCTGTTGCAACAGGAGTGCGAGCTGCGGATCTTCGACGTTCGCGTCAACAGCCTCGACGAAGAAGAAGAGCAGCCGCTGCAGGCCGGAAAGGATGTCTCTTTGACCTTGACGGGTGGAGCTAATCAGCAAGCAGCAAACGCGAGACAGTTGTTGAGCCCGCTGCCGCTCGTTCAGCTTCTGCTGTTGTTGCCACAGGGCAGTAGCGCCATCACTGCTGCTGGAGTCGCTGTTCGCTGCGGCTGCGCGGGCTGCTGCATGCTGAACGTCCAAGCGGCACAGATGCGTGCAAGCGGACAGCAGCAGGAGCAGCGGGGGGCGGAGCAGCAGCGGAACTGCTGCAAATCGCAGCAGGAGCTGCTGCTCTAGGAAGCGGTAGCGCTCCGGCCATAGGACGCCTATCGCATGCAGAGTCGCCCGCGCTGTCTGGGGGTGAGCAGCGAGCACCTGCAGCAGCTGCAAGGACATGACGCTGCAGCACACCTGCGCATACACCCCAGCGAGAGCCGGCAGCCTCTCCGCATCGCCCAGAAATGTGCCGTCTGCAGCAACTGCATGCGGGGGCATGTCGGGAACGTCCTGTGGCAGCAGCGGGATCTGCTGCGGCTGCTGAGCTACAGCTACGAGCGCTGCTGCAAGACTCGTATCCCTCTCCAAGGCAAGCAGCGACATCCAGTGCAGCTGCTGGAGCGGCTCCAGTTGGGAGGCGGCTGCTGCAGCCACTGAAGGGAGCAACAGCCCCTCACTGCACCACGGAATGACTCCAAAGGGCTGCAAGCCTGCCGATGCAGCCTCCTGCTTCGCGCCGCCGTCGCCAATGCTGCTGCTGCTGCTTCTAAAAGCCATGCCGAGCAACAGGAGGGGCAGGGGGAGGGACGTGAGCGGCATGCCCTTCCCGCAGGCTTGCTGGGCCCCTTGCAAGAGCAACAGCAACACGAGCTCGCGCAAAGCGGCGCTGTGGTACCGAGAACTCGCCGCTGAGGCAGAGAGACGGCGAGACACCCCCACAAACAAGTCCTTTGGGGGGTCCCAGGGAGGCAGCAGCCACGCGGCTTGTGGCTGCAGAGGAAGGAGCAGCGCCATCTCGATGGAGGCAGCGGACAAGAGGGGAGCCGCTGCTGCCGTCGCTTCAGCGGCTGCTGCTGCCATGCCGTACTGCAGCTGCGCACTGCAGGCCCCCCGCTGCTGTCTTGACTCCTGGGAGCCATAATATCCAGAAAGCGGCAACTCCGTCTGTCCTCTCACACGCTGTCGCGGATCTCCTGGATGCTGCTGCTGCTGGTAGCAGTAGTGGAGGGCATGCTTCTGCCGGTGCTGCAGTGCAACAAAGCGAGCGAAGGCCGTCCACGTTGCCGCGTCTGCAGCTTCGATGATGGTGTCTTCTACGTACTGCCACCTCTCATCGAGAGCAGCCGAGAGGGGCAGCGCTGTAGCAGAGGAGCAAGCGGGCAGCTGGCTCCGCTTACTGTCTCTGCTGCTGCTGCACTCTGCGCAATTGCAACACGAACTGCTGCAACAGCCGATTTGGCTGCAGCTGCCATCGTCGATCTCCCGAACTTCTTGATAAAAAAGAAGGCGCTGCTCCGACTCGAAGAAAGCCCGTGCCTGTGCGGCTCCCTCCTCCCAGCTGCTGCGTGTCTCTTCTTGTGCATCGCCTGCAGCAGCTGCTGTTTCTGCTTCTGCGGCAATGTGGTCCTGTACGTCCCTGTAGTTGGTGCAGCCGCCGCTGCCAGCACAAACAGAGGCCGGACCAGACACAAGACCCCTTCTGGGAGAAGGCAGTGCCCTTTGGGGCTGCTGCCGCATGTGCTGCTGCTGCAGCAACACCCACTGCTGCTGCTGCTCCTGCTGCTGCTCGCGGAGTGTCTCTACGAGGTGCGCTCCCTTGGATCGCAGCTGATCCGAAGGCTCAGAAACGAAGAAGGAACTGAGGCTCTTGGCGAAGAGGGGATCCGCAAGGGCCTCGTCTCCTCCCGCTGCTGCTGCCGCCGCTGCCTGCTGCCTCCAATCTGCCGGAGGGACGAGTGCGCAACGAGGTTCTGCTGCCGCCTCGTCCTGCAATGCAGCCCTAATAGCGGCTCGCATGTGCGCTAGTGGAAGAGGATTCGCTGCCAGCGCTGCAGAGAGATCGTCAGGAATGCGCTGCTGCAGCTGCAGCAGAACATACACCACGGCCTTCTGGACCGCGAGACACTGGCTAGGGTGCAGCAGCAAGCAAAGATACCAACAATAAGGGGGCAAGACCCCTCGATCTGCGGCTGCAGCAGGCGCTGCTCTCGTCGGATCGCTGCGAGGAGCAGCGAGAGCGACAGCAGGGAGGCACAGCTGTGCATGCAGCGGTTGCAGCTCGAATGCATCCACTATGCCGCTGCTGCTGCAGCGGTTCGCAAGGCCGGGCAGAGAGCCAGCAAGTGCGAGGAGATCCTTTTTGCCGCCTGCCACAGATCCCGCAGTGCTTGCACCTGCTGCCACTGTAGCACCTGTCCGCCATCTGTATGTCTCAAGAAATAACAAATCGCGCTGCAGCAGAAGGCGCAACAGGCTGACACCCATAATGCAGCAACGTCCGCGGAAGTGGCATGCAGCAGGCGTTTCCTCAGGCACATCCTCCTCGCTGGGACTGCTGCAGCTTATTGGGGATCTCGGTGCTGCAGACACAGCCTCAACTACGTTCGAGCAGGTGAGCCGCAACAGCGCGGCGAACGCCTGAGAATCAAGGCGGAGAAATTGGAGGAAAGCATAGGCGCATGGCCGCCAATCCAGTGTACAGGGATCTGCGAATGGCTCTGCAGCTGCTGCTGCAACGTCTGCTGCGGCAACTTCCACTGTTTCCAGAGACTCTGATGAATTGCCGTCCTCCATCGGTGGTGCTGCTGCCGCTGCGCCAGCTCCTAAGGCTGCATTCCAACCGGAAACTGCAGGTAGAGGCCCCCGGAGAAACGTTCTCAAAATGCGAGTAAGCAACAGCCCGAAGCGCCAGTACCGTGATCGCGGCAGATCGCGCTCGATGAACTGTTGCTGTTGTTGCTTTTGTTGCGGGCTTTTTTGTTTTTTCTCCATCGCCGTGGCTGCCGGGGAGAAGACCTGGATGTACACCTCGAAGGTAAACTCGCACAGCTTCAGCATTGCAGCGTGAGCTGCTCCCACGGGTGCTGCTGCTGCATTCATCTCTGTCATTGCAGCCTCTGCCTCCGCCGCTCCGGAACCTCCAGGTGCAGCAGCAGCAGCAGCGGCGGCCTCCCCCAGGCGCTGGAGCACTTGCTGCTGCTGCTGCTGCCGCTGCTGCTGAGCGTCTAGAGCGAGGCAAAAGCGCAGCAGCGAGGCATCAAAACGGCGGCGAATTCCGACACGCTGGAGTAGCAGAGCTACGCAGGAGAAAAAGGCCATGAGCAGCCGAGCACCGTCCTTTGCAGCCGCAGCAGCAGCGAAGTCGACACGCAAGGGATCAATTAATCCCCCGAGTTGCAGCAGCACCGCCATGGCATTGGCGGCATTTCTCACAAGGCCCTGCGACAGCAGCTCGAAGCAGGCGGCTTTTACTCCAGCCAGCTGGATGCGGTTAGTAGACGAACCCGCATGCAGCACCGCATACACCAGGTCCAGAACGTGGCGGCAGCGATGCGGCGGACTGCTGCTTGTTCTGTTGCTGAAACTCCACGACAGCGTTTCCGACAGAAGGGGAGGCGAGAGAGGCAGAGAGACAAAAAGCCACGAGCTGCAGCACCCAGCAAGGGCTGAGAGGGCAGCATCAAACGCCACAAGAAGGCCTCGAGGGTAAGCCCCACCGGCTTCCAGCACTGATGGCGAACCCCCTGCTGCAGTCAACACGACCCCCCCCCCGCCATGCAGCAGGCTGCCACTCGGCTGCAGCGATCCTGCAGATCGCGCTCCCGTCAGAAAGACACTCTCATCATACAGCGCCTGCTGCTGTTGCGGCAAGGCGTTGTACTGCCCCCGCACGGCTGCTTCCAGCTGATGCAGCAGCAGCAGCAGGAGACGGCTCAGTTGGAGGGCAGGAAGGGACTGCAGACTGCTGCTGAGACGCTGGGCAACAAGGGCTCCTCCCCAACAGCAGAGCGTGCCACAGCACAGCAAAATTGCCACTTCTAGAGGGGGATGGGTGTCTAGAAGCACCCCGACTGCGTTCGCCGCTGCCTGCAGCAAACCATGCTGTTGCTGCTGCTGCTGCTGCTGCTGCTGCTGCTGCACACCGTACACCTCCATCAGCAGCACCAGGGGATCCACATACACCCCCGCAGCAGCGGGGTGCAGGCGGCAGAGCAAGGAAATGATCCCGAGAGCTTCTCTCACAAGGGGCGCATCTCCGCCAGTTGTTGTGCCAGGATCTGTCACTGCTTCAGCTGCCCCGTTGCCAGTGCTGTTTCGGCTGCTGCCGCTACTGCTGCGAGCTCCCAACTGATGCTGAATCAATAAAGACCACAAATCGGATGGCCCCTGAGGGCCTCCAAATGCGAGGCTCAGCAATTCGTGCTGCAGCTGTAGAGACACCCGAGAAACCTCATCATCCGCAGCAGCGGCCAGTGGCTGCAAGAAGCAGCAACGCAACAAATACAGCACAGGACGCTGCAGAAGAGCAGCAGCAGCACGCCTCGTATCGCCGTAGAAGACGCCGCATATGGCGAAATCCATAATACACTCCAGACCGTCGCCAGTCCGCCATAGGCTCCTCCCCTGGTACAGCCGAACACAGTGCACGCGGCGATGTCGTAAATAAGCGAGCAAGTGAAAAAGGCAGCAAACAGAGGAGCTCATAGAGGCCAACAGTGCGCTGCCACAGACACGTGAAAGGAAGAGCCGCTGTAGCTAATCAAGGTGCAACGTGGGGGGAGGAAGAAAGCGAGAACACGTCACTTGCCTGTTGGTGTAGATCTCGAATAAGCTCTCGAGTTTGTTGGGCTTCGCCTTCAAGATACTGCAGTTGCTGTTTCTCTGCAGACGTGAGCCCCTCCAGCTCCTCTGGAGGCGACATAAGGCCAAAGTCTGTGAGGAGGGGAGCTTTGAAGTCTTCTAGTTGCTCCAGCATCCTCACCTGCTGCTGCCGAGTGAAGCAAACGGAGCTGGGGGGCACTACCCAACGCAGCAGCTTTGGCTGCAGCACAAGCAGAATAAGCTCGCAGACGCGTGTGGACAAGTGCCGATGCAGCAGAGCAGGCTGCTGCTGTGGCTGCTGCGAAGAGTCGTGCTCCTGCTGCAGCTCTGAAGACGAGACATTCTGTTGCCGATGCTGCTCTTGCTGCAGCTGATGCAAACGCGAGTCAAAGTCTTGCGCAGACGCTGCACGGCGTCCTGAAGGAAGTGCAGCAGGGGAGACCACGTGCGGCAACAACAGGAGCAGCCGCTGCAGCTGATTGTGAGAAGCGTGAAAGCGACTCAGCAGCAGCATGAGCAAATCTGTTACTGCGAAAATGCAGTCTCTATTGTGTTGCGCAAGCAGAGCCGCTGCTTCTGCCTCCACACCAGCGGCTGCTACGGCAGCTGCAGCCGCTGCCGAAGCCACAGCAGCAGCGTTCCCATCCGCTGCAGCACCAGCGCTCTGCAAGATCTCCTTCTTGTGCTGCTGCCTCTGCTGCTGCTGCTGCAGGTGTTGCTGCTGGAGAGGCAACGTGTCCGTGGTAGCGCATGCTGCGGAGCGCATCAGAGCTTCCAGCTTCTCCAAGAGGGCATCCAACAGTCCCCTTTGCAGCAGCTCGCAGAAGAAGGCAAGCACAACGTTGGGAAAGCTCTCCGAAGTCGCCGACTCTACCCCAGAGGCTTGCAGCGTAGCACATCCTAAGGGATGCAGAAGGCTTGCCAACGTGCGAAGGCACTGCAGCTGATATCGCTGCTCCTGCTGTAGCGCATGCAGGGGGAGCAGCGGATGCCATCGGACTTCGCCAGACGTAGTGGCTTCTGCTGCTGCAACGGCGTCATACGCCAAAGCAGCGCACTCTGACGCGTCAATGTTGAGGTGTACAGACACCTCGTCGAGGGCAGCAGCTAGAGCCTGCCATCCGGGAAGCTCCTCCCGGAGCAACAACAAAAGTTGCTGCTGCGTTTCAGGAGTTGCCGGACCCAGCCTCTCTGCCACCTGAAGAGGAGCTGCGAAAGCTTCCACCTGCTCGAGCAGAGCAGCAAGGGCTGAAGCCTCCTGCGCACGTGTACTGTGTGTCTCTGCAAGGCGAGCTGATTCGTCGTGCTGCTCCTCGTCGCAGCCACCATCACCAAGTGGGGAGCCACCCTGCAGCCGCAACAGCAAGAAAAGAGTCGCGCAAGGAGGCAACTTGCATATACACCGGCACCCGCAGCAAGACTAGGATGGCGGAGCCAAGCGGGCAGAACGAAAGCCAGAGAAGTGCGACGGCAGCGGCACGCCAGGCCGGCGGCTTTGTACCCGAACAACACCCCACACTCACATCTAGGGTTCTTTCGTCCGGCTGGTGCAGCTGCAAGCTCCGAGAAGCCTCGAGAGTCGAAGCAAGAGGCACCACAACATCTTCGTACAAACGCTCATAACGCCTTCCTCCCCAGCAACGCCCCAGCCTGCTACTTCGGCTGCCATTGGCCCCTGCATCCCTCGTTGTAGCCTCAGCGGAAGACACGGAGACACCAGATTCGCGTTTGGGCGTGGCACTGCTCCCCTGCGCTGTATTCGCTACTGTGGGAGGTGCCCCCTGGGTAGGCCCCGCGGCAGCAATATCGCCACTAGTGCCGCCTGGAGTTGCTCCAAAGAGACCCCCTCCAGCTCCTGGCTGGGGATGCGGCACGGCCAAAGCGGCCATGACGTATGGCGAGTGTATGCTGCAACCCCAGTGAGGAAGGTGACTCGTTGGTACTGGCGCCGAAGAGACTGCTGCTGCTGCTGCTGCTGCCAGCAGCGGCAGTACGAGCAGCAGTCGCAGTGGAAATAGTGCAGTCTGCCAAAATCCTTACTAATCTATGTTAAAATACCACCTGAAGTGGCACAGGTAAGGCTGCATGACCTGTCGGTGTTGCCGCCTAGGCCGTTGCTTGGGTGGCTGCCGAAGCCGTCGCTGCTGGCAGTGCCGCAGCAAGGCTATGCAGCATGCATAAAGACAGGATTGATGTATACATTCACTGGTACAGCGGAGAATTGTCAATAAGAAGCGTCGCTGCAAGCCCCGCATGCATGCATTGCAGTGCTCCTAGAGCCTGTCTGCACCCATTACAGTAGCACGAACAGTAGCCCCAACAGTAACACCCTCTGGGGGGTCGCCTAACTCTGCTTGTAATTGCAGCAAACAGCATCGGCTGGTTGTTCTATTTACGTCCGCTGAATCGTTTTACTCTCCTCATTTGGCCTTGCACCGCGTCAATTTCACTTTTGAGGCTGGTTTAGCGGTGGCCTCTCCTTTGCAGGCTATGCTGCAGTTGTGCCCTCTTCGCAACATTCGTTGTTATCAAGTGAGACTTTCTCCAAAACTGTCTACATGGTTGGGCTGTTCATGTACCTGGTTTGTCTCGCAGTAGAGCCAGCGTAAAACAAGAATCAATGCTGTGTGTCTTCGCCAGCTGCAATTGATAGCACGCTAAGCTAAAATTAGGCACTTTCTACCACACCGTATACTTTCTACATTCCAGGGCAGCATCATTTGAGCGCTCTATCAAGGCCTTCGTTTAGAGGCATAACATCGGATTCTTCAGCAGGCTAGGCTGCACTTAAACGGTCTAGGAGTCCCTAGTTAGATTGTTATAAGGATTAGCAGGCAATCAGATGATTACTGTTCTGCTGGTGTGTCATATTTATTGCACAGATTTATTAGCTCGATGCAAGAAGACGCAGTGCTATGTGCATGTGCGCTAGATGTAATCTGGTACTAGCCGTGAATGCTCGGGTACTCAGAGTGTGCATCAATGTGCAACTTAGCGGTCATGGCTCCTTTTTGTCAGGAACTATGAGGGGCGGGAACAGGGCAAGGATGGTAGCCTTTTCGACAGCACTCAATCACTCGTTTGAGCTAATTCTGGTCAAACAGCTGAGTGCCTCCCGACAAAGACCTAATACGAGGCGCTGCAGTTGGCAGTGCCGGGCGAGTCGATGCAGCTGTCTCGCACTCATCCACTGGCTGTGGATGCAGTGGAATGTCGAATTTTTTTATGTAATAGCTGTCTTAATTCCACAAGGTATTCGATAATGCAACAATTTGAACGTGTGGCAGCACTCTGTTAAGAAGACACATATCGATGGACGTTGAGGGTAGTACAACACCGTTTGGGGCGGCATGAAGCGCAGCTGATAGAAGGGCACATTACGTCAGCCAGAAAAAAAAATGGATGCACCGATGAAGTTATACCGGCAAAAAGTATACAACATCAGTATGTATGAGCAGGCACCCAACGGTTTCATCAACCGGCTGGAGATGTAGCATGCGTTGTACCTCACAAATGTACAGAAGCAAGTGATCCTTGGGCCATGTCTACTGCAGGAAGAAGCACTTTAAAGATGGCTCTATGCATGCAGAGGAACTCCTCTGCGTGATGGGTATTTATAGTGCAAGCCTATCTACGCGGCTCTCCTCATCGGTATTACGGCGAGATCGCTGCAACCGCAAGCCTTGGAAAGGCTGAGGAAGCAGAACCAAGGTATTCTATCAATATCACGGCATATCAAGAGACGTGATACTCTGGTTCGCAGACTCTAGGACGCAGACTAACGCTTGCCATCTTAGTGGTCTGCGAAGGGTTCATCCGGATTGGCATGTTTAAATGGTCTCAGGATGAGCAGCGTCTCAGCGATTGAGCAAGGAACCCTTTAAGCTTCTGCAAAGAATGGATTTCATGAAATCTCAGGGGCAAAAAAACGCACTGCCTGCCTCTGGCTGAATTAGAAGGGCCACGTCGGGAAAGAAAACGTATGGAGATCGAGGCGATGCCACCCGGTGCTAGTATAAAGTCTGAGGTAAGTGGAAAAGAAGGCCAGGGAAAAGGTGAGCCTCTCAGCAGCTCCAGACAGCCCCTTGTCACCGCACCTGCTTGCACTTTGGGAGATTGAGTCAACTTATCCGGAAATTCGACCCCACGCTGAAAGCTAAAGCATATAGCAAAAAGGAATTTGACGCAGCGAAAGTAGGCTCTTTGATGAGCAAGGAGAGCACATCAGGGAAACGGAAGAGCTCACACATAGACAATGGCATCATGAAGCGGGGTGCACAGAATTAGACCGGAGTTGGAGACACAGCATGGATCAATTCCCCATCTACACAACTTCACGGCACCGGTCGAGAATTGCTAACCTTACTAAACAAAATTTGCGATGTGAGCCTGCTATTCGAGGAAATAGCATAGAAGTGCAATCTGCCAGCTTACTCGCGAGCGCAGTCCTTGAAACTCAAGCTAGCTGACAGACGGCAGAACGCAATCACTAGCAAGGCTAGCGCTATTCATTGCTACTCTATATCGAAATCAGATTATATCAGAATGATCCGTGACTTTTCATGTTGAACCGGTGTTGCACCATTTAATCCTAAGCATGTGATTGATGATCCGATCCAGGGAGCACATGCGGCCACAGCTGCGCGCTATGGAGGTTAGTGTAGCGGGAAGCTCTAGGAAGAAGCAGCGCTCGATTTTTTCGCCAATGGTCGTATCATAGATGGCCAGCGAGGTAGAGGCGGTGCCTCAATAGGGTGAGGCAAGGTCTTCATGCAGGTTGCTCAGGAGTGCAGCTAGAGGTGACAGTTCTGAGCAGACCTTCCGTCATAGTGGCCTGAAGGTCCTCATTTATTCGAGATGTTCACTCAAATTGCAGTCGGGTGCCAGCAGGAATCAGCGAACATACAATAGCAGTACGCCAACGTTCTAAGTAATACACAGCTGGCTGGCCAAACGCTGGTCGTCCAGCGCACCGTATTAAGCTAATTTACGGCTTAGCCCCAAATGTTTCAGGGTATGGAACTACCCACACCATAAAGAAGAGATTAAGTAGAAGGCGAGTGAGGTTCTTTTAATTTAAGGTGCAGCAATCGACCACCGCCTTTGTGCACTGGTATTGGTGCAGAAGAAGGAATGAGTGTAGCATACAATGTAAGCCCCTAAATAAGATCCTTGTGAAGTAGAGGGTCCTGACCTGATGCCTTGAAATGAAGTATTCAACAAACTAGACGGGGAATTAGTCTAATTGGCATCTGTCCTGAAATACTTCTTATACAGATTCCCGTTCACCCTGGTGATAAGCACACAACCCCGCATCATGCTCACATTTGCGAACCCGAGTAAACCTGTCTACCGCTCATTTCTATTCTCCAGCTGTACCACAACAGCTATTGTAATCGAATTTGCGAGAAATCGACGATGGTGCAGGCGTGGTAGAGTGGATGCTTGTCTGAATGAGCAATGTCATAAATTGCAGATCCAAAACGTTCACGAGCGTATACCGCATCCAAGGCGTGCACCTCAGAGGTAGAGGGGTGAACTATGAAATCTGGAGGCATGCAGCGTGTTGGTATTATCACAACTCTTACATATTTGGGAGATCACGTGCTGGCTGCAGGAATCGAAGCAGATCGCCAACAAATAAAACAATCAAGGAGTGCCTTAGTTTTGCCCACCCACAGGGATGCTGAAAAGTTCTATGGGCTCTACCAAATTTTCATTGTGGGATATTTGAGGATATTTGCTTTTTTGATATATCTACTTAAGAGAACGCAGTCTGGAACCTCGACACAAAGGGCTGATGCCGCAGTAAGGACGCATTGAGGCTTACAACTTCTCGGTTCCTCGTTCTGCTCGAGTATAGCTGGCATTTCTTCTTCACAACAAATCCAAGTGACGTTGTTTCGGACGCTCTCTTCTTTCTACGGGCTGTGAGCTCTTCAAAGCATTAAGCATTGCTTTTCGTTCTCATCGTTCAACCAGTATGAGCAGCGCTATCCAACGCGGGAGAAGAGAATCGGTGGGGTGTTGTGTGACATGCAAAAAAACTGATTATTCTCCAAACAGACCTTCAGTCTCTAAGGAGCCTTTGGAATCATCACCGGGCATTGATAATACTGTATTTGTTTGCTAGCTTGGGCGCCTTTTGCTTTGGCTGTAAAGTATATTACGGCATTACCAACGTGGTCGCCAACGCTCTCTAGCAGCGCTCCAGTGGTTCGCTATCGTGAACTTGAGCAGCTGTTGTCTCCGATGTTTTGCTGCTATCCATGAAAATTGTTTGCTTGTCATAACGTTTACATCCACTTGTTCGCTACCATTGCCAAAATCCACAATGACTATCAGAAGAGTGAAGCATTGCCACCTTGGGTAGGACCTGTTGTGATTCAAGCACTCCGAAGTGCTGGTTTGTGCACAAGCTCATGAGCGAGGCTTTTCGGATCGTGAAAATAGTTACATCACAATGGAGCAGTCCTCAGTCCTCCTGTTGCATGGGATGCGTCTCGCGGCAGAAGACTGAGATAAAGGCAGGTCGTAATCTGTGCACCTGCAGAGAATACCTCACGAACTAGCCACAACGACTATTAGTTTGAAACATCTAACGACTTGAAACTGTGCCCTTGCTTCTGAACTAAAAGCTTGATGGCAAATACACTGAGGACGCTTGCGCTTTCATAGTGTTAAGTGAGGCAAGTGCACACTAGGCAAACGAAGCTACAGTATTAATTGTTCGCTTTACACCAAGCATATTTAGTCACACCCCAATTGATCCTTAGCATCCTCCTGCCTCTCGGTATGTGCTGTAGACCACATGCTTTACTACTCCTGCAAAGATCCATCATTAATGCTGCAGAGCGTCAACCTGGCAATCGGTGTAGTGTATTTACCATAAAAGCTGATTTGGTATCTTGCACCTTTCTATGCGGTCTTGTTGCGGCACAAAATTCAAGGTACATGAGCACTAGCACCACTCGGAAGCTGCTAGTTGATGAGGCAAATTGGATGATCATCTACATCTGCATTTCGAGGTGCTGCTGCTGAAACAGGGTCAAGCTATTGACACAGTTTTGGGTTGATTTGTGGTAGATGCTCATGCTGGCCCTCTAGGAAAGCCCAGAAAGGCAAAGGGCGTAGAAGACACTAAGAAAGATTTCTTGCATCTACTGCTCACAACCAAATATGGCTTAAATTACATGTAGGCAAAATGGTAGTAAAGCTCTAAAAGGGCACTGGTGCCTGAAGATCCGCTAAGTGGGTAAACAAGCGGCAATTTTGTGCGGTGATATATTTTCTAAAGGTTCCTTGAGATAGATATTCCATAAATTACCCCTTATGTTAATTCGGCGGGCACATTAGCTGTAGGACGGTTGTGTCGTGCATCGGTCAGAAGTGCCATTAACCACTCACTGGAAGCCGAATATGTCAGTGTTCTTGGCGTAGCAAGTGCAACCTGTCTTTTTGAGTATCATGGCATCAGGGCAGGGCGGCAGACTGAGGATGATGAATTTTTGTCGGGCAAATAGAAAAGTAAGCACATTCGCCAAAATTTTAAAAGGGCATTGGTGACTGGCAGAGAACGCACTCCATGTCGGCATTTCGGGTGTCCTCAAGAATTCTGGAGCTGCCTGCGTAAACGTTTTGTTCTGCAAATCGACCACTGATATGGGCGATGAGGTACGCTAAAGCTAGGCAAGAGATGTTGGTTTATTATGTGGTGGTCACGTTGTTCTACGTGAAGCACGGATTTTCGCCTATGGGCTTTGGCGACATCAGTGTCCTGCATGGATATTCACCACAAATCCAAGTGTGGTTGTGCATTCTAAGTGATATGTAGATGAAAAATGCGTAAGCCTGCAATTGCTGAGACACTCGAGCTCATGGGTTTCGCAGAGAATACCGAAAAAGTGCTACCGTTCATGCTTGACCTTGTAGCGCTTTAGTCAACCAACTCCACACAGGGTCGCTTGCGCATCCCGTAATCCTGCACTGGCAACTTCTTTGTTCACAATAGACAACACCGCCTTGCTGCTTCGCTTGAGCACAAAATCAGGCAAAAATCGTATGCGATATCGAGTAAGCACTGCGAAGAGATTAATAGTACTGAATGTGTTAATTGATGGTCTGGGAACAGGATACAGTGAAGTAAGCGAGTATGTGATGTGTCTGCCGCCCCTAGTGCAACATCTGTTGAAACCCTACCTCCCCGCAATTGAATGTAAACCCCAAACCATATACGATTGTTTTCAGAATTACTTATGCACTAAAGCGAAAACGCGTCTTCAGGAGATTCGTGTGCGAACAAAGCGAGGACGATTGCTCGCGCCTTGGAATTTGTACACTTTGTTGTCTCCTGGCTTTTCTATGGCCCCCCCGCCACGACGGAGAACAGCAACATAGATAATTCTGATTACGTAGTAAACAGTAGCTGCTACAGCAAGACAAATAGCTGCAGGATAAAAATTTAGCTGATGCACAAACAGCTAAAACACCCGAATGTACGGGTTTGCTGTCACCTGCAACAGATTACATTTATGGTTTCTGGGGAGCAGTGCTCCCACCCCTGACACTTCTTTGCTTAGTATGGTGGCTTTCGTCAGCCGCAGGAAATAAGTGTTCTCTTGGAACTCTCGCCTGACCCTGCAAAAATTCGCTTCCTAGGTGTCACTGCTGTTCCTGCAGCTGCGCTTGCTGCTGTTGCTTCTGGAAGTGTCTCCTGGCAAAGGTGGCAGCAACAAGCAATGGGAAGGTCAGTGTTGCGTCTGCAGTGACCTTCACATGATTTCCATTGACTTTAATCTTGCCCCAGCTAACAGCCTCATCAGGTCTGGCCCCAGAATCACTGCCGTCAAAGTCGGATGCTGAATTTAGATAGACAGCGAACTCTGCGCCGTTCTTCATTAAATGTGCGTTACATGTGTGATGCTTGGGCAACCCCCCGCCAAGGATGAGAAGGCCACTGCACCGGCTCCCAGCAGCTAAGTCGTTAGCCCTTCGCACATCTTTTGCAACATCAACCACTAAACCGGGGTTGCGGTACGTGTGGAAGAAAATATTGTCTCCGAGACTCCCGTCGGTGAGCCCTGGGCAAAAGACAGGGATGTCATTTTTCCAGCACCAGTACAAGAAGCTCTCTTCATGTCTCGGATGCGTCTCTATAGCTTCCCCTAAGTATCTAGTAATATCAGAGGGAGTTAAAACCACTTCACTCAGATTCACAGGCTCCTTCTGCAGCTGTGCCCTCTCCATGGCTCGCGCGAGCCGCTCCTGCTGTCGCTGCAGCAGCCTGTCCAGGTGTGGCTGTAACCAATCCTCGAATTTGCAATAATTCTCATTTGGAACTATCAAATTGCCAATGCGATTCCAGCCCTTCCTCCTGAGCACGCTACCCTTTAGGGCGAAGTCTCCGACTACTGTGGGGCCTAGACACTTGATGATATCCTCTTCTACTCCACCGGCAGATGTAACGGCCGCCACAATCATCTTGTGCTTCGCAAGGAATACGAACGCCTCACGCAGCCCAGAGCTAATCATGTTGGATGTGAAACTAAGCCATATGGAACACCGGTCCTGCTTCTTCGGCCGAAGCACCAGCTGCTGCTCGCTCTGCTGTTGATTGCCATGCTGCTCTGATGGCATATCCTCTTCCTCTTCACTGCTGTAGGAGTCTTCACTGCTGCAGGAGTCTTCACTGCCTCCGCTGCCATCGATCTCAGTAGGGAGCCCGTGTTCCCTCAAGATTTCCCTCACTTGCTTCCTCCTGTCCTTCTCTGCTTTTCTCGATTCCTTCTGCCTCCTTCGCTCCTCTTTTGTAGGCGGCTGCCAGTCCAGCATAGCATTTACCACTTCAATTGCACGTCCTAAATGCGTCGCCTGGAAACCTGTAGTTAACAAACTAGTCGCCAGCCCCTCTAGGGACGGAGTGGCAGACCACGTTACCCCCTTTACATGCAGCGTGTCCACCGGTAGAGGGACTGAAGGCTGCAGAACAGCCGCAGTTGCTGCTGCGGGAAAGCTCGATGGCGTAGTGTACGTTTTCCCATAGACTGTCTGAGGGTCCTCCGAAACATCGTGGCTTGTGGCCGTTCTCGCACTCTCATTCGCCCCTGAATGGAGAGGAAGCGCGGCGGAAGAGAAGCCTTCCTCACCAATAGCATCTGAAGACTTTTGCCCTTGTGACATCTTGACTGTGGGGGCAGGAGGGACCGTTCCAACTGAGCGCAGAACTATCCCAGCTATTGACACAAGCGGGGGTCAAACGCCCCCAAAATAGCGGGCATTTAAGAAACAGAAAAAAACAGGTACCACATCTGTGAGCGAAAATATCGTAGATCTTCCCGGGTGGAGCGTAGCGCATGCGCATGTTGGAGCTGGCCCCAGAAGCAACAGACAGTCGTACGAGCAGTAGCCGTTGTGGCCCATCCTTAACCCCCATGCTGTATTTCAACGATCCACGGAATATATGGGTTTCATCATTGAAAAGCTGATACCTTCGTACACTGGTGAAAATAACACAGATCCTTATCCACTGAGGCTTCAAAGTATCATGGCGCTGATATCACTCGGCGCACACTAGCTGCACAGCTAGGCCTCAAGACTTTGATTTTTTCGTAGTTTTCACAAGCGAACTTCCCTTTGTGCTGCAGGTACACCGTAGAGAGCTGATGTTGCCTAGTGCTACTTCTATCCCGCATCGTTTCCCGTATTATGCGCAGGGAAGGCGTTTACTGCAGCACTGCGGCTCCACCAGCAGTTGCGTAACAGCGGCAGGACTACAGCACCGCAGTAATATCGGAGAGCCAGCCACTCAGCTGCAGCAGCTGCAGCAGCAGGGTCTGCATTTGCTGTCAAGGTAGTGCAGTAGCAACAGCAACCCTGCAGCGCGAGTTGTACCGCGGCTACAAAAATGCACAGCACAGACCTTCAAGCTGCCCGCCAGAAAGCGCAGGCGGGATCTCCTCTTGCAGAATCCTTGGTTATGACGCTGTCGCTGCAGCATCCAACAGCAGCTGCAGCAGGGGGCATGCTCTATGCGTCAACCAAGACGTTGCAGCAGCTGCGCATCACAGAGGGGGCGCAGCGACTTCTCCGCCTCGAAATCCCAGAGGGTGACTTGCAGCAGCAGAAGCAACAGCAGGACGCTGGCGGCAGCTGCAGCAAGCGGAGAGAAGCGCTTGTAACAATTAGGAATGCAGCAGCGTTAGGCACATCCAAGGCTTTGCCACTTATGCATTTCGTAACCAGTGGAGACGTTTGGTGGGCGCTCGGTTTGACCCCGCTGCAACAGCAGCAGCAAGGTCAGCCAGTGAAGCTGGAAGTGCTAGCCTCTTTGTTACCGTTGCTGCATGCTCCCATCACCTGCACAGACTTGGAGCTGCTATTGCTGCATGTCTGTGCTGGACCTGCTTCCCCGAAGGCGCAGCCTCCACAGCAGCCGCAAACGAAGAAGGAAAAAGCAGCAGAAGCAGCACTGACAGCGCTTCCGAGTTCTAGGGACGGGCAGCAGCCTCCCGCTGCTTGGTGGGCTGAACTTCTTGACAGCAGTATCCCCTGTAACAGGACCCCCAGCGGCACTAGCAGCATAGACCGTGGTAACAAACGCAGCAAGGCGTGCGTGCTACGCGAAAGCCTCAGGCGTGTCGCTCGGCTGTCTCTCCTTTGCCGCTTCTTCTACGATCATCAGCCCCTGCAGTTTTCCCTTGGAGGCTTCTGCTGTATATGGACAGCGAGAGTTCGTACCAGGGAAGGCCCCCCGCCATACCTGACGTGCTCCACACCAGCTCCGCAACCTCAGCAACTGCAGCACCCGCAAGATCCGCAGCTGCTACTGCTCCAAAAAGAACTGGAAGCTAGCCATCACCAGGAGCTCCTGTCTCGCCAGCAACAGCAGCTGTACAGAGTGACCCCAGAAACGAAGATCAGGCTGTCTCTGCACCCGGAAGCCGAACTGTATGCGCAGCAGAGGCAACAGTACAGCCATCAGGAAGACTTGCATCAGCATGAAGAAAATCCTACTGGCCTTCGACGGTTAGTCCGGTGCAGTAGAGAGCCCATTCGACAAGCCTTCAGTGCTGATAATATGAGTCTTTGGTTCCAGGGGTAGTGAGCTGCCGCGTCAAGGCTGGAAATGATAGCTCTTTCAGGGCAGCTCGAGTGTCTGCGTGTTCGGCATTTTCCTTCTGTGCTTGATTTCTGTCGGTTTCACCATTCGTATTGCAGGCTTGCGGGGAGCGCTGCCCTTCTGCAGCAAGTTTTCTGGAGGCTGCTGCTACCGCTGGTTCGTCCAGACGCCTTCGCATTGTATGGCCTGCAACAGCCGAATGGACTGCTACTGTGGGGACCTCCTGGCACGGGGAAAACATTCTTGATGAAGGCTATTGCAGAGGAAATGGAGCTCCTACAGGGGCGCTTGCAGGCAGCTGCGGCTGATCCGGACTGCGGCAAGACGGCAGCGACAGCTGCCGCCTCTGCCGCAGCTGCAGGACTGGAAAGCACCACTTCAGATGGTGATGCAGCAGGAGCATACTCTGAGCTGCTGTTTTCTGTCGTTTCTGGTAGCTGGCTGTCGAATGCCAGCGGCTTCGGAAGTGATTCCGAGACAGCGAATCGCACGCACCAGCAACAGCCCCATAAAAGGGTGATTTTTGTGCCTTCAGAAGTCCATTTGACGCATGCAACAGAGCTTGTTGGGTCCGCTTTGGGGGATACAGAGGAAAATATTCACCGCCTTTTTGAAGAGTGCTCCAGAAGGCGGGCTGAACGCATGCAACGAGCAGCATTAGCTGCTGCCACTGCTGGGGAGCAGCAAAAGGCAGACGATTTTCGCCTTGTGGGGGGTAGGACGCTTTTGTTCATTGATGAAATCGACTCTATTTGTCCACACCGTGTCTCAGCCAGCGAGGTAAAGCTCCCCCGAATGTCTTGACAACGCGTAGATGTGTCTCGTATGGCCCCTAATCTACCCCTTCCTGTTTTTTCTGTGATATTTCAGCCTCTGTGGCATTCCCTCAGTGCTTCTCTCCTTCCATCATATCTCTGTTCTGCCTGGTATTCGGCTAGATGTGTGCCTTCCCCACACAAACTGTGCTTAGCACATCATGCCCATTCTGTCAACTGGGCTCAGTACCAGTTTCTGAGTTTCAGTTGTCACTGTTGTTGCTGTAGGCAGGACGCCGCCAGGTAGCAGCTCTTCTGTCTTGCATGGACGGCTTGAACAGTGACCCCTCCATTTTTGTAGTTGGAGCCACAAATCACCGAGAGGCAATTGACGAGGCCGTGCGAAGGGCGGGCAGGCTGGAGCTTGAGATAGAGGTGCGACACTACTTCTGATGTCTACGGTGCTGCATGTACTTCTTCTCTTCAACGTATAAGTGTTGCGCTTGTGCTTGGTTTGGGACGGTGCATGCTGTGCCGTGGCAGAGGCGGACGGCTTCGGTCACTCGAAAGACATTTTTTTCGCTTCTCGCTGAATTCTGTGTTTGTTACCGCAGCTAAGCGTTCCTTCGGCAGGGGAGAGGCTCTCAATGCTGCGCAAGATGCTGAGCCAAAGGCCTCATTGCCTCTCGGAGCCCGACATAAAGGAGGTCGGCGCTGCCCCCCTACAAGGGCTTTCCCGCAGTCTTAGCACGCTGTCTCAAAATGCGGTCCTACCTCTCGAATATTCCTGATTGGCATGCTGTACGGCTCTAGTAATCCAACAGGCTTTCGCTTGATCCAGCCATTGCTGAGTGTTGGTGTGGCGGCTGCCGTAGGTCGCCGACAATTGCCAAGCCTTCGTGGCTGCAGACATGGCCTTGCTGATGCGAACGGCTACCACCTCTGCTTTGAGGCAGAGCCTCATCCATATGCAGCAGCTGCAACAAACGGGGCAGGAGCAAGAGCAACAGGAGCAGAGGCAGAAAATCTTGCTGCTTTCCCCGGCACATTTCAAGGCGGCGTTGCGACTAGTACGTCCCTCTGGTCTGAAAGGGGTGGCTTGTGAGGTGCCTCGCGTCCGCTGGGGGGATATCGGGGGATACGAGGCGGCGAAGCGGCAGCTCTCTGAGTGCGTGGAGTGGCCGCTAGCTTATGGGGAGATGTTCTCCAGACTCAGACTGCAGCCTCCGAAGGGCATCCTGCTGTACGGACCGCCAGGCTGCAGCAAAACTATGCTGGCCAAAGCAGTAGCGACTGAAAGCAAGATGAATTTCGTCTCAGTTAAAGTAAGGGCCGAATGCCTTGCGTACGGCTTTTCTGCGTGATGGCACTTAAGGATTCAAAATTAGTCGAATGTGGTTGTTTTGGGGCTGATTGTAGTGTCAGAAATGTATTAGTTGGCGAAGGCTTGGAGTTGGTGGCTGCACCTCCGGCCTAGGGGACAGACTTTTTTTCCGCATGCTGCGCCCTTCCTGCAGGGTCCTGAGCTATTTTCAAAGTGGGTTGGGGAGTCCGAGAAGGCTGTTCGTGATTTGTTTAGGTGAGACTTGTTGGAGGCTGTAGTGCCTCTCTTCTTCGTGGTGGCGGGGGCAGCATGTATCATGCGCGGTGATGCTGCTTCTGCTAGGGGATTGTGTTTTGATGCAGAAGTTGCCCCTCTCCGTCTTCTTCCGCGGGGAGGCATTCGCCCTGTTGCCAGCATCTTGCTTAGGTACTTGGGCTTTGTACGATTGCAGGAGGGCACGACAAAATGCTCCGTGCATAATTTTTTTCGACGAGATCGATGCATTGGGGGTGGATAGGGAGAAGGGCGATGCCTCCGGTGTACGTGCACCTTGCTGGTCCATCTGGTGCTGCTCTCTGCGCTGCTCTGTAGACGCCTGCTTTCGCTTCTGTGGGACCTGGGCAGAGCAGTGATTTTTGCTTGCTCGCTTCCTGTGTAGCTGGTGTGATTTTGGTTGGCATCGCGCTCGGTGCTCCTAGTGGCTGTGGTGCGTCTGTTGCTACTCCAGGTAGAGACTCGTGTATTGTCGCAGCTTTTAACTGAAATGGATGGAATCGGCCCTCACGCTTCAATAGTGGTATTAGCAGCAACAAACCGACCCGACCTGCTGGACGCCGCACTGATGCGCCCCGGAAGGCTGGACAGGCTGGTATATGTCCAGCTGCCTGATGAAGACGCGAGACTGCAGATAGCACTGAACGTACTTCGGCATGTGCCTGTACACCCTACTTGTCTTGCTGCTGCTATGGAGGATCCGGAGGTAGCCGCACGCATAGCAGCACTGGCGCAAGACCGATACAGATCAGATGAATGCGCTGGTGCAACCCATAAGCGAGGGGACGGGCTGACACAGGAGCCAGAAAAGCCGCAGGAAGAGCAGCAAGGTGTCCCTGTTACAGCAACCCTGGCGCTTGCGTGCTGGCTCAGCGCACGTACGGAGGGATATAGCGGGGCAGAGATTACTATGATTTGTAAAGAAGGAGCATTAGATTCCATTAGAGAACACATTACTCGCTGTAAAGAGACATCGCAGCAGCAGCAGCAACTGGAGGAAGAACTACTGACACTCCAACTACGACATATACAGGCGGCGTTGCAGCGCGTGAAGCCCCGCACCCCACAGTCGCTGCTCCAGCTGTACGAACACTACAACAACAAGACGCATGGGGCAGCTTCTTCGCCGTCACCAGCAGTGACGCCGACACCGCACTCTATCTCTGCTGGAGCGCAGCCAGGGACGTCTTCTATACTAGGTCAAGGGAAGTAGCTGCGAGCCGCGCAAAGGCAGCTCAGCCTTTAGGGAGAAGAGCAGGTAGGGGATACGTTGCTGACTGCACTCCCCAGGTGTGCATGATGCCTATTGCATTGTTAGCAAGTGGTGCAACGGCAGGCGCATCATTGCCGGTACCAATACTACACCACCGGAGGGAGACTGTTTTGGCTACGCAGTCCTGGGTATAGGTCATGTGATCCTTTTTTTTACATGCTAGTACGGCGAAACGAGACTTCTGTCGACGCTGAAACTTGGCAGGCTTTGCTGGGGCAGTGCTAAGCACCCCTAGACTGTTGCCGCTGCCTCTGCTACTGCATGAAAGAACATTCTTCCCTTGCATTTCATGGCGCAGAAGCTCTACAGATTTCAGCTATCTGCGCAGGTGTGTACTTAGTTTTTTTTGGCATGATGACCCAGTATACTTGCACCACAGCAGTCCCGAGTGCTCTGTGTTTCTTTCTGATACCTCCTTCCATCTGTCCATATCTATTGTTACTGTCAGTGTACCGTGTTGCATTGTCCATCGTCTCGTAATACTTTTATAAACCCCTATGGTATTCAAGTTTTTTTGTTAAACGAAGTTCATACAGCGGCTCTTATGGGCCCTGAAAAATAACAGACGCCTTGAGATAGCTTTTAATCTTACGCAAAACTATTACAGCAACATCTGGTACTGCTTCGTCTACATAGTCGCTGGTGTAGATGATGCCCACCGTGAGGGCCGAAAGAACCGGTAGACATCCGCCGACCTAATGCAGTACCAACTGCTGCTGCTGCTTAACCAGCAAGAGAAAGCAGAATTTCATATACCCAGTGCGCTGCGCGTCAGCGGCAGATACACGGTGATGCTGTTGACGCCGTTTCTGCACCTACTCCTTGGGCTGGTCCAGGGGCTTAGAGTGGGCCTGCTCCAGACGAAGGTTCACGATGAATCTTTGCTGCAACTCCTGCTCTGGCCCCAGCAACTCCGGCTGCTGCCCCTGCTGTAGGATGAGAGCCTCCTGAAGCAGCAGGTGTGTCTGCACGAAGTCGTACTTTTCCCATATGTGTCCCAGAGGAAAGTTTGTGTATCTGCCCTTGAACACCACCTTCGTATGACTCGCGTTGTCTTCTGATGGTACCGTGGGAATTAGCGTAGCCTGACCCTGAGGCTGTGTGGGGCTAGCGCCACCCCTTGCTACTGCCGCTGAAAGCGCCTTCTGCCACCGAAAACTCCGTGCTGCTTCCTTCACTGTCGCCGCTGCAACTTGCTGTACTGCAGCAGCCGAGCCTATTCCCACAGATGCCATCCTCACAGCACAGGTATCAACAAAAAGAATGCAAAACCAGCATATATTTGGCAGAATAACAAGCGTTCTTGAACAACTCTGGGGGGCTCTACGGATTACGACGGGCCTGCGGAACAGGACGACCAGTTCCACCCACAAAGGTGTGCAGGATATCCGAAAGACTAGAAAATACGGGGTTTGCAGATGTCTCCCTCCTGGTGTTGCGGCAACGTGTCTGAAGGTTGTTTGTGCCTCAGCCGCTACTGCATGCAGCCCCCTAGAGTGTAGTCCTCTAAGGAACTCCAAGGGTTTTTCAAATCATAACGCCCTCAAAATGCTGCTCCAGTGACAATGTATTTGGCATGCCTCTCACTCTACCCGTGGATAAGTATAGCCTACCCCCCACGCTGAGGAATCATACCCCAAAGGTTGGCACGCTTGCTCGGAACGCCCTATCGCGCGAGTCGTTTCTCTTCTTTCCTTTTGCCAATGCTTCAAACTACGACTACTTATCAGAGGCTTCAAGTAGCGGCCCGTGACCAACTGTGCAGGCCCCAGAGGCCTCCTAATCTAACGATGACTCTAGTGGGGTCTAAGCTACACTTCGGCACTAGCTATTAAACTGTATCTTCATAGATGAGAACTGGTGGAGAACTGTCGAAATGGTTTGTCTGTCTGTAAATCTGCTTTTTGCGCATTAGGGCTAACTTGATACAATAAGACGCATTGCTGTGTGCAATGTGTCGCTAATTAGCTGGGAACGCAACATACCCTAGATTTACCTCTTTCCTCATGTTTGGTGCCCTGAGGGGCACAAGAAGAGGAAAGCATGAACACTTCTGATGGCATCATCAAAAAATTTTGACGAAAATTTCGACGTATAACGCCCCATCTGGAGTCGCCATACGGAACCACTTAAGTCCAGAGTCAATGCAAGCTTGAGAGGGAACTGGCGAGTGTTCTGTGAAAGAACTCCTTCCTTTCCTTGCTCCCAATCCTCAGATTTCTCAACACGAGATAATGGGGACAGCCAGGGTGCGCGTTGCTGCATCTCGAAGCATTCCGAGCACTCACCGCTAGCTACAAGTAGCGTCTCACGCACAAGCACAAAACCACGCATCTTTTTGCATGAAGTCAACAGTCCTCTGCGATAAATCAGACATGGGAAAAGGCAGCCCAATCAGTCAGAATTTCAGAAATTAGTAACTACATGAAACCACTGTACTAGAAAGAGTTGAAGTGTAGCTCAGCCCGCTACTTCTTCCCCTTTCCATTTCCTTCACACACTTCCCCGTGTTTTGCAAGCGTACTTCCAGGCCAGCTGCGAGCAGGACAGCGAAGCGCTTTCCACGGTAGTCGTTGCCTGGATTTAGAGAGAAGCACGAAAGCAAAAGAGACGAGAAAGCAATTGTTTGCATTAACTGCTAATCTGAAGTCAACAAGAGGATGTACATATGTACAAAACCTGTTAAACGAAGACCGAGGACAAAGAGCTGTGCTAAGGAAACCAAAGTAGGCACCAAGGCAGCAATGTATCCACGCCTCAAAGGCCAATGTTTGTATGCAATTACAGCTGGTGCATGCAGCATAGCCGATGTCCAAGCCCCAACAAAGGTGTGAGCAAGAAGGAAGAGAGAACATGCTTCGAAGTGCTTGCACAGAAGTCTGAGTGTAGAACATTTCTTGAGAATATAACCCGGAAAGTGGATAGCTCTGCGGCACTCTTAGCACTGCTAAGTTCGTAGAGTAAGAGAGTGCATCGCTTTGAGAGAGAGTCGCAAAGGATCCTGACCAACTGGGCACAAACCACTTCTATTACCCTCTGGTCACCTTTAGAAGCCTCAAATCCATTAGGACCGGAACTCCAAACTCGGAAGACAGCAGGTGGCCGCCTATCTCAATTTCGCGCTAGTTTCTCTTTAGCTAGGTAACCCAACAAACAAATGGCTACTGCAGGACAATACCTGCCGAAAGCTTCTTAGGGTAGCTTCTGACACCGGAACACCAGGCTCAGGGCAGTAGCGGAGAGCGGCACCCCTGCGCAGACCAAGATTGGGGGAACGCACCGGGCAAACAACTGCTCTGTTTGAATTATAAGCCCCATCAACGAAAGGAACAGCATCAAACCAAGCAGATGGTTTCCTATGACCATTGAGTCATAAGTGCTGCAGAAAAGTGCCGTTGGTGCGTTTGATCTTTCCAACTGCCTCAGGGTGGTTGTCAGCGGCCAAACTATAGTCACGACGCATTCGGATTATAAAAGCTCATCACAAAGGGCGAACAAACTTTAGATCCCGACCCCTGAGGGTATTCCGGTGTAATCCGTGGATCTGCCAGACGTGTGTTAAGAATAATGGAGCAACTTGCTGAGCCGCGACAAAAGTGGAGCAATGGATAAAGTGGGATACTTGCGGAGTCTCTGTGGAGAACGACATGCGTGCTACTGTAAGACTTGACCTGTGGTAGTCCAACAGAAAGGACCGTAGTCAGGGTGGCCCAAATCTTGTCAGGAGCACGGCGGCTTTGTAGGAAGCAACTTTTAAATAACGCGCAACCTCTCCTGCTTACAATCTGGGCATGACACTGCCTTTCCCTCGCCGAGGGACTCATCCCTGGCCACCAGAAAGACCGTGCGAGCTTTTGCAATGGAGCGTAAATCTTACCCTTGCCAGGAAACACATGACCACGCGCTTTATGCAAAAAGGCACTGTGGAACGGGATCGGAACGTGCAAGCAACGGGGTCCCCTCCTTGCCTTCAGCCGCAGCACGCCATTCTCCGCGAGGCGGTGCTTCACAGTTTTGCTACTCGGGCTTGTGGCAACAGGAGGGTATGCATGGATGTCAAAAGCATATGATTTGCTGAATGGTGATGGTAACAGTGAATCGTCACAGAAAAGGCTGGTGGACTGCACAATAGTCAACCGCTGGAGCATCGCAAGGCCGGGTCGGCGCCGGCGTTAGTGGTGCCCTTTATATACTTGACTGCAAATAAGAGCTTGGGGAACTGCCCAAGCCAGAGAACAACCGCAGGAATATAACGACGCTAAAGTGTGCTCGTAATGCACATTAAAGACAGAGGGTCAATCTGCACAGTACTGCGACGCCCACACGAATAGTGCCCGTTTCCCACGCCCTACCAAATCGCATAGGGTCTAATTTCCCGCACTCAATACCGCTTCTCGGTCTCGGCGACGCGACTATAAGAGCAAACAATAGTTTTTTGTTATGGACAGCTCATTGCCTGTTGGGAGATATTAGCGTCAACCGCCGCATCACTGGCGTCAGTTGGAAATGAGGAGTGATGCTCATACTCAGACAACACAAGTACACGAAGAGTTCTAAGGTGGCCCCTAGGCTTCTTGCTGCGGCATCAGCATCTTCTATTCAGGTCATTGACTGCGATTTCTAAGTCAAAGGAGCAGCGATCCTAGCAGAACCAGGACTCAAACTTTGGCGATAAGACGCAAGCGCATCGAATTTGGCGACTTTCTTGTGGGTGCGCGAGGGGGAAGGTATCGCTTCGATTGCTTCAATTTTCGCCAGATCCAGTTCATTGTATGTTCCAGCCGACCAACAAACTCAAAAACTGTATTTAAATAAGACGAAAGACGTGAGCGCCTTCATATACCACTGCATACTCCGCAGCAGCCCAAACACACTCTGTAGCTAATGTGGGTCCTCTTAAATCGATTGGCTCTGCAGGGAGATGGTGCCTACGTACACAGTCCCCCATCCCTCCTCAATAGCCTTACTAAAATATTCACTAATATACTGCTACGGCTCAGCTGGGGCATTAATATAGCCAAACGTCATACAGAAATACTCAATTTTGCGAGTGCGAGTGTATAACGCCTTTTGTGCGCCTTATCAGGGTGAAAGGGGATTTGCAAGGAGGCGCCTATGGAGTCAAATGTCGAGCAGACTCGTGATCTGTGTGATCTGCAAGGTGTTTCGCGCTTGTCAGGCATTAGGAAGTTCTGCTTCACAATATCCTCGTTCGAAGGCTTGGATCAAAACGCATATCGGCCAACTTCCGTCCTTTTTCGGGACTAGCACAGGGTTGTGCATTGAAGACGTGGTCGATTTCTGCAATGCGCCTCTTTCAGCAAATCATCAGCCTACTCGCAATTTAGTCCTCATGCTGCTGGACTTTCGGTACACCCCAACACTTTTGTTCTGTCCCGAAGATATGCTGCATACGTTGTGCAGGAGGACTAGCGGATGGCCAGCCTCCCGGCAGGTTGTTATTATCTAGCACATTCGCGGATTCTCTCAAGATGTGTATTCATTTCTGCTAATCCCCAACCGAAATTGCAATCAAACTGCCAAAGCAGTTGCGAAGGCATTAATAATGGATTCATGCCTTGAACCGTCTTCTCTTACTGTGCTGCTGGGCCCCTGCCATGGAGACTCTAACTCACCTTGTTGGAGTACATACTCTATGGTGCTTTCATCAGATGAAGTGGGCGTTGTTGAGAAAAGCAGGAGGCGCTTCTCAATAGCGCTCTCTGGCCCACTGACCACCACACCGCGCCGCTGTGGCCGCACGTATGTCTTCCATTGAGTCACCCGTGGCGCAAGGGCTCATACATATCTCACAACGCGCTCATATGACCGCGGAGGGCAATTGCCTTCCTAGTTCCAGCGTTGTACTGCCCGTTAGCAAACTGCCCAAAGGAGTGAGGAGGCAAATAGCGCTTCTGCACCGTCTCCTCACAAAACTAATCCATTTCCCATACAGCGTCAAGTACCCCCCAAAAAACTTGACTATTAGCGTGAACTTGTATTGGCGCATGCTTAATCCGTATTCGGTGGGTCCTCAGCTGCGGCTCTATCTTCTGCAGGTCCCTTTAGTGCACCCAAGCCTGCGTGGAAGTCCTTCCACTTCCCTGAGGATCTTTCTTTGCTTAATAAGAAGCCTGCTTCAGCCGTTTTAATCAGCTTGCAAAACAGCCTCTCCCGCCCCAGCAGGCTTTGAGCCACCGTCCTCTTGCATTGTCAGGGGCTCTTACTCTCGTACTATTTGTAAAACTACAGAGTGAAGAATTTTCTAGGAACTTACTTGAAACCGGACAGCTGTTGTAAGGTAGTCTGCCATTGCAGTGCATTCACAACCAGTGGAGTGGCGGAGATCGCTTGTGTCGAGCTATGGGGCGCTACAAAGGTATGGCTCCATGAAAGGCATTGCAGTGTACACTAATCATTAGGATGAAAGCTTGAGAATATGTTGTTGAATATTTTCTAGAACTCCCTCCCTTCTCTGTCCCAGCCCCTCAGAGAAATCGACTTGAGAGGAAGGGGACAGCCAGGGTTCACTCTAGGGTCCACATGACGCGTAGTGCAGACGAACGCAAAGTTGCTACTTGCGCCGAGCTAGTAGTCTGGAACCAGCATGATATACGGGGTGACACACCGCATAATCAATTCTTTTCTTATTTTCATTTAATTGTGGCTATTGTAGAAGGTGATGTTAATTGTACCTTAGCCTGCTACGCTTTCAGGATGCACCAACGCGCACCCATTGGCTCTACATCTTGAACGTTGAAGGCCAAAGGTAGGGTGAGGAGGAAGGAAAGCTCCTGGAAGAGCAGTCGAATTTGCATTTTTCAGCATGCGGTCTGAAGCTGAGCTTTTTCCTGTGAATCCAGATTGAGTGCCACTTCTGCTGTTGTGGCTGCTCCTGGTGTGCCTGGTGCTCCACTGCACCGTGAGTTTTTTGTGTGATTGCTGCCATTGTTGTTGCACACATCGAAGCTCGATCTAAGGCAAATTATCAAACCACTCATTCCAGTGAAAGGAAGTTATCGTGGCTCTCAGCGCAGCTGAGGTAGCGTGGGCACAGCAGTAGTAGTCCCATGCAGCACTACAGGTCTATCCGCAGCTACATCGATTACGCATATGCCCACAGAGTAGCAGCTGAAAGCTTTTTTTCAATAGCGACAGCTGCAACAGCAAACACCAAGGCTTGCCGGAGCAGCAAGAGCAGCGTGCAGTGAGAGAGGGAGAGACTGGAAGCACGAGCGGCCTCAGGGATATCTGCCCTGCCACGCGCTCCTAGCAGAACATCAGTCTTCGCGGATTAGCTTTTAGTAGTATCTGCCAAGAAAAGACAAAGAATTGCAACTCATACGTTTACACAGTGGCTTTTACGGGGTTTTATTATACTACGGGTGCCTCAGCGGAAGTCAGGGGCCCTCTGCATGCAGCCGCTACAGCAGCACCAGTACTTGTACCAGTTTGCCGTGGAGGAAATTCCAGCAGTTAAGTGAGTGTTTAATTCTTTGACAATATATGAATTTCAGCCTCTAGCTCACCTCCGTAGCACACAAGAGCCGGAGGCTGCTGCTCCCAGCAGTAAAGATTGCTTCACCCCTCGTGCGAGATTTGTTGCGGCGATTGCGACTTCGGCACATGGAGCTCCAGCTGCAGCGGCGAATGCTCAGCGCATATGAGCAGCCTGGGGTTCCAGGCCCTTGACACACTAACCTCGCACAGCATCGGACAGCGGCAACAGCCGCTCCTGATGCAGCCGCTGTTGCTGCGACAGCGGTTGGCGCTTCAACAGTGGCTGCTGTGACTGGAAGCTGCTACAGAGCGAGTTCCAGGAGCATCTTTCGTAGGATGACCGCTAAGCCCTTCGGTGCTACGATATCGGGAGCCCCCATGGCTGCAAGCCTACCAGCGGAAGAAGATTCGCGGCAGAAGCAACAGCTGCTACTGCCCCACCTGCAGCATAACCAGGATGCCATGCAGCTCGAATGCCTTTCTGGAGCTCACGGGTGCGACTGCGCAGCGCTTGACGATGCGGTCGATGTGCTGACTCGAGCAGCAGCAGCTGCCGAGCCGAGCGCAGCAGTGGAAGTCGCAGATGTTTCGGCAGCTCAGAATGTACTAGATGATTTCGCGTGGCGGCAAACGGCATGGAAGCGCTGCCTAGCCGCAATTTCTGCTGGTGCTGCTCTGCAACATGCCCCACCTCAGCAGCTGCCCCACTTGTTTGGCTGCAACAGCGGCAACAGTAGAACGGGGAGCTGCAGCAGGACGAAGAAAGATCGAAATAATGGCTACCATCCGCCCGCATCGCCGAACGCAAATGCAGCCGCAGATGGCTCTCCTGACGGTGCTATAGGAGCTGCAGAACTGCTTCTAGGGCGGTGCTTGTTTGCTGCAAGGACGTTGCGGCTCCTTGCGCAGAAGGGCCTTGCTGCGCTTCAGGCACCTCAGTGCCTTACTGACCCTTCTGTCGCTGCTGCCGCGGATGTCGACACAGCAGAAGAAGCTGCAGCGACGGCGGCAGTGGAGCCTCCTGTGCGCAACAATTTGGAGTGCGTCTGTATCGACACCCACCAGCAGCAGCAACTGCCGCAGCAGCTGCTGGCAGCAGAACCAGTGGGGCCTGCTCTCGTGCTGCACTGCAGCTTGGCTGCCCTCGTTGAGGCTTGCTGTGTCTGCTGCAGCACCAGCCAGAACAACACGAGCAGCAAAGGCGTCCTCCCCCTTCTGCCTGTGGTGGAGGAATTGTGCCGTGCAGTTGCTGCACTGGTTTTGCTTCTGCATCCGACACCGTCGACTTCTCAGAGGGCACAGGACCATGCTCCACTGACTCGGTGCATGCGTCTGGTTGCTTTGAGATCTCAGCAGCGAAAGGAGCAGCTGCGACAGCAGCAAGAGCATGAAGAGGTGCTGCTGCAGCAATTGCTGAAGCTTCTGCTCCTGCGACACATATTCAGTGCAGCTGAAGACATGCAGGTGTGCTGCTCCTCCATGCAGCGGCAAAGGTTCGTGGCTGCCTTGCTGGCAGACACGCAGCATGTGCTGCAGCTGCTCGCGGATGGATATGCTGCAGTTGCAACAGCAGCAGCAGCTGCTGCAGCTGCTACAACTGCAGCTGCAACGGCTGCTACGACTACCGCTGACTCAGAGGATCTTGCAATAGGCAGCAACGGCAAGCCGTCACTTCCATGCCGGGTGCGACAGGAAAAGCAGCTGTGGGAGTTTGTTCGCGATGCTTGGCTAAGCTGCTGCTGCAGCTGCTTCAGTTTGTGGAGCCGCTGTGCTGCTGCGGCAGCAACAGCAAGTGCAGCAGCAACGGAAGATGCGCATGCGAAGTCGGCGGGGAGCCCTCAACATGGAAAAGCGGAAATTTCAGAACTGCGACCAGTCGACGTTCTTAGCCTTTTGGAGGTTCACGGTACGGCTCGACGATGGTGCAGTTTCTGCGTATGCTTGTTGTTACTTCTCTAGAGCCGACCGATGCGCTTGTTGCTGCTGCAGAGTCCACATTCGTTTGTCATGCGACTAGGCAGTTATGGAGACTGCTAGTGGGATTTCCTTGTTTGTGAAGTGTTGCTGCTGCTGTCACTGTCGTGCGCCAGAAGGTTGAGTCTTGCCTTCACACAGGCAGCGTAGCTCTGCGCTGTGGGTGGTGCATTGCAGAACGGTCTCTTGTGGCATTCTCTTTTGCTGTCGCCTCGGATAGTTTTGCCGACATCTTTAGAGCCGCCTTGGGGTTCCTACGGGTAAGCAGTAGTGGCGACATCAGCAGCAACAGCAGCGCGAGATTTTTGCAACAGGCACGCTTCCAACACGTGTATATGCCCTTCCACTCGCGCGTCATGCTTAACACTCAGTGAACGTCTCCCTGGTGAACTCGCAGGAACATGTGCCTCTCAAAGATGCTGCTGCTGCTAGATCTCTCCCTGTTGTCAGTTGTTGGTTCTGGCATGCATGCAGGTGCACACGTGCGGTGCGACGGCAGCCGATTCTTCGGCTTTTGCTGCTGCTCCTTCTGGTGACGATGTATTGGCTAAGGAGTGGCAGCAAGAGGAAGATCAGACACTTCAGAACAGCAGTAGCGCCGCTGCGCGGTGCGCAGTGCTTACCGTTCTTCATCTGCTCCGTCTGTGGGCTCTCAGGCAGACTGCAGCAAAGCCGTTTGCCGCTGTTGCAGTGGCTGCTGCTCGTGTGGCAGCGTCTTCGTGCTTACTGCTGCCCGAAACGCTCACCGGAAAGCTGCAAACTGTGCTGCATGGCTTGTCAGTGCTGTATACCGAGCGCTTCGCAGCAGTTGCAGCGCCTCCCGCAGTGGTGGAAGGTGCAGCGCAGCAGCAAGACCACGTGGATCCCCACGCGGCTCAACTTGTTCTCTGGCAGCGTCGAGTTGGCTCCGTTCTACTGCTGCCGCTGCTGCTGCAGCACAAGGTTCTCCCTGAGCTGCCACAGCAAGAGCTGGATGTACTGAGATACCACAGCACGTCTTTCCGCTCATGTAGTCACCTGCTACTCGATAGGACGCCTATCACCCAGCAGCAGCAAGAACGGACTCCCACTAAGCGTCATCAGCAGCCGCAGCTGCAGCAGCAACAGCAACAACAACAGGAGCAGCCTGCGGTCCCCCGCTTCTTCGGCAGTTCTATCCTCCTCAGTTTCAACTACATTGCTGGAACCAACAGCAACCTACGATTGCGTTTAGCGGCTCTCTCAGGTTTGCGGCAGCTCCTTCGACCCCTGCTGCAGCTGTTAGCTGCAATCAGAAGGGAACGTGCTGCATTGCAGCAGAAGCGACACCTTCAGAAACATGACGCCAGCCCTCTGGTGACTCCAAAAGAACTCGAAAAGGCCTTGGCTACTGTGGCTGACGTTCTCGAAGCCTTGCTTCTGCAGTGGGCTGCCATGCTTATCCAGTCGCTCACACTGTGTGCTACACTGGAGCAGCCGCAGTGCCTGTGCAGCTGCCTAAGCAACCTGAGCAGCAAGGGGGATGTACAACACGCACTGACCTCAATGAGGCCTCTGTGCGATGCCTTGTTGCTGCAACTCGCTGCTGCCGTCGGTGTGGAACCCCTACAAGAGCCGTTGATGCAGCGGCTGCAAGCGCTGCTGCACGACAGTGGACAGCTTCTGCAGTACGTGGCTCAGCCTGAAGCAGCAGCAGCAGCTATACAAGCAAGGGCGTCGGCGCAGATGCTGGAGGCAGATGCCATTCTGTGGCTCCTGCTACAGCTCGTTGCTCATCACGATGCCCGCCCCCATGTTATTCCCCCCGTGCTGGAGCAGGCAGCATCGCAGTTGTTGCTACAGCCGAGTTGTTGTCAGGTGCATCAACAGCAACGGGAAGAGCAGCAACGCCGTCCACAACAGCAAATTTGTGCTGAATGCGGAGTGACTCCCTTTGCTGCCTCTTCTTGGGGTACACGCGCCTCCTTTGCTGGCGCTTTAGTGGCATTTCTCGCAGCTGCGAGGCAACCTGCTGCCGCAGCAGGAGCCAGCCCAGCAGAAGCGGATCGTCCCTTTCGCTATCTGCAGCTCGTGGCAGGATGGACAGCTGCCTTAGGGAAGTTATGCAAGCTCAATGGCAGCAACAGCAGCAGCAACTGCCCACCGACGCAGCAGCCACCCTTGGGCTTGGTGCTTTTCCGGCGAATGTCTTTCGCCGTGCTGCAGCTTTTGCTGTCTGTCGAGATGCATCTGCAACATCACGCAGCAGCCGTAGACAGGATCTGCGCGGATGCAGCAGCAATGGCGAGAGCAGCGACAGCAGCAGCAACAGTCTTGAAAGCAGGCACGTCTGTTCTGTCTTCGCAGCTGCAGGAGTTGCCGCAGCTGACCCCTGCCGCTGCAGTGATGCCTCCAAGCTGCTGCTTGCTCTCGGTGATGCGCACCTCGTTTTCAAGCGTGGCGCAGTTATTTCGGCTGCAGCAAGTGCTGAAAGTACGTCTCATTCAACGCCAGCATATGACAGACACCCCTTCAGGATGCTCTCATGAAATGCCTGATCTGGCAACGGTGACAACGGCAGGAGAAGATCTCGTTGCTTCCTGCAAACGATATTTAAGCCAAGACTTTTTCGCTGCGCTGACAAACAGCCCGCCGACTGCTCCCAGAGATGCAGTGAGAGCTGCTGCTGCTGCTGCTGCTCTTCCTCCAGTGGGGCTGTCTGTACACCTCACTGCGAAGCAGAAGGCGGTGGCTGTGCGGCAGTTCTTGCTGGTTGCTGCCTTTTCGTCCAGCATTGCGAGCCAGCTGCAGCAGCGACAGCTGGACAGTGGTGTGCAGCAACAGCAGCAACACCAGCAGCCACAGCAACAGCAGCACGAGGCGCCTCTGCCCCCGCGTGATGTTTTGTCCCTTCGTGGCTTTGCGGTCGTGCTGCAAGAGAAGGCACAGACGCTACAAAACTTGCTGCTGCACTCACCAGATGCCAGCCCAGGCAACAAAAACAGCAGCAGCAGCAACGATGTGTCTGCACTGGTGCTTGGGATCTTAGAGGAATGTGGCGCTGCTATATGTGCCACTGCACCGCTAAGCCGTTATCACGTGCAAGAAGCCCGTGATCTGCTTATTCAGTTGCTGATGCTGCTGTCTCCTCTATGCAGCTGCTACCAGCCAAAGCAGCGTAGCAGACAGGAGGCACACTCCCACGTCTCGAGTTGCAGCAGCAGCAGCAGCAATACGGCAGAAGGCAGCAATGACAGCGGCAATGGCGGCGGTAGCTGCGCAAATGGCAGGGAATGCGGCCTGTTGCAGCTGCAGACACACAAGTGGATATCTCGAGTGCTGCTGCCACTGGTATGCTGTCTCTCCACCTCGCAACAGCACTCAGAGGAAGCACTGGCAGTGGTGCTGCAGCTGCTGCTGCTGCTTCTTCAGCACGCACTTGCAAGCTGTCCCTTTATTGCGTCACAAGAGGCAGCGAGTGAGCGCCGACGGCCTTCTAAGAGAGTGCAAGGAGTCGCGTCTGGTGGAGTGGTATCCATGAAGAAGGGCAGCAGCAGCAGCCGTGGCAGCAGTGGCAGTACAGCACTACCCACAGCGTCGGCAGCAGTAACAGCCATTCAGGCAACTTGTATTGGGGGAAATCCCTCCGTGAGTGCTGCGGTGCTAAAGCTCCTTAGCAAGCAGCACCAGCTGCTGGTTGCCCTCTTCCAGTGCCTCTCCACCTGCTTGCGTCTACCCTTGCCTTGCCTGTTTTTACTGCGGCAGCAACAAAGCCAGATGCTACTGCAGCAGCTGTTGCTGCTCACTCTGCAATACATCCTCCCCGCAGCAATACGCCTTGCGAAGCACGAGGACAGCTCAGCAGCAGGAGTGCCTGCAGACGCCTCGGCGGGAAAAAACAGTGCGTGGTCGCATGCACTGCTACAAGCAGCGCTGCAATTCGTGTTATCTCTGTCACGAGTCTCCAGAGGAGAGCTGCTGCCTTTTCGGGAGGGAAACGGGCTGTGCCTAGTTGCTGCGGAGCTGCGTCCTCCCGAGCAGCAACAATTCGTGAAGCAGCAGCAAAAACGTCAAAAGCTGCAAAGTGGCGTCCGTGGCAGTGGAAATGCTCCGGCAGCAGCAAAAGCTGCAACAGTCGGTACGGCGACTGCAGAGGAACTACCGAATCCGCATGCCTCGGAGCGATCAGCAGAAGAATGCGAGTCACTCTATCACGCCTTTCAGCGCGTGCTGCGGTACTGTGCTGCGGCTGCAACACGGCTGCTGCAGAAGCAGTGCGAGTATTCGCTGACGCTTCTGCTAGAAACCTACGCGCTGCAGCAGCTGGGGTTCTGGATGCCTGCCCCCTGTAGCGGCTTTGCAGCCGTGGCTGCAGCAGACGATGGCAGCGTGTTAACCGCAGCGGCGCTTGAGGCTGCCTCCGGAGCTACACAGCAGACTGCGGTGAAAGAGGAACTAGGAGATTTAGCGGCCCCCCTGCAGCAGAAGCTCCAACCGCAGCTGCAGCATTTGCAGCAGCAGGAGCTCTGGAAGCAGCTTGGTCAAAGGGCTCACCAAAAAGCGACGTGCACGGAGCTGCTTCTGCACTGGGCAGCAGCTCTCCTGTGGGGAGATGGGGGGTTCTGTCGCAGCAGCAGTATTTCCTCGTGCAGCGGCCAAATTCTGGCGATGCAGGCTGCTCTGCAGCAGCAGCAGCATCTGAGCATTATCACGTATGGAAAGAGCAGCAAGGAGCTGCAGGCCCCGATGCATGCAGGAGCCGCTGCTGCATGGCGGAGTGCAGAAAAAGTATGCTGGCAGCTCTTGGGAACGCTGTTGCTGCCTGCTGCAGCGACAGGAGGAGAACTGCCTTCCGTATTGGGTCTTGACACCAATATACTCCCTCCCTGTGGAGCAGATACACCCGTTTCCAGCAGCAGCAGCACAACTGGCAAAAACTTGAGAAACGGTTGCAAGTCTGAAGCCGCCAGCATGGCGCCCATCGCTGCCGTCCCCTCTCTCGAGGTGTCGGACTCCTGGAAGATTATTGCGACTTTGCACATGTTCCTAGGTGTTTCGCTGCCTGCGGGAGCTACTGCAGTTGCGGCTGCAGTTTGCGGCAGCAGCTGCAGCCGCAGGTGTACTGGCAACTTGGCAGCACCCCAAGATGCAGCAGATGTCAAAGCGAGCAGCAGCAGCAGCAGCAGCAGCAGCAGCAGCTTCTGCGTCTGTTGTGGCGTGCAGCTCGTCGGTGGGAGCTGCTGTCGCAGGTTACGAAGAGGGGTGGGGCCTCCTCTGTGTCCATGGATATCGGTGTTTCGGCACTCAGAATCCGTATCGCAACAGCAGGAGCAGCAGCAGCAGCAGCAGCAGCAGCAGCCCATCTGCTGTTGTTGTGCTGGGGTTGTCTGGTACGCTCGCCTTCTTGTCAGGACAGCTGCTGCGTATCCATCGGCAATAGGCTGTCTCTCTAGCAGCAGCAGTGCACGTGGTGTCCATACACCCCTGGGCCCTTATTGGGTTGGCCACAACTACAGCAGCAGCTCGGCAGCGACGCAGCAAGAGCCCTCCGCAGTGGCTGCCTTGCATGCACCCCCTTTGTTGTTGCTCCATCCGTTCCAGGAGTTGTTAGGACTTGCGTGTTACGAGCAGCAGGCGTCGCTGTTGCAGCAGCAACAGCAGCAGCAACAGCCGAGCGCGGTAGCCCAGCAGCAGCAGCAGCAGCAGCAGCAGCAGCAGTTGCAGCAGACGGCGTCTCTGCAATTCTTCCAGCAGCAGATGCCGCTGCAGTTGCAAGTGCTCCCCACAGCAGCTTTACCACCCATCATTTTGGCAGCGGAAGAAGTCGCACAGCAGCTGCACTTCGTGGTGACTGAGCAGCTGCGACTGCTGCTTCGGCAAGGCCCCCTTTTGCTGGCGCTACTTCGCACACGAGTTGCTGCCAGTGATCTGTTGCGACTTGCTGCTGCTCTACAACAGCACGACTGGATAGAACAACAGGCAGTGTACTACTGCGACGACACGGCTGCAGCAGCAGCTCTGTCTCACAAGCAACGTTTGCTTCTCCAGCTGGAGATGGCGCGTCAAAAGGGAGACTCCTTGCAGCTCCTCGAGTTCTTAGCGCCTCCAACCCCAGTAACCGTCGCCCTGCCCTCGCCTTCCGGAAGCCGTGCCGTCCCTCGCCTCGGGGGTGCAGCTGCAGCAGCAGCAGAAGCTGCTGCTGCTGCTGCGGGAGCAACTGGTGAGTCGGCTGTCGAGACACCCAGCAAGCTTAGGCCAGGACTTGCTGGCAACATCGCGGCTCAGAGGACTAGGTGCAAGACCACCCGGCGAAGCGTCAGGCCCAGTCATAGCTAGCCAGCTATCTAGAGAGAGAGAGAGAGAAAGGGAGACAAGGCCGTCACTGATACGGCTCTCCGGGAAGCTGGGACTAGCCTTTCAATGATCCGGTAGCTAGCTGGCTACGAGCCCAACTCGTGTTAACAACTCCCACGCATTGCAGACACATGTGTAAGATATTTTCTCGAGGCTGGCTTTGACCACGCTTATCTAACTAGGTAGATAAAGAATACACACAGGTTCTAGCTTTGCTTTGAACCTCCTGACACAGATGCTGCAGCTTCTGCTTTTGCAGATTTATGGTCTCGGCGGCCTGTGCGTCTGACTGTTGGTGCCACGCCCATAGACGGGCAATCGCACTATACTCAGCCTTGCAAAGAGAGGGAGCTGCGGTATGTAGAGAACCATTGGCTTGCGCTTCACCTTAGCTATTACAACTTCGACTGCTATCGGTATTCGAGCCACTCCGGTGGGGGAGCAACCCGAAGACGCGCGGCCTATCCAATCCACTGCGATGGTGGTGTCTGCCGAACTTTGTATGATTCGCAGTAGTGTCTCTATTTGGAATAGCGATAATTTACAACAGCACTCTTGGCAGCGGCAGGCACACCTCTACGACTTCCAGCGCCGCGGTAGTCGTACCAGCAGTACTGGGCAAGGCTTAACCAGTGGTGGCATGTCAGCACCAGCAACAGCACACAGGAGGCCCCCCCCACCCCCAGCAACCGCAAATAGAACAACTTAAATAGCCATGGTCAGCTAACAAGAGGATTTTATAGCTTGGGATCAGGCCCAATTCTTGATGGCCCTTTTCCCCGTGGCACCCTGGGAACTTCTGGAGCATAAGCAGAGCATGCTGCATATACGTGCTGCTGCTGCTTTTGTTGCCTCTAAGATAGGCGCCTCACCCAGGCAACACAACTCCATGTGCTGTTTGCAGGAAGTGCCAAACGCTGCAACAGGGTGGCTGTACACCCCGCTGCCCATAGACGGCGGGAGCTCTTTGCTGGCTGGCACCGTTTAATTCGGTCACTGCAGCATAAGCCCCAGCTTCTGCTGTTGCTTTTTTTATTGGCTACCTCTTTGCTGTTTTAAACGCGGGGAGTACCCTGCTGCTGCTGCTGCCGCTACAAAACGCAAGGGCGAAAATATCGTCAAAGCCAACGAACAAAATGCGCGGCACATTCCCCGGTAGAGCAACAGCGGCCCCTGTGCTGCTGCTGCTGCTGTTGCAAAGACAAGATAACGCAGCGACAAGGCAACACCAAGCACCCAAGAGAGGCCTTCTAACAACACCGGCCCCTCTTGCTGCTCTTGTCGCTGCTGTTTCTGTCGACACCGCACTACTGCAACGAGAAGTGAACAAATACTTCAAAACAATAAAAGAAGCCAAACATCGCTGCTGCTGTTGCTTTTGCTGCGGGTGGTTCGCTGCTGTTCGAACGTTCACGACAGAGAACCATCCATGTTCTGGATGTTGCAGCGGCGGCTACTCTACAGCGTAAGATATGGCAGCCCTAAAGGGCAGATTTAGGCTGGAATTCGATGTTTTTTGCCTCTGCTGGCTAGGAGGGCAGCAGCATCAGCATCCATATCCCCTAGGTGACCCTCGTGCATTTCAGCATCTTCAATGGTTTGCTGCTGCTGCTGCCGTTCCTGCAGCAAGCGGTGTTGCTGCACTTCGCGCAGCTGCTGCACGGCCTCTCGAAGGCGTGCAGAGTCTTGCTGCTGCTGGTGGCCACCCGGTGCAGCAGCAGCAGCAGCAGCAACTGCTGCAGTGGCTTCTGGCTGCGACTGGGAAGAAACAGCCCCCAGTGACTGCAGCAGGTCCTGTAGGCATGGGAGCAGCGACGAAGTCGAAGTGTCATGTTGTCGCTGCTGGTCTTCAGCCATGCCCGTGGGGGTGTGTAGGTGGTTGCTTCCATCCTGGCCTTGTTGCAGCTGATGCAGCAGCTGCTGCAGGCGCTGCTGCACTTGCTGCTGCAACTCTCTTGGCGAACAGACAGACGCAGAATCCGGCGAAAGAGACTGCTGCTGGAGAGACCCTCCACGACTTCGGGAAATCTCTTGCAGCGGCAGTGCAGGCGTATTCCCCCGCCTCTTGCTGACGACGCCTGCGCTGGCTGCAGTGCTCGTGTTGCTTCCAGCCAAGCTGCTGCTGCTGTTGTTGCCTTTTCCTTGAGTGCCTAAAGAGGCTAGAAGCGAGGCAACTGCCGCAAAAGGCGAGTCGCTGCCGCTCTGAGGCAGCAGGGGATTATCCGCCGTTGTCACGCCGTTCTGCTGCCTCCCTGTAGGCGTAGCCGAGATCTCTCCCCCCATGCTGCTATTGCAGTTTTTCCTAAAATCGCTGGGGGAGGAGTACCCTGTACGGGTGCCTCCCCGTCCTCTGCTAGGCCCCTCCAACAGCAGCTGCTGTTGCTCAGGATCTTCCTGCTGCCTCTCCAGTTTGCACAGACCCCCGCTGCAGGAGTCACCTGAAGTGCCGCAGCAGCAGCCGTTTGTGCTGCAGCAACAGGCGCTACTGCTGTTTCCTCCGGGTGTGCTGCTGCTACTCGGAGTGGGGACGCTGCTGGCTGTGCCGCCATCAGCGATGCACCCTGCAGCTGCCAGCAGGAAAGTGGTGGCGAACTGCTGCTGATGCAGCTGCTGCAACTGCTGCAGCTGCTGGAGGCGTTGCAGCTGCTCCAGCTGCAACGCATACCCCGTCGTCTCGGCCTGAGAAAGCAGCGAATCTCCCGACCGCTGCCGTTGCTGCGGCTGCTGCGCTGTCGACGCGGCCGTTGCCGAGGAATGCATCTGCAACAGCAGCAGCTGCTGCATCACCTGCTGCTGCGCAAGCATCATGGCAGCCGCAGCCGCTGCGGAGTGGAAAAGCGACATTCCCTTCTTCAGACCCTCCTCGGATCGCAAGACTTCCTCCTCCACGGCGGCTGCAGAGAGCAAAGGCGGTAGAGGCGCTGCTGTCGCGGCTGCCCCCAAAAAACTCGTAGGCGTATTCGCCGTGACGCTATTTGCATTGCTGCCAGTAACACTGCACCTGCTACTGTTGCCACCGTTGGCAACGCCCGACGCAGCGGCAGCTGCTGCTGCTTCCTGCTGCTGCTGTCGCTGGCTACGTAGCAGATCCAGCTCCATGTCCCTTCGCGCCTGTAACGCCTTCTCCCTTGCCCTCTCGAAGCCATAGAGCTTCGAGGAGAAATACTTCTTGAGGATCTTCCCGCCTGCGCGACAAGCAGCCACGAAGCACGATGCAAGAGCTCCTTGCCGCCTCAACATGCCCCCAACCACGCCAGCCAGAAGCCTCGACGCTTTTAGCCAGCCGGCGCACGAATCTCGAAGAGGAGCAGCGGCATCGCTGCACTCGACAGCAGCAGCAGCACTCGACAGCAGCAGCACGCGACACGGACAGAGGGAAAATCGCGGCGACTTACCGACGTGCAGACGCGCTACCCACGAGTTATCGTAACGACTAAAATGGACTCCAAGCTGTCGCAGCTGGTTGTCGGATGGCTGTTGCCTCTCGTTGCGCATGTGTATCCATTCGTCTTGTCTGGAACCACTGCGATCTCTTCCTGGATGCCGCAGCAGCATCTCGTTCGTTTGTTGTTGCTTCATCGAAGACAGCTCGCCCGAAGGGCTGCCGCTGCCGCAACTGCCTCCAACAGCAGCGGCTTCTAAACCGCTAGCTGCAGAGGCCACGGCATCCAAGGCATGCGGATCTAGCGAGGAGGAGCGACGACTCCTTGTCTGCTGTGTAGACCGCTTCTGCTGCTTGCTGCTGCTGCCTGCGCTGCTCCCCGTGCTGCTGCACAGCCGCTGCCCCTGATCCAAGAGATCGCGCCTGGCGAGTTGCCGCTTTGGACGCGTGGAGGCTCTCGTGCTCCGTCCGATGGAGGCGACACTTCCTTCCGAGGCAGCCGAAGGAGAGGGCCTTGCTGAAACAGCGGTAGAGGCGGCAGCCGTTGCGGCTGCAGACGTGAGCGCAGCCTGCAGTCCTAGTGGTCGGCGGGATGCGAGCCGGCTCGTGTTGGTGCCGCTTCGCTGCTGCTGCCGCTGCAGCAAAAATTCGTCGTCTTCGATCTCAGCAGCTGCCGCGGTTGCTGCTTCAGACGCGGAAGGGCTGCTGACAGGCTGACTGGTGGAGCTGCAGCTCTTGCTGCTCTCCGCCGGGCCGCTGCTGCCATCGCTACTCCGTGTGCTGCACGGAATCACCGAAAATGGAGCTGCGAGACTTGGAGGATTGCCTCGGCTTTGCTGCAGCCGCTTTCTCGCATCTGGCGAGGCCCCCACATCATCCCCATCTGGAGACCACCCCGGTAGGGGGGGGGCCCCTGCTGCCTGCTGCTCCGTGGCAGCGGAGGAAACTGGAAGCTCCTGCAGCAGCAGTTGCTGCAGTTGCTGCGCAGCGCAGGGTGTTGGATCAGCCGCGGCAGCCATTGCGGGGAGCCCAGAAGTGGCGAAGCGGCAGCCGCTGCCGCTGTGCCCCTGCCGCTGGTGTTGCTGCAGTAGGCAGGCGGGTGCTGCACGGCGTGCTGCAGCGGAAGCAGCAGCAACTGCAAAGTGCCACAAAAGTAAAGTGGGAAGGCAGGAAGTGGGGGTTTGCCGCTGTGGCGGAGATGCAGGAGAAGACCAGCGGACTGCTGCTGCTGCCCCGGCTTGCGGCGCTGCGGGGAGATGGGATCGGCTGCTGCTGCACAAGGGGGCAGCAGCAGCAGCAGCAGCTAAGCAGCAACTCTGCCTCTGAAGTAGAAGTAGAAGCTTACAAGCAAAAAAAACAGAAAAGCGGCAAGTGCGGCAGCGAAATGCAAGCACCTGCTGCTGTTGCACCTCGATGTTGCGGTGCGGCTGCAGCAAAACGGGGCAGCAGCTCCTGCAGCAGTCCCTGGTTGCAGTAGCTCCTGCAATGGCGTAAAAGAGCAGCAGCACCAGCTGCAACTGAAAGAAAGCAGATTATCTACCACAGCCGATGCCGCAGGCGAAAGGAGGAAGCAGTTCGGATTGCTGCTCCTTCTGCTACTGCGGCTGCTGCTGCTGCAACAGACCACTAGCAACTGTAGCAGCAGCCGTCGGGGCGGGGGTGGGCAGCAGCAGCTGCTGCAGCTTCTACCAGGGTGTGCGTGAGGCAGTAAAAAAATGGTAACCTTCAGGAGGTAGATCCACGTATAAACTGATGGGCTTCTGTTATTCTTAGCGGCTTTTGGTACTGAAGCTGCGGGAGTGCCACTATCGTGCCTGTGCTCCCGCTACAACTGCTACTGCTACTGTGGTGCATGGCATGTGGCTGCGGTGCTCCAGCAGCCGCGGGCAGTGTTCTCGAGAAACTTGATTTTGGCTTAGCCTTTGGTGCTGCGTCTCTGTTACAGTTGCTGAAACTCCAGCAGCTTCATGTTGCCGCCACAGATGCATCCACAATATCTCGTCTGTTAGACGAGAATCTGCCTCTGCTGCCCCCCTGCAGCAGCAGAATGAGCGAACCTTGGTTCTCTGACGGTGCAGGAATCCCCAGCGGCCCCTAGGCTGCCGGTTCTACTGCAACGCAGTGGGAAACTTTTATCAAGGCATCGATCCCGCCCAGCCGGCAGCAGAAGCTGCGCCAGCCCCTACCTATCAAGGCAAAGCTAGGCCCTCCTGTTTGCCCAGGCAGCCAGCGGCCTTAGGCACCTAAACTTAACGCCTATTGAATCGTCAACAACGGCAGCACTTTCGGCAGCCATGGCGGCAGCAGGGTTTGGGGGAGTTTTCCGGATCTCGCCGTTGTTGCTGGGGCTTCAAAAGCAGTCTATGGTGCGCTGTTGCGACGGCTCGGGGGTTTTGAAGGCATGCATCATCGGGTTAGGCAACAGGCGGCATGGGGGTGGGGTTCCTGGCGACAGGGTGCGTCTTTCGGTGCGCGATAGACAGCAACAGCAGCAACAACAGCAGCGGCAACAAAAGATGCCCTTAGGTCTCATTGTGCGCTCCCGCAAAGAGAAACGACGCAAAGACGGATCCTACATTTCCTTTGGCGACAATGCATGCGTACTTATAAGCAAGAACAAGTTGGCCGAGGGCCCCATCAAGGGCCCCGTCCCCTTTGATATTAGCCACAACGCAAAACTTCTGGCGAAGGCTCTTCTCTGATGCATGACAGCTCAAGGAATTCGGAATACCGATAGAGATCTGAGCCACTAGTGCTGGCCTCGCAAGGCTGACTCCCGGCTTTAAGCTCCCCAGCCTCTGCTTCTTGGCGGTGCTTCTTAATTATGTTCCCTACGGCGTGCAGACCGCCTTTGTTGCCGTTGCGCGGCTTCTGATGGTAGGGAGACGCCACTGCATGCAACCTTTCCCCGCGGGAGAGGGGTGCGTTTCCCGCAGTCTAGGAGCTTTTCGCCGATAACCGCAACCATTCCATCTACTCACCGTACATCCCTGCTGCAAGTCTTGCTCCCTTGCCCAGCGCGAAAGTCCGCCCCCCATTACAGAAACCCGTCTTTAAATACCCACAGACGTACCTTTCCACCACGAATCAAGCTTTTTGCCAGGCAGATTGCTGTAGCTCACCCAGTGGGACTGTGCAGTCGGTAGACTTGGGCCTAGTGGCGTGACAGATGCAGTTGCAGGAGAGGCAGCCGCGGTAGCCTCCAGCCCAAGGAGGAGTCCGGTCTCTCTTCTACAAAAGCAGCCTTCCTAGTGCCGCAAGGGCTCTCTCTAGCATAGCAAACGCCATTGGAAGCCGTTTAAAGGAGCTCTCCATCTGAAGGAGCTAAGCCCCTGTGGGTCGCTTCTTCCATCTGAAGGAGCTAAGCCCCTGTGGGTCGCTTCTTTTGCCATAAAAAAACCCTCGAGGGGAACCTCTAGGGGCCCAAGAAGGAGCCCAGGGCCCCCAACAGGACCCCTTTGGTGGGGGCCTCCAAGTTGCAGGCACCCGTGCTACGTGCACAGCGCCTGCGTAGCTGCTGATGCTGCTGCTGCTGTCTGCGCAGATTAGCAGTGGCAATTTTGTTGCTTTCTGCATTACACTGCGACGGAGAAGCGGAGGGGCTCTTTTGGGGGTCTTGGTTTTTCTGGTGATGTTTCTTGCTACTGCCGCTGGGGAGTTCGGCATTGTTGCTGCACCCGCTGCCGTGGTTGCTGGGGCCCTCGTGGTGCTGGTATGTCCCGCCGGTTGCAGGCGTCCTCGTAAGCATGGCAGCACCCCCCTCAGCCGCTTCTTTGGCTTTGATGAGACGAGACCCCTGTGGCTGTGTAGGTGGCTGGTGCGGCATCTCAAGTGCAGTGTCTCCTACAGACAGGGGTACTGCCGTGGCTGCAGTTTCGGTATTCTTGCCGGGCTGCTGGTGCTTTCCTGTCGCTGCAGCAGTATCTGGTAGGAACGCACTGAGGGAAGAAGCTCCTTTGACCAATTCCTTGCACAGGGACCCCCAGTCTGTCGGCTGCCGCAGAAGCCGCCTTAGCGGGTGCGTCGGTCTGACTCCTGCTGTTTCTGACCCCATATGCCTGGCTGGGCCCCCTTCTTCGGGCTGGCTCTGCGGTTGCTGCTGCTGCTGCACCGGGGATTCTTGCGAGGTACTGTGAATACCCACGAATGGCATGCCCAGGACTCTCTCAAGGGGCCCCCTTCTCTCCCACTTAGCAGGAGGCTCTAGAAGAGATTCACCTGCTCCGTCCTCCGCAGGCCCTCCTGCTGCTCCTGTACCGTGTGCTCTCAATGCCAGCCTCTGAGGGGACGGCGGATGCACCAGAAGCAGCGACTGTTGTCTCCCGGAGTGTGGCTGCTGCTGCCGACTTTGCTGCTCTGGGAAACCCCTTAAGCGCAGACGGCGAGCTTCGGCAAGTCGGCACACGAGAGCTGTTGGACGGGAATCGCTTGGACCGCCTGACTGCGCATGCCGTCGCTTATCAGCCTGCGGACTCTCCAGATTCTGCAAGTTGCCCTCTGGATCCCTTGCAGCGGCAACACCGCCTCCGCTGCTGCCGCCTCTGCCTCCTGCCAACGCACTTGTGCTCATGGGGGAGTCGGGCGGGGGTTTCAGGGCAGCGTCAGTCTCTTGCTGCTGGGATAAAATTAGGGCACTGCATACACGAGCCGTAAAAAGTGCGTGGTTGCACCGAACAACTCTGGAGGTGAGAGGTGCAGTGAACGTCCTTTCTTCGAGGAGACGTTCTACACTGAGCTGCATTGTGTCGGAGTCTCCCCGCTGCTGCTGCTGCTCTAGCTGCAGCTCCTCTGGTTGCCGCTCATGCACCCTCACGCTACGGTAGCTGCTGCCCGTGCTGCTCCTGCTACTGCGGCTCTGCTGAACCATACACGGAAGCCCCTCTTGCTCCTCTTCTTCATCTCGCTGCAGCTTACTCAGATCCAGCTGGGGGACAAAAGCAGGCCTTCGGAGCTGATCCTGCGGCTGCTCTTGTGGCTGGGGTTCTTGCTGCTGGCGGAAAGTGCGACTGGTGGTGCTGCTACGCTGTACTCTGCGGCACGTAGCAGTATGAGGAGCTCCAGGAACGAGATCAGATGTGCCTCTCTTACACGTCCAGTCGACAGGAGTGGTATAGGCCCTGCGAGCGAGGCGCCTGCCGCTCTTCGCTTCCCTCAGCCTGCGACTGCAGTTGCTGCTGCTGCTGCTGCCGCTTTCTATTGTCGAGTTGCACTGCTGGCTTCGGCTCTCTACAGAAAGCTGGGGGGATGGCGTTCGAGGTGCGACTGCGAGAGGGCTGCTCCGCCGAGCGGTCCCCTTTGATGTGGAACAGCGACTGCTGGCCCTCCTACCCCGCAGGAGGGTTCCGTCTGTTCTACGGTAAGTGCCCTTCCCCCCCTCTACAGCAGCAGCCACTGCCGCATCCGTCGACGCGGCTCCAGCCATCCAACGACTCACGCAACTGCGCACAGTACGGCGGCCATAGAGTCTGCTGGCAAAGTCCTTTTTGAAGTAGGCGCCCCCTGCACTTGCTGCTGCTGGGGTGGCCCCTTCTGCTACTGGCATCGCGCGAGCACTGGAGAGCTTCACAGGGACTGCCCAGAAAGATGCAGCCGCTTGCTTCTTTTGATCGGCTGTGGTTGCTGCTCTTTGTCCTCCGCTGTCAGCCTGCTGCGGCTGATGCGCCCTGCTGCTGCCAGGCGGCCTGAAGCTTCGCCGAGTAGAGGCCCCTGCGAATTGCAACAGCGAGTAGGGGCACCCCAGTTGCATGGACACCAGTCGGCACAGACGTAATATTCCCGTACGAGCTCATTAATTACATTTAAGAAGAAGCAAGGCAAGGCGAATGCAGGGCTGCTGCTGGTGCGTACCTCCATCTCGAACCCAAGAAGAAAGAAGTTTTGCCTGCAGCACCAAACAAGCCCGTCTATACTTATACAGTGGGGCAATCCCCGTAGCGCCTCAGACGGCCAGGCTCTTGAGTAAAGGCCTTTGGTGCTGCGCGTGGACTAAAGACGGAGGAAAGGTTTACCCCCTCCCCAGTAAAGGCCTCTGGCTCTCGGGAGGCTGGGGGATTGATTGGGAGGCCCCTCCAGACGGGATGGGGAGCTTACCGGCTTCCACCTTCTTTTTCGCTCGATTCGTCGCTCAAGCCGCTGCCGCAGAGCTGCAACGCGGCCTGTTGGTAGCATGGCGCACGAAGCGGTAGGCTGCAGCAATAGTAGCAGCAGTGGCATAAAGGAAGGAGGCCCAGCAGATCGCAATTAGGGAATACTGTGGCAAACAAGGCGTGCCGAGGGAAGTCTATAGGAGGCCTTTTTGAGCTTATACTCTGGACGGTGCACCTAGCCAATAGGGCTAAATTATTCTCGTGCGATACTTTGTGCTTACGGCTTTGCGCGGCCGCTCTTGCTGGTCGCTGCCGCTCTCCCCCGAGTCCAGGCGAAAGGTGGAGGGTCCTGGAACACCCCCAGCCTCATGAGGAGACTTAACTATGGGGTGCGATCTGGGAGGGCTGAAAGTTTTCCAGGATCTTAGTTCCGCTGCCGCTGCTGTCGCTGAGGCAGCGTCCAAGGTTTCGGCCAGCGAGGGAACGGTGGTATTGGCGCTGCTGCTGAGTCGTGCTGTGGTATCTCCTGCGGCAAAGGCACTATCACGATTCTGCCGCAAGAGAGGCAGTTGCTGCTTTTGTTCCTGGAAGCCGGGGAGCTGTACAGTGTGCTGCTTCATGTCATCTGGCGCAACACATGCGGTGACCCTGCACGGCGAAACACTTGATGATGATGCAGCTGCTGCCCTGTCTACTAGCGAATAGTCTTCAGAGTAGAAGAAATCGTTGGGATCCTGAGAGAGTGCAAGCGCTCCCCTGGACCTCCTATGGAGTTGTCGGGCTTTGCGGGAGGCTACGCTGCTTGTGCGTGCAGTCCAGTGTCGGCGTCGGCTCTTGTGGCGGCAGTCGGTGCTCCTGCTGCTGTTGCTTCCTTCAGCAGCAGTGTCAGCGGTCTTTGATTTGTCCGTAGTATCCTGCCATGCGGTGCGACTGCTGTAGATCCGGCAGGATGTGCCTGAGGAGGCCCTCTCCGTTGGCTGTGATCGTACAGTGGTTCCCCCCTCTAAATCGCCTTTGCCACTGTCCGTTAGAAAGGCCCCCTCACTGGAGCACCTGCTGCGGCTGCTGCCGCATGCAGATAACTCAGAGTCACTCTTGCATTGTTGTACCTGCTTGTGCAAGTATTGCTGCTGCAGCCTTTGCTGCTGCAGCGGTCGTCGCTCTTTCAGCATGGGAGCTGTATCGTCGAGGCCGAGGGGCGAGGAGACCCTGCTGCCGTTGCGCTTGCTGCTGCTGCACCATAGACCGTCGCAGATCAAGATGCTTGTTGCGCCTCGGGTAGTGGCATCTTCTGTTGCTGCAGCTGTTGTTGCTGCTGCGACTGATGTGTCTGCGGTGGCTAAAGAGTCACTTTGGATCGTCCCTAAAGTATGTTTGCTCTTTATTTTCTTAGTATATGGGCAAGGGACGCAGGAAAACTATGAACATTATGTCGTAGTCCCTGGACCTCTAAGCCCTCTCTAGGCCCTAATCGGCGGTGCCCTTGTGGACCGGAGCAGAGCAGCGCATTACGGAACTAGCGTGAACCTTATGGCTCATCCTTGCATCAAACATGGTGCCAAACTCTGTATATTGGTGCTCTTGACGCTGGTGTTCAACTGGTTGAGCGGTGTATTTACAGGATAGCAGCACCAGCGACTGCGGTAGCAGCAGCGGCCCTTCACAAGGTCTCCCTGCCTCTTCGCTACAGCTGCTTCTGCTGTCCGCACCTGTTATTCGACTTGTTGAAGTATGCGTCACTTGGATCGCCTTTCTCAATGTTTCGACATTCCGAAATTAGCTGCAGCGGTAACATTACACTACTATGCCGTCGCGGAAGCGATGGGAGGGCCCAGCTGGCCGAATATTGCAACCGCAGCAGGCCTTCTACCCCGGTATTTTCTGCGCGATTTCGTAGCCCTCTGCTTTAAATCGTTGCTTCTCTACCGCTCTGAGCACCTTTGACGGCCTGAGAAAGGAGATCCCAGCACAACAAAGCCGTCGTTGGGGGGCCGCCGGTTAGAATTTAGCTCTAGCAGTTTTACATTCCTTATCGGACTTGTGCTGCTGGCCGCATTGCCCACTCTCATTCTACTGCTGGTGCTCTCATATTTGCTGATAACAGAAAAGGCTAATCTTGCGCTGTTGCCAGGAGAGTAGCAGCGCCTCCATTCAGTAATTGGCCCTACAAATCGTGTGATTGAATAGGCATAATGGGGCACATTCAGCTCCTTACATTAAAGAGTACTGCCTAGCAGTGCGCTAATCTATCTATGTGCGTATTCGAGGAGTTTTACTGCACTGGAGACCTAGTTGGCACCACTCTAGCGGCCTCACTTCCGGATGCACAGAGGGTCCTGTAGCCTCGATGCAAAGGAAGCGAACGCGTCAGCAATCGTTACTAAGATTCCATATTATTTCAAGGCCGCGTATATTTTCTGGACACCCTGCTGTTACGCCATACTGCGAACGCATGCTACGTGCGCTTCGCATAGCAGAAGAGTTACAGTTAAAACGATTTCAGCTGATCAAGCACTATTCAATTTTCAGCGGGTAAAAAATGCACTCTTTTTTTTCCGTGCTTGCATAGCTTATCTTCTTGCAGAGTACTCTTCGCGCGACGGTAAAAGACGCAGTGGTGTCTACAAGCGCCCCAGCTTCTATCATCGTGCGAATGGCATCGTACAAAAAACTGAAGTTATGCAAGCATACAGACCAGTTAGTCATTCAATTGATCGGTAGCTCAAGAGATATGAAACCCTGGCCAGCGGAAGCCACAAAATAGACAAACAGCTGCTGTGTCAATGGTGAATGTTTAGGTATACCGGAAGTATCACTTTAGCGAGTCGTAGGGTTGGCAAATACTCAGCAATTAAACAATCAACCGGTGGGGGTCCA